GCAGATTGTGGCAAGATTGGGATTTTCTACTGCATCTTGTTGCTCCGATGCAACACATTTTGTAACCGATAGATTTATGAGAACAAAGAATATGTTGGAAGCCATTGCTCTTGGGAAACCTGTGGTGACTCACTTATGGCTCGAGAGCTGCGAACAAGCTGGCTGTCTTATTGATGAGAAGAGTTACATTTTGAGGGATGAGAAAAAGGAAAAAGAAATTGGATTCAGCATGACTGTTTCTCTCAGTCTTGCCAGCCAGCATCCACTTTTAAAGGTGATACATTGTTTACTCTTATGTTCTTTTAAATGAATTCGAATTCGTATTAAACAAATTTATTGACTTTGAAATACATTTATTTCAAATCCTCCAATTGAAATGGAACCTAAGAGTTATTTCTGATGTCGGTCAACAGGGTCGTGAAGTCTTGATTACACCTAATGTAAAACCTGGTATGGATGTGGTCAAGGGTTTGGTCGAGGCAGTTCACGGGCAGGTACGTGCATGTTTAAAATAACTTTAAAATATCAACGCTATCTTGTTTTAAGTTATTATTTCCAATGCAATAGGATTGAATAGGAACAGTAGAGACCTTTTCTCGAACTACAATTTTTCTATGGAAATCCCCAGGCACTGGAAAATATACGGAATACGAAAACGAAGGTGATTGCTGATGATTTACTAATCCTCTCATGTAAAGAAGATTATACAACTTGCTTACCATTTCTCGAGAAAGGTACAATTTTATCTCTTTCTTGTTTGTTTATTTAATTATTTATTTTCCGTTTTGAATGAAGTGGCTTTACGTTTCTACCCTGCAGGAGCTTCCATTTACGACTCGGAGCTTTTGCTGAATGGAATCATCACCCATAAACTGGAATATGAGAGGTAAGTGAAACGGAGAAGAGCATACGTATATAGCACATAAAATGTGTATTTTAAGTGAATTTGAAAAATTATTGTAGTCTCAATCCATATATATTCACATACATGAACTGCCTTTTTTTTCTTCAGGTATAAGCTTTTCAAAGATTTTATGCCTCCAAGGAGAAATGGCAAAATGGCATGTGCAGCTTAAATTTCATATAAGATTCTATTCCCAAAATTGCCTCTTTGTAAATATATTTTTGAAATAGTACTTACTGGCTATATTATATTAATCACAAAATGTATGGTGATTTTATAAGATTAAATTTAAATATATAATATATTCTCAAACTCTTAATTTTACCCAATTAAACAATAACAAAATATTAACCTAGTTTTAATAAAATACTAATAAATTCAAATAAATAAATAAATAAATAAAAAGTTGGGCTTGGACCGAGTGCAGATACACGAGCTACGAGTCCATATAAAAACTTCTATAGAAGTTGATCTGTTCATTTTGGGGCTTGCTCAAATAACCATTCTCAGGCCCAGCCCGGCCCAGCCCGTAGGTGAAGATCGCCATCTCTTCTCCCCTGTGAAAAACAATTAAATTAAATAAATAAAATCTGAGCTCAGTTTTTATTGTAACGCCCCTCCGCCAATTTGGGTTCTCAATTCCGAGCAACGGCGGCACTGATTCAAGGTTAGTTCATATATTCATTGTTAATGAGTATCGAATTTTTGTTTTATCGTATTCATTTAGCTATTTTGGAATTGAAAAGTATTAACACACGAAAATATTGCCAACAGACAATTTTGTCTGCAATCAATGCTAATTTCGCAAGATGTTTTGTTATTTTTAATCAAAGTTGGAATTTTTGGATTCCAATTGTGGAATTGATCCTAAAAATGGTATGTGCATTAGTTTCGATGTGTTTTGGGTGCTTATGATAATGGTGGTAGATGAAATTGCTAATTTAGGTTTGAAGTATCACTCATCGATTTTGATGAAATTGCTAATTTAGGGTTGAAGTATCACTTTTCGATTTATTCATTTTATTTTTATTTTTTTTCCTAGTAGTGAAATTGACTATAAACAAGATATCTGTTTGTTCCATCCTTTTGAATGGAACATGAGTTAAAAAAGAAATATATTAAATACTGTATACTATCCAGAAATATATTAAATACTGCTCTAAACATTATTGCAAACTGGTTTTTGCTGCATATTCGTGCAAAAACAGTCTTGCCTTGCTTGCATTTATTTAATCTGCAATGTGATTCGTTTATACTTTTTACCAATGCTAATGAAATTGATATGTTTCTGCAGTTTTTAATTTGACATTAAGGGACGCTTAATTAGCCCGTAAGGATATGGCACCTAGGAAAAACAGGAAAAAAACCGAACAGGTTGTTTCTGGCAAGAAACTACTGAAGAATGGGAAAAAAGCTGCTGAATCTACTTTAGAAGAAGAAGTTTCCGACAGGAAAACGGCGGAAGGCAAAAAAGCTAGTGACGTAAAAGAATCTGTTTCACCTTCTATGGTTAAGAAGAAGCCTTGTACGTGGCTTAAGCTTGATAGGCTTGTTCCTCAAACTGAAAAGAAATCATCAGTGGAGAGTATCAAACAAGGCAAAGAAGCCAAGATCAGTATCGAAGTTCAACGGACAAAAGACAATAAGAGGAAGAGAACAGAAAAAAGTGAAGAGGAAGGTAATAATCATCCGAAGTATCATGAAAAGTATATTGATTCCCATCATGCGAAAAAGGAGAAGAGAGACAAAAAAGAGGAGCGAGGTAATAACGATACGAAATTCTATGAAAAGCATATTGATTCCCGTCGTGAGAAAAGGGAAAATGAAGTTTCTGTTAATGACAGGGATGATGAAGCCGAGAAAATGCTCGGTGGATTGATTTTTATGTGCAATGCTAAAACTAAACCAGATTGTTTCAGTTACCAAGTAATGGGTGTTCCAGCACACAAGAAAGAAGTTGTGATGGACATTAAGCCCGGTCTTAAAATATTCCTCTACGATTATGATATGAAGCTCATGTATGGAGTCTACGAAGCATCTTCTGCTGGAGGCATGAAACTCGAGCCAGCAGCTTTCGGAGGGGGTTTCCCTGCGCAGGTGTGCTTTCTACTTTAAATTAATTTTAGAGTAAATTATTCGAAACACTCTTAAATTTTTGGAAGTTTGTATCTTTTTTATACAAACAAGTTTATATATCATGTTGTTTTCCTTCTCAATTTGCTTATGTCATTCTGCAGGTTCGCTTCACTGTTCACAAGGACTGCCGTCCACTACCTGAAAGTACATTCAAGAAAGCAATTAAAGAAAGCTACGATAAAAGAACACGCAAGTTCAAGACAGAGTTGACTGTGAAGCAAGTAAGAAACAAGATTGCTCCGTCTTCTTATTGTTAGTTTCTAGTATCTTTCGTAGTCTTTGTCCGAACTTTAACTTCATTCTCTCTCTGTAAGTAATGCCATTCTTCCCTCTGCAGGTGAATCGTCTGATAGATTTATTTAGTCCTGGCCCATGTATACATCCAAATAGCCGATCTATGGTTCATGAAATTAATCCAGCACATACAAACAATTTCGGCATTGCTGACATAGGCGGAGGAAAAACTATACACCAGAATCCACTTTTTCTTACCGAGAAAGATTATAGAACTAACGGTCTTCGACAAGAAAGACCTTTATTCGCAGGGGATGGTGTTGGTCAAACATGGGAGCGTAATAATCTCGATCAAGAACTAAAGCACTTACTAAATCATCCATCTTCCACTAGTGTTGCTCCACCTGTACAACAGAGGGAAGTCAGTCAACTCGATCCTTTTACCCGCGGCGAAAGGGAATATCAACTCTATGGGCTTAGGGGCCCACAGCAGACACTAACTGCTACTAACGTTGTCAGAGATTCCGTAAAGGGTTATTGTGACCCTTATGACGAAAGCACCACAGCTTTGGTGAATAGATATCTGGCAATGCCGAGAATGGCAGGTGTTCCAGAAGAATCGTACAATCTGGCTCGAAGGGGGAGTTATATCAATGATCTGAATAGCCGCACGGTTTTGGATGGAGATAGAGCCGTTGGATCTCGTACTTTGCGTGAGCAGTCTACTTTCAATCAACGGCCGTATTCGCTCGACGCATCTCGTGAGCCTTCGGTGCTCCATCAGGGATTTCATATCCAGCGTGAAATTGAGTTGACTTCTGCGCCAGTTTCGAGCCGCTACTCTTTTGCGGGACCCTCTCCATCCCAGCACAGATAAAAATCTTGCTCAAAGTTTAATGCTATAAATAGTAATATCCTTCATCACTGGGGTTTCTTTTTCCTTTTTTTTTTTTTAATATATATTTTACTTTTGTTGTATATTAGTTTTCTTTCTTAAATTACAAGATTGCCAACTTGTGTGTTTTGGGGCATCCTCTTCGATTTATATTCGCTTTGCGATGTAATGTTGTATTTGCGTATTTAAGTTATCAAGGAAGAAGATGAAGTGAAATTTCAACTGCCAAAGGTGTCAATTTATGAATGACGACTCTTTCAGTTGAACAACGCCCATAACAAAGATGGGCCTTTTAGTCAATTCGCTGGCCCACTAAATATTTGTGTCCACTCTAAAAGCCCTAGAAGTTATTGGATTCCTCTCTAATTTGATTTTATTTTAAAAGAAAGAGAGGAATAATATCATATAACATCATTTTTTTCTCTGCGGAAAAGCTTCAGAAATAAATTAGAGATTTCCCTCTCGAATTCGATAATGGCGGGCGACTCCTCCCCCGGTAAATCTGAGTTTCGTTTATTTCAAAATTTCTGTCGACTGTAATTGTAATTTCTGTTCATTTGTGCGGATGAATTGTTATATGCGATCGGATTTCTCACCTTTTAAAAAAAAAAAAAAAATTCCATTTGTTGTTTTGAAGATCTTCGTCTGCGAATCATATGTAGGTTGTTTTTGAGTTGATATGGATAATACTTATTTCCGTCATTTCTGATTTTATAGCTTGAATAGTAATAATTTCAGGATCATTCAAAGCAAAATGGGGAGTTTCACCATCCGATGTTTTTTATCACTTCGGCACGAGTGGAATGTCTGTTGCTGCTGCAACGGCCGTTACTCATCCGTTAGGTTTTCTTCATCTACTTAGCCCTTTTATCCCCGATTTTGATATATCTGCTTAATCTTCGTCTATAGCCTTTGTTTTCTACTAATTAGAAAAGAAGTATACTGAAGAGTTGGTAGCATAGCAATATTGATATGAAGAAAAATTACTAAAGAACTCATTATCGTATTTGGTTCTTTACTAATTGCATTCAAATTATGCATGCTACTTTTTAATTTCTGTATGTTGCTGCTTATTTTAGATCACCAACTAGTAAGTTCAGTTTGAGATTTTTGAACTTTGCTGTGAAGTATGTGATTCAGTTTATATTGGATACAGATGTTCTCAAAGTCAGACTGCAAATGCAACGTATTGGCCAAAGAGGTCCGTTAATCGGCATGGTGTGTATCAATATCATAATTTTGTTTTATGGATGAAGTTCCTTGGGTTGTATTTGGATTGAAGGATTTGAGCGAAGGATTTCGAATTTATAATAACTAAATCCACTGAGCTTGTTTGGGTTGATTCATTTGCCAATGGATTTCAAATCCTTAGTTCTTGTTTTAAGTTCTTTTTTGGGTTAAGTTGGGGGATTTCAAATCCATCTCAATTATAGTCATTTGAAATCCTTTCCCAAACATTCTCTCAAATCCTTCAATCCCAGTGCACGCCTAAACTATTTGGGGAAATTTTTAGATGTCTGTGTCCTTTTCTCTGGTGGAATGCAGGGAAAACTTTCTATGGAAGTAGTTAAAAGTGAAGGACCGAGGTCCTTGTATTTAGGATTGACACCTGCATTAATGAGGTCAGTTCTTTATGGAGGTCTCCGTTTAGGCTTATACGAACCATCAAAATATGTCTGTGAAATGGCTTTTGAGTCCACCAATGTCTTGATGAAGATTGCATCTGGTGCATTCTCCGGCGCTTTTGCTACCGCGCTTACAAATCCAGTTGAAGTTTTGAAGGTACTCAATGTAAAGGATCTTCAACTCCTTTGGAAATTCCAACTTACCCTTTTTTTTTAAATTAGGTTAGGTTGCAGATGAATACAAAAGTCAAAAGTGGGCCCGTACAGGAGTTTCGGAAAATTGCTTCAGAAGAGGGAGTGGCGGCCCTTTGGAAGGGGGTAGGGCCTGCAATGACCAGAGCTGCTGCATTGACTGCATCACAGCTTGCAACATACGACGAATCCAAGCTGGTTAAGTCCTAAACCATCCTATGAATAATTTATTCTCCTAGTTTAATGTAACCTAATGTTGTCCTCTTACCATTTCACCTTCATAAATGCAGGCGTTGATGAAATGTACTTCTATGCGAGAAGGATTTTATTTACATTTAACGTAAATTGACTTACCTTAAACATATTTGTATGTGCGTATTATTGCCTGCAGTGAATATTACTTTTGATAGGTTTAGAAGTAGACAATGATGTCCAAAGTTATGGTCAAATTGGCACCACTACATCTATATTCTTCATGTCTTAGTTGTAGAGTTGTATCTTCTGCTCTGTTCCTTGAATTTTAATTGAATGAGTTTCCTTAAATAATGGTAAAACTTACACAATTAAAATGAGATTTCTGCTGCAATAAAAGGATTGTTGATTTGGCCTCCACCTAAGTTGTCGCAGCAGTAAATGCTCTTGCATTATGGGATCTCTGTTATAGTTTGATGAAGAATATATTCAGAATTGTGCGTTTATGACCAGTACGACACCTTATTTCCCCCAACTATGAATCTATATTCATCTAAAGATGAATACGAACATGCGTGAAAGAAAGTGAAATGATTTGGCTTCTATATTTTGATATCTTGACTATTTATATTTTGATTTACGTCAGTTCTAAAACAAAGATGTTTTGTTATGTTCTATTTGAGTAGAATTTTTCAGCTGCTCCTAACTATGATTTACTATCTTATAAAGTGCAAGTATCATAGCAGGCGCAGTGAGTACCGTCATCACTGCACCTATCGATATGGTTAAAACCAGACTTATGATGCAACGAGAATCTAAGAGAGCTGGAAACTATAAAAGTGGGTTCCACTGTGCCTACCAGGTTGTGACTCTATCTCTACTTCTTCTTTAGCCTGAGATTTACTATATTTTAGATTGCCCATTCTTTGAGCAATCTTGACACACTTCTTATATGTGTTGGTTTTGTTGTCTGTTGCTTCTGACATATGTTGTAACACTTCAATATGATTTGATGTTTTTGCTTGAGAATAAGTTGCATCGCTGTTTTTATATATTATTAGGGCTCGTTTGAAAGGCTTGATTAGCCTTCAAATTACTAATCAAATGTAGGGCCCGTGATGTATTATTGACCCACAACATAATCAAGTACCTTTTCTTAAATATAACCCTCTTTTAGTTATTATGCATAAATTTGGAAAAGTAGAAATAGTCACAACTTATATTACATGTTATCCAACATAAATATATATAACAAATCACCTGTAATACATGAGCACATAAATCCTTACTGTACATGACAAAATTATTGCATGTATGCACTTCTGCATGGATAAGAGCACAAAAATAGGAATGCAGTTTTACTGAAATATGAATGATTATATGCCAAAATCCTTGTCTGATACACCATAATTGTTGTCTACGGTTCCAGGTTCTGCTAACAGAAGGTCCTCGAGGTCTTTACAAAGGGTGAGTTTCATATCTACTTGACATCCACCTTGAAATGATTGATCGGTTAACTAACCATTTAGCGGTTAATATTTAACCAGGGGTTTTGCACTTTTCGCGAGACTTGGCCCACAAACGACTATAACCTTGATACTATGTGAGAAGCTGAGGGAACTTACAGGACTAAAGGCACTCTAGGAACACGGACAAATCGAAACCTCGTTGAAGAATTGATGATGAAACTGGTACTTACTCGTATTTTTTGAATTTTTAAATTCAACCTCGTGACAACAATTTATACAGGTATAAATCACCTTTTTCTCTAGATAAAAATAGGTCATTTGTTTTACAAATATCACATAAATGCCTTCCTTGATTGCTGTATCCTTTTAACTTCCATTTAAGGGCCAGTCTGTACCTCATTGGGGGACCATTTTTAGACTGTTGTTTGTATTCATTGTAACCAACAGTGATATTGACTTTTTTTCCAGGATTATATCTGTTTTTTCTTTTTCTTTTTTTCTTTTTTTCTTTTTTTAATTGTGTTGTATTGTTGATTATATACTATATTTTATTATTATATTTGGTAATATATTGCGTACTTGCTGGATAATTTAGACAACCATCAAATGGATGTCTGAATTAAGTAACAAGAGATGAGATGATTATGAATATAACGTTAAATATTGCCAAGTAGGAATGTAGTTGGAAGAAGATAATGTCGGATGGGCCTGGAAATGTGAAATGTATGCAGCTGTTTGTATTGGCGGGACAGTCTGTCATCCTTTACTATTTAACCTTATTTTCTCTACTTATCTACCGTTATGCCACCCGCCCCTACATTCCTCAGAACAAAATTCATTTATGTAATTCAGTTTTTCCTGACCACCGTTTTTTTCCTTTTCCTATTTTACCCTTTTCTTCATTAAAAAAAAAACGGTAAATTTGCAAAATTTTGATTTTATGTTTTCAAATTGTGGGCGCTTATAAAATTTGATTTCATGTTTTTAAACTGTGGCTATTTATGTGTCGATTATTCTTTTTTTCCATTTGTTGTGAAATTTGCTATTCGTCGTACTTAATTTTATTGGATTTTTATTCTATAATATTTTACGAGATTAGGTTTAAACAATTGACTTCTGCCTACAATTAATTTATTTTTTTATATAGGAATATTTTTGCTTACAATTATATTGGAATTATTTCTTTTTAATTGTGATTATTGGTCGGTTTTACTCAATATATCTGGGACCCGTTGCGATGGGCAATTCCGTCAATTCGCACATCATACTTAGATCTGTTGTTAGTACAACAGCCATCAATCGAATCTATTACAACAGTCAATCGCCGACTTTCACCATTTATATCCGTTACGAAGCCGAAAAGACCCGTAAAAACGACCAATAACAGAGGGCAATTTCCTTTTTTTTCCAATATAGGTATATTAAATTAATGCAACGGAGAAGATCCCAATTTTGTCATCTTGAAATTTCCTAATCTCTTTACCTCATTTACGAGCGTAGACTCGGTTCACAACAACAAGAAAAGAAAAAAAAAAACCCACTCTCGGATCATCCATCATCAAGGAAAAAAAAGGCTGCAGTAGAGAGAGAAAGAGAGGGTAATTTTAGACAGAGAAAGTCCGTTTGTTGCTGTAATGGCGGAAGGAGAGAGCGTCAAATTGTTCGTAGGGCAAGTGCCGAAGAGCATGACTGAAACTCAGCTCCTTGTTATGTTCAAAGAGTTTGCGCAAGTGGACGAAGTCAACATAATCAAAGACAAGACCACCCGTGCTTCTCGAGGTTTTTTTTTTTGTTTCTCTGTCTTTTCTTTGCATGATTTCTTCAAATGTTGTTTGTGGTGAATCACAATGTGTTCTTTGGAGAATTTATTTTTTAATTTTTTTACTGAGAGGGGGAATTTTTTTTTTGGTCTTGAAATCCCTAATTTTGGCGATGTCTGTGTTAGGGTGTTGTTTTGTGATATGCCCGTCGAGAGAGGAAGCCGACAAGGCGGTTAATGCGTGTCATAACAAGAAGACGCTGACCGGGGTTAGTGTATTTGTACTCCTTGTTGCTTGGTTTGCTTCTTGAATTAGACACTGTATTTTATCCACTGCTCTGGAGATTAAGTTGATTTCTCTAGCTTTTGGCAGTGATTTGATTTAGTTTATCGGATAGAATTTGGATTTCACATCATTTATTCCGAGCTTCGAACTTTTTCGTACTCAATTTTGTAGTAGAATAAAATGCTCTTGGAAGCTCAATGTTAGCTGGTCATCTAGAAGCGTTTCAATAGGCAATTAATTACCTAGGATTTTTATCTGGATTTGCTTCAGACTTCAAATGTATTAACTAAACCTTTTGACAATCTGCATTAGGTAAATGTAGCATTGTTTTTTTGTAATAAAAACCAGCTACTCTTCCATATGGAAAATTATTCTCTTTGGATTTTCGCCTCATTTGTGTTATACTATGATGTGTGTTGTTCTTTATTCTGAGCATGTTCTCTGGGTCCAATCCAGGCATCTAGCCCGTTGCAAGTGAAGTATGCTGACGGCGAGTTGGAAAGGCTAGGTATAAATATAATTCCATTCTCGAATTATTTGTTTTTTTTATGAAGGGACTTGTCAAATGTGTGACGCTTCTAGTTCCCTTTTACCTAATTTTAAGTTTCTTAAATTTTTCTTATCCTTGCATTTGCTATCTGATTTTGTATTAATGGGTTTTTTTTTTCTCTCTTTCATTCTTATTTGCTCTTTGTTTCTAAATAAAACGTCAGAGCACAAACTCTTTGTCGGTATGCTTCCAAAAAATGTGTCCGATGCTGAGGTCTCTGATGTATTTTCGGAATATGGAACCGTAAAAGACTTGCAACTTCTTAGAGGCTACGAGCAAAGTAGCAAAGGTAAATCGTCTTTATCTTTTGCTTTTTTTCTTGAGCTTCCTTTTGTGTAGTATATATACAATATACGTAATGGGCTCTTATAACTCCTTTAAATATTGATTTAATAGCTCCGTTTTCGTAGGTTGTGCTTTTCTGAAGTTTGAGACCAAAGAGCAAGCACTTGTGGCTATAGAAGCCCTCAACGGCAAGCATAAGATGGAAGTAAGTGTCAATTTAGAAGTTAATGTTTATGACTGTGTTTAAAATCGATGGTGGCAAAGTTAATTTATATATAAACTCGTGCAAGTACTGCAAGCGGCCATCTTTTGATATGACTTACATAACATACTTATGATGAATAAGGGTTGCCCTTGACATCAAGTGTAGTATGTCTTGTCTATTCATACAAGGTTGAAGTTGTGCTGCAAGAGAACTTTTGTGTAATAGACAATTGTGATTCAGAAACCTCCGAGTTTTATATATGTTTTTTCATGTACAGAAAACTGTATCTTCTTATCCTATGTCCGTTGAATTTGTTTAATATTAACACCATTATCTTCTCTCAAGGGTTCGACTGTTCCTTTGGTGGTCAAGTGGGCTGATACAGAAAAAGAAAAACAAGCTCGACTAGCTCAGAAAGCTCTGCCGTTAGCATCTAATGTACCAAACACTGATTCCCGGGGGCATTCATCTATGTTTGGTGCTTTACCAATGGGTTATATGCCTCCATATAATGGATTCGGTTATCAGGTCTGTTACCATTATCGCTCGAAATATAGATTTTTAATGTTTTAGGTATTCTTCACTTTACTTACGGTAATTTAATACTTAATTAATGGACTCCTTTGTAGACTCCGAGGACTTACGGACTCGTGCATTATCGGCCACCACCGTTTCAGAATCAACACACGTTTCACAATCTGGTTCCACCTTTAAACCAAGGAAGTGCTATGCGTGGTGTCGCACCAAGAAATTATGCCATGTCACCCACTAGTTATGTAGGATATCCTTATCCAGCATTGCCCGGCATTCAGTTTCCCACGAATTATCCTGGTGGAATTATTAATAACCGTCCATATGTGGGTTCTTCCGGTTCTATTTCCCCTTCTACTGCAAATACCCATTCCGCAGCATCTTCGAGTGTCAACACAAGTTCTAGGGGCCAGATTGAAGGTCGGGTTTGGATGTTATAATCATGTATGAATAAATATTTAATGTGCGTAACAATTAATTATCTTTGAAAGCAGGTCCATCAGGAGCCAATTTGTTTATTTACCACATTCCTCAAGAATTTGGCGATGAAGAGCTTGCAAATGCGTTTCAGCGTTTCGGTAGGGTATTGAGCGCCAAGGTTTTTATCGACAAAGCAACTGGCTCCAGCAAATGTTTTGGTATAGTTACAATTCTTTGATTTGCTATTTATATTGCATATTTTTTTCATTCTAATTTAAGATTCCGTCTCCAGGATTCGTAAGTTACGATTCACCAGTGGCAGCTCAGAACGCGATTAGCTTGATGAACGGCTTTCAGTTGGGTGGGAAAAAACTGAAGGTTCAACTTAAAAGAGAGAACAAGCAAAACAAACCTTATTTACTTTAAGGTAAGTGATCGACGAAAGTAAAACTCGTAAGCATGATTGGTTACACTACACGAGAGCGCTCAACTGTGGAAAATTACTGCATCTTGAGTGAACGGCGGGGGTGGATGTGTAATATTCCGTCCTTCCAGATTAAAGTCCTAGAAACTTGTAATTATTCATTCATGACTTTGCCACTGTACTTGTAGTTTGTAACATGGATACAGTCTGGAGATTAATCATTAGTTTTATTGATTTTTATTTGTGCATTTTTTGGTTTAACTTCTCTGAATTTTCTTTAATTGACTTGCAGAGAGATCCTCGTTGATGTATGTCAGGTTTGTGTTCGAACCACGTTAATTTCTTGTGTTCTTTATTCTGCTTTTAGTAATTATAATCTATGTCTACACAAGAATTTAAGCGATAGAAAATAGTTTTGAGGGACTTTAAGCTAATAATCCGTAGAATTTAATTCATTATTAAAATCTTTAGGCTAATCCAGTTGAGGGATGACACGTGTTCATCTACTATTTAGTCCCGGAGTTAAAGACATTTACAGCTGGTATGATGGGCCTATATTGTTGTACGATGAAGGAGATAATTATCACCACTCGTAGCCCACTGTATTTGGTGACTCTCGATTGGCCACATTGCATTTTATGCAATTCCCTATTATTTCTTATAATTAATTATTATTAGTAATTTACTTGAATATACTTGACTTTTCATTTTTTTTTACTTTTTTTGTCGTTTTCTTTTTAAATTTGGGTCTATTATTGGATATATAAATTAACAAACATGTATATATGTATGTATAAATTAACAATCTTATTGGGCCCATTCACTTTTCTTCATAGTGGGTTGTCCCCTTTTTTTTTTTTTTTTTTTTTTTTGGAGTCCCTGTCTGCAACCTTTTGAAGTGTCAATAATTTGCATTAAAAGTGTGTAACTTGTATTTTAGCATTTATGTTCAAATAAATGCTAATATATATACACCCTCTCCTACTTTTTCTTCCAATAATAATGGAGTTTTTAAATATGATGTACTAGGCATTCGTTGTAGTTTATGCTATACTCAGTGAACTTTACAAGGTTATTTTTTCATTTTTTATTTATTTACACATAATTACATAAATATACAGGTGTATGTAGATGTGTATAAAGATATAAATTGATAAAATATAACATGTTGAATTTTATCGAGTGTAACATAAAATAAATTATAGGCATAGTGTAGTAAGTCCACTCTGGCCGGCCATATAAAATCCTCCACAACAACATTAATTTTGTGAAATGAAGAAATTCAATACGACTTTTGGATTAGGTCAATATTTCGGACATAAAAGATTGTGAAGTACACGTTTTAGTAGTGTGCATGTTTTGACAATAATCACCAAAAATAAAATGGGAATCATTTTCTTATTGTATTATGGTTAAATAATTTCATAAAAAAATAGTGTTTTGTTTGTATTTAAAACTGTGAACTGGGATTTAATATTTTATATTCTAGCTGCATGACCAAAGTGTTTGAAGAAAATAAAGAATAATTTGAAATAAAATTATTCCTATTTGTGTGCCTGTTGAATAATGTGCTGTAAAACAGTTAGTCCATAGTTTATATATATAATTTTTCAAGAAATTGATGTTATTGTTATTATTATTATTACTGTTACGTAAGTTGAGATAAAGTGCTTTTCCATGATCAAAGGTACCAAAAGACGAGGTTTCAAACCTAATATAATTACATTATATGACTTTTTGTTAGATAACGTTAACAAAACGGCGTTATCAACTATTGGACAACTTAACGTTAACATTGTGGAGTTACATACATACGTCATCAACTAATTAATTATTTCTTGTTTATAGAAATAATTATGTGTTAATTTTTTTCAAAATTATTTATTGTTCTAGAAAATGTGATCACAAATTTCATTTTTTTTTTTCTAGAAAAAAATCAAAACCAAACTTCCATTCGTATAAAAGTTGACTTATCTATTTAAATTGGTATTTGCCAGGTATACTATAGAGGACCCTACCCTAACACATGGATTCCTTCTAGAAGAAATAAAATCGTGTCATAAGATAGGCCGTCCTTCTAGAAGAAGCAACCACGTTTAAAATAAAATCCAAAAATTAAATTGGAAACAGCCAAGAAAAAAAAGACGGTCGGCCCGCAAAAGATTGCCGAACCCATACATACATACAAATCTACATTACAGTATGTATGTATCTATATTGAATTAAGTGTCAAACTAGACAGCCTACCTCACCTCACCACCTTTTCATTTCATTTCTTTACCTAAGTACCAATTTCTCATTTATTACTATTTCCGATCCTCTCCCTCGATTTATATTTTATATATATATAATATTTTTTTTGGGGGGGTATGTACATACATGTACGATTTGTGCATATATATTTTGCTTTTTGGTAATTTTTTACAGTACCTGAAAATCAAATCAAATGGAGGAGGGGAGGGCGTTGTTTGATGCATCTGCTTACATGTTATTCGAGGCCAGCGGCGATTCCGAATCGCAATACTTAGGCGGCGGCGGTGCATTGGAGCCGGATTCCGATGCCGCGGAGGATGATGCGCAGTCGTGCAGCTACGGATCGTTGTTATTTTCTGATAGTGCGCGCCTCCGTGATGAGGTCGATGCGGAAGATTCTCGCCGCGGTGATTTTGATGAATTTAGTGGAGAAGAGAAGGAGGAGGACGGCGGCGGCGGAGGTGTTAGCGAGGAAGACGACGGCGTAGTTGATCAACGCAGAGGCGGCCGCGGAAATCCGGCAGCGGCGGCGGCGGTGGACAAGGAGAAGCCGATGAAATCAAACGGTTGTGAGGGTTCGAATGTGAAGATGATGAACGAGGGCGAAGGGGATAAGCTGTTTTGGGAGGCTTGTTTGGCATCTTAGAATTATTAATTGAGAATATTCTCTGCATCAAACAAATTAAATTTGCAGAGGTAATTGAATCTCCGGATTTTGATGATGAACACTTTTTCACTTCTTCTTCTTCTTTCATTTATTTTTTATTATAGAAATTATTTTACATTTCTATTTAATTAAATTTCCATTGTGTTAATTAATAACTATACTCACAATTGTAAATACAGTTACTTCAATGAAGATCAACACTATTTGTGTTCCACATCTGAAGGAAATTGTGTCTGTGTGTCTGTGTATATATATATAATACGATTATAGATTCAATAGTTTGATTAATGAATAAAACTTTAGTCAACTATTTTTAAATGATAATGAGGTCTCCGAATTGACATACATTTGATGGTTCATATAAAGTATCAACTCATCATTATTGGCATCAAGAAATGGAGCATTATAAAACTAATCATAAACCCTTATAATAATTATTCAACATACCACTAACCATTCAATATAAGCACAATTTGCCATCCTATCAATTAACTTAGGGTAAATTACGAAAACCCCACGACCTTAAGTTAAATTAAGAAAATACCCCCACTTTTCCGTAATTATCAAAATCCCTCTGACGTTTGTTTCCGTCTTACACCGGCCCCGTTACAGGGTGATTGTTCAAGGAATCTTCTTTTTTTCCATAGAATATTCTCCAAATGATACTGAGCTACCCCTATAAACGTACAACAAATTGAAGATAGCCATGCACAAATGTTTATAAATCGCCTATGTATGCGATGATGGTTCATAGTAGCATTCCAGATATTATTGTGATATTGCACATACATTTAAAGAGACTATAGAAGTAGAATCAGCATCTTTTGTGAAATACAACAAGATAATCAGTTTTTCATGAAAATAAAAAAAATATAAAAAAATCTTTGCTGATGGAGCAAAGAGAGAAACTGAAAATTCAGCCCCTAAGACTTACAAAATCAATCAAAAGCAAAAACCACTGTCTTATCAGAACAACCTAACAACCTTAACCACAGAAATTAATTTACAAAAGAGCAAGCAATATTGCTGTGGGTAGAGAGATAGAGAGAGAAACAACATCCTTAAAACTCCACAAAAAAACTACCCTAAAACAACACAACACTAACTAATTAAACTACAGTAACGGTCAAACAGATGCATTAGCATTAGTAGAATGTGTAATATCTGCTCACACCATATCAACATCTTCATCCCCCACGAGCGCCTCCATAATAATAGGTACGATTTCAGTCTCTATCTTAAGGCTCGACGAGTCTTCTCCGTCGCTTGTGCTGATGAAAGAACTCCCCATCCTACTATCCGATGCAGTAAAACAAGAACCAGCATTGAGTGGAGAAGAATCAGTTGAGGGCCCCGCGTTCAAGATTCCCTCTAGCTGCTTCCGGAACCCGTTTTTCGCGCTCTCGTTCTCGTCCAGCTGCCTTAAGAAGCACTCTTCGATGTCGCCCAACGACTCGATCTCGTCTTTATCATCCTCTTCTTCTTCCTGTTCTTCGTCGTCTTCCGAGGTGGGACCCGTTGACTCGCAGCAGCTAGTGTCCATGTCGTGTTGACTTTCGTAGTCCTCGTCGTCATCAGTTTGACCGTTGGAGGAGCGGGAGGAGAGGGGCGAGTACCCCCCTTCTTCTCCTTCGACGGCTTCGTCACGTTCTCGTAGTGTTTTAGTAATGAGGGTCTTCAGCAGGTTCATTACTTGGACTGCATGCATCAGTGCCGTTAACGGATCCGACATCTGCCACATGCAGCCGGAAAAATTAGCTGCGATATTGAATCAAGAATTTCGAAAACGTAGAAAACGAAAATGCAACAAAAAAAATCACCTGAGTCATATTTGGTGCAAAAACCATCGCGATATTTCTGGGATTCATTTTGTTGGAATCTTCGTGCTCGACAACGTCGGCCATTAAATCAATGGCCCAACCGAGAAGAGCACTCTCAGTCGGTTTAAGCTTCTTAACGAGCTCGAAAGATTCCTCCTCCGTATTGCATTCCAATACCTCTTCCGGAGAAAGCCCGTCAAGTATCCCGCACGGCAGCTCTCTAAACCAAGCTTTAATCAGACCAGCCAAACAGTGCACATCTATATCCTGTGGAACAATTCCCCGGTTCAGCTGGTCCCTCACGTGTTCCTCTTTGCTGTTCTCCGGATTTATCCGGAATATTCCTTCCGACTGCAAACAGAATATTCCGAATTCAAAAAAAAAAATCGAAGCTGAAGAGTACTTACTTATCATAACTTGTTGCGTTTTTCGTTTACCTTTAGACCGCCTTGTGAGTACAATCTTTCTTGCATCAGTAGTAGAATAGTTGGGACACTATTCCCCCTCGTGTCGTATGAGCACTGCATCGATTCGGCCGAGACACCAAATACACTCACACTGCGTAATTAGATACGAACTTGTCATAAAACGTATTAAAATCAAGAAAAATAGCTACTCAAGCCATTAAATATCACATCAACTTTTCATCTAGTGCACTAAAGTTTTCGGTTATATCTACCGATATAATGAGTAATAACTTTGGCCAACCTGAACTTCAAATAAAGTGAAGTAATTGTGGAAGCTCTTCCATTAATTACTTTATTTATACATTTCCAGGTTATAAAAAAAAATGGAATTTATTAAATTCCTAATATTTGGTAAGAAGTAAATGCTATATTAAATCTGAATGTAATTTCCAGATTTTATTGTGTAATAAATAAACCAATAATATAATCATGTCAAGAATATTCAAATTATTGAGAAACTCTGGAATATATGAATATCCCTTCCTCCATTGAAGACCAAAATTAACCTCCCCAGATTCTTCAATTTGTGTATTTTATATATTCCTCAATTAATTTGTGTATTTCTTTTTTTTTTAATTTTCAAGATTTTATTTAATTACAGCAATTAAAGTATAATGCATCAGATCTAAACAAAATACTAACAGATAAAAAAAAAAAAAAAACAAATAAGTCAATAAATTTGAAAAAGCCCAAAAGAAAAAAAGGGAGCAAGAACAAGCTTAAAAGTCGGAACTTTTAAGCTAAAACAAAAAAAGGTTAGATTTTTTACCTAGCACTTGGAGCTCTAGAAGGAACCTCGACCTGAAACTCAACGGGAAGGCCGAGAAATCCGTTGAACCTATCAAAGGTGACGTGGGCTATGTGCTGGACATTTGTGGGCCACCCGATTTCCATTTGATGAACGGCTGAGATCACATCCTGGTCTTCCCTGTCAACTCGGCACGTCGACACCATGGATTTCCTTAGAGCTGATAAGATGAAATCCAGCAACGAAAGCTGCTGCGCGTCCTCCTGCTTATCAAGCTCCTCCGCCACACCTGATTTCGAGCTCTTTCCGCCGCCGCACCCGCCGCCGCCCCTCGTCACCATAACCATCCCAGTCATGATTCTGTTTTTAATTTCCCCTCTCTCTCTCTCTAAAAAAACGCTAGCTTAGTATTTTCTCTCTCTAGAAGGAAGAAATGGGATTTGTTTTTATTAAGTGGTGTGCTCTGCATTCAAGAAGGGGGTTTTTTGAAGTTTGAAGTAATGTATTTTGTTATTACTACTGTTTATTCAAACGGCCACTTCTTTTTTCAAATTCTTTGTCTTTGTCCAGTTTTTTTGTTGCTTTGTTATTGGGTTCGGTTTTCGGGGTATATTACTGTTTTGCCACTCGGGCTGAAATAACAATAACTGACCACATATTTAAAATCCACTTATCAATTGAATCTTGTGATTTTGTGAGGTCGGTATTAATTACATAAAGCCCACTCTTGAATAGCTACTTGGCCCAAAATAGAAATTTGAGCATATATATATATATTATTTTTATTGGACCAAAATCGAAGAGTAATATTTTTTTAAATTAATTAATCAATTAATTATTGTTTTTTTTTTCAATTTATCTTTGGCTAAATGGTGATGTCATTGGAATTCCATGACTTATTAAGGGGTAAAACGGACAATTGAGTTCTTTGAATGGTAGAAGACCGTTGGTAGAAAAGGGGATTAAGCCAAAAGAGCTGCTGTTTGAAAATTTAATCACGTTGCTGTTTCATAAATAGAAGCAAATTTAATATTAACAACATAATTTACCCAAAATTATAAGTTGGTCCCTTGAATTTTGACAAATTGCCGCCAAATGAAACATAGGTCTCGTAGGTGGTGGTCAGCGGTCAACCTTCATTTACTATTACTTGGAATTATTTTGTCTCATAAATCACAATCAGGTGCTGTCAATCAATTAATTATCGGATTAGTAAAATTAACCTCGTAAACTGATAATTTCAGTAGGTACGATAAAGAATTGGGATTTTCGTAATTTTAGAATATCGGATTTTTAACGTAAATAGCGTGAAAGAAAATATTATACGAACTCGACTAAACATGTTTCCTTTTTTACTTTTTTAACTATGGTTTTATATTTATCCAAATATGTACAATTTCTTAAGTAAATGTACTTCGTGACCTTTAATCAATTTTGATGTAGCATCATTTAAATTTATTCTTTTGTAATAAATAATAAATTATTTTGTATTAAAGAATAATAGAATTAGAATAAAGAATTTGGAAATTGGGAAATTTGAGGGGTTGGCAATTGGAATATTTTATAATTAGAGAGTGACAATTGAGCAAACCCAGGAATCATGATGCAGAAGGGGCCCCACGCGCGTGGTGTGCAATGCATTTGTAGTTGGTCGGAGATAGTTGTATTCAAATTCAAATATCACCACCTTTTTATTTACTTTTTTGTTTTCTGATTTTGACCGTTGTAGATCGCATCTCCTCCTCGTCGGATTCTGATTTGTTCGATGCAACACCCGGTGAAAAACACCGGGTGTAGCATCGAAGGAACCTCGGATTCTGCTGGCTCTTCCGTCAAATCTGTCACACCTTTTAAATCAATTACTATAATTATCTACTACTTCATATATTTAGGCCAAATTACGGAGTCAACCCTGAGTTAAGTTAAAATTACGAAAAATCTCATATATTTGGATAATTACAATCACCTTTTCAACTAATAATTATCTTACGAAAAAACCTCGCATTCAGTAGGTAAATTTGACAACGTAAATTTGGACGCGTAAGACAATACATAGTTGAAGAGTATGGTTGTAATTACTAAAACATAAATTTTTTTTTTTTTAATTTGAACATATCTCAGGAGTGGTCGTATTTACCCATATGTTTGAGTTGTTTACTCAATAATTAAAGTGGTAAAAACTAATTAAATAGTTCATACTTTCATAATTTTCAAAGGATTTTGAATCAATAATTTAGACTCGTATGCATATCGACCATTAGCATACTGAGATTGTCATTAATATTAGTATTAATATTAATAATAATATTAGTTTTATTATTAGTATTAGTATTAATCCCAATAAAACTTTGATTTTTAATTTATCTAAGGGCTGAAGTAAAATTTAACTGTGCATAACGCCGTTATGTGCAATGTCGGTTAAACATTACGGTTCCGCTTCTAGGCATGGTACAATCCGTTGAGGCTTTTGGAGAAATGGCTGGGCTTTTCGGATATGATTGGGCTTCTATTCTAAGCCCATTTATCCGTTTAACAGGCTTGAAATAAATACCTTATTTTTTCCCTTTATTTTTTATTTTTTATTTTATTTTGAATAAGCATGTCCATTATGCACTAAACAATCCCACGAATAAAATGATCAAATATAAGATTGATTCTAAGAAAATAAAATTAATATAAGAAGACAATTTGTTTCTGGTAATTGGTCCTTTATTGGTTATAAAAAAAACTGTCTGAATTAATTATATTTAATGATTAATAAATTAAGTTGCGCATGTGAGAGTTGAAAAAACTAAAAAATAAAATAGGAAAAGTGACGCGCTGAAGTGATTGATATGCTTGGCTTCACACTTTGGTTTTCCAAGCGGCAACATTTTATCAGGCGGGAAGAATTTACTCAATTTTGAGCCAATATTCACGCACACACACACACACACACACACACGCGCGCACACACATCTCCATCTTCGCAGACCTAAATCAGCCGCACTTTGCTTAAAATTCAGTCAGTTTCTACCCGTGGTTCATGGAAGACGAACCGGTGGTGCCGGAACCGGCGACTCGCCGTTCGGTCAGTTAATTAGAGTTGTGTTTTACTGGCATATTGTTTCTATTTTGGTTTCGAGCCCTAATTTTTTTTTGATTTTGACTTTTATGTGTTGTCTAATTTTTTGTGTTCGAGTAGAAAAGGGCTAGGGCTCAGGTCAGGACTGCAGATTTCACGCGCACAGACAAAATTGAAGATGAATTGGAGGAAGAGAGGGAGGAGTCTTCAGACGATCTTCAGGAAAATCGGCGAAAACCTAAGAGAAATAAGGCTACTGAAGGCGCTTCAACTTCGGCTGCAGCCGCGCGTAAAGCCGACTCGAGTTTGATTGGTAGGTATTCCTGATGTTATGTAACTTAAGTATTATGGTATACTATATATGTGACTGTTTAGATCTGTAGTACTTGGCAAATGGCATTGTAATTGAGGAAAAAGTATATAAGATTTTGAAGGGGAATATTTTATTTCATTGGAAGGCTTTAATTCTTCTCTATGCTGCATTCTTTCCCCTTCATGAAATGCTGGCAGAAGTGGTGGCTGTGTGTGTGAATAGTTAACTATTCCCTTCTCGTATGTTAAACTTGAAGTGTTTTGAGAAATTATGAATTTGAGAATTGAGACATATTATTAGTTACTATATATTCATTTCATCGTGATTTTGTTTTAGTTGCAAATTTTTTATGCCTTCTGCTAGTGGACTGGTTGGCCTAAAAAGTAGTGTTTGTGCTTTTTATTGACCAAGTTATGCAAAAATGTTTTTGGTAGAATAGCTGTCAAAGTGATCGTGCTTATTCTTGGCTCATTTCCATCTTTCCATCTATACAGTCAATGTTGGGCAAACAGATTTGGCCACCTTTGATGTTATTGGTTTTATTTCATGGTGTGTATACTGATAGCTAGTTATATACTTAATATGAAATTGTTTTGTTCTGCAGACGTTGTTAAAGGTGAAGGGAAGGAAATTCCTGATGTAGTCAAACGATGGGTTGAACATTATGACAAAAACCAGAAATCCGCAACTGCTGATCTCTTGTCTATGCTTTTTGAGGTTATTATATACTATGTTCTAATCAGCATAGTCCTATCATATTTGATAACTTTGTAATACTACTTCATTGTTTTATCATGGGCAGGCATGTGGAGCAAAATATTTCCTTCAAGAAGAGGATATAGATATGACTGATGTTGATGACGTGGTGGTTGCTCTTGTTAATATGGCTAGAAGAGTATCCTTTGCTTTGTCAATTTGAACGAAAACATCTTTCCTTCTTGTTTTCTTCTTCATGGAATCTTATAGAATGTTATGGTTCTTTCATATGCATTTTTTGTTTTTTCTTCCCTTCTGCAACACACAAGCACCATCATCTTCCACGTAAATGACAACTAGAAAAAAACTACATATATACAACGAAACTTGAGATTTCCCTTAATAAATTACAACTTAGGGGGAAATTGAAGATTATCAGAGTTCGAAAAGGGGATTCAAGAATTTCAAAGATAATCTTATTTATTTCTGGGACAATTTGGTTAGCGAATGTCAGAGTGGACCACTCTTTGATCAGTCATTATTTGATCGGTGTTTGGACTACATCATTGCCTTGTCATGGTAAGTATTTGATATTGAGTTACTGGGAAGATAAAATAGAATTCTGTAGCTTCTCTAAGCTTATTGTTTATGTTTTGCAGCACTCCTCCTAGATGTTACCGTCAGATTGCCTCACTGATGGGACTTCAACTTGTCACATCCTTCATTAATGTTGCTAAAGTGCTTGGTGCACAGAGAGAGACCACTCAGAGACAGTTAAATGCTGAAAAGAAAAAAAAGATTGAAGGACCCCGAGTTGAATCGCTTACTAAAAGGCTATCAATGACACATGAAAAGATAACTACCATGGAAGAGATGATGCGGAAAATATTTACCGGGTATGAATCCCTATTGTTTTGATTATGTACATTCAGAAGGTCCTATTCCTTAGTTCTCTGGTCCTTTTGTACATTTATATTGTATGCTTTAGATTCATCTGAAATACTTGTATTTTGAAGGTTATTTGTGCACCGTTACCGAGACATTGATCCAGATATCCGGATGTCATGTATAGAATCCCTTGGTGTGTGGGTACTGTCATATCCCTCACTTTTCTTGCAGGATTTGTATTTGAAATATCTTGGATGGACATTGAACGATAAAGTAAGTTACAAATAGTCAATTATGTTTGGGCTGTGAGGTTTTATTTTCCTCATGCTGAATATATTTACTTATAATCCCTTCTGCTTTGAAGAGCGCTGGTGTTAGAAAGACTTCCGTTCTGGCATTGCAAACTCTTTATGAGGTGGATGATAACGTTCCATCTCTTAACCTTTTCACGGAGAGATTTTACAAGCGGATGCTCGAGCTTGCTGATGACATTGATATTTCTGTGTCAGTATGTGCAATAGGCCTAGTAAAACAGCTCTTGAGGTATCTAGCAACCACTTGAAACTATTGCTTTGCTGAACTGTAATATAATTCATGGGGACACACTTGAAACCTTTCTTTACAAGTTGTTTTGTGATATATTTGCAGACATCAACTAGTGCCTGATGATCAACTAAGTTCTTTATATGATTTATTAATTGACGATCCACCAGATGTTAGGCGTGCTATTGGAGCACTAGTATATGATCATTTGATTGCTCAGAAATTTAATAATTCACAGTCTCGCTCAACAGGTTTTGCTTTTACTGTTCTCTGATGCATCTGATTTTATTAGTAATGTTTAGTAATCAGATGGTTTTTTTTTGTTTTTTTTTTTTTTGTTTTTTTTTTCTGGTTCTTTTGCAGGTAGTGACAGTGATTCTTCAAAGGTTCATATTAGTAGAATGTTGAAGATACTAAAAGAGTTTTCAACTGACCCCATCCTGAGTTTATATGTCATTGACGATGTCTGGGATTACATGGGCGGCATGAAAGTACGTAAATACAAATAGATAACATATGTTTTGGGTGGCAGTTCAAATGTTTGGGGTATAGTAGTTGGAGATGCAGATGATAATAACTAACAGCATTTATCATTCTCAATATATTGACTGTAACCTATTTTGTTAATAAACCATTTTGTAGTGAATAGAAGCTTACTAGGTATTTGAATCTTTTAAATTAGGTGAATGGCTGATTATTATAATTTATTTGACAATTAACTTAAATATTCAGTAATCATATGTTTCCTTAACTTATTTTTTACTATATTGAATTTTCATTTCATATTTATTGCTGTTCATTTATTACCTGGATCATGTTTCTTTTCTTCATATCACTTCATTCAACTCAATTCGTTAGTTTCCATTTCTCTGAGCAAATCTAAAATTAGTAAATTTCTTTTTGGTACTAAAAACAGGTAGAAAAATTTATGGCTAGAGATAAACTTTATTGCTAAAAGTTCAAGGGAGCCTTTAAAAAATTAATTAGGATGGTTTCTGATCTTTTTCATTAAACTGGTTGAGTCCTTGTATATAAGTATTCTCTCTGAAAGAGATCGTGGTACTTGTAGGACTGGAAATGTATCATTCAAATGCTACTGGCGGATAACCCATCAGCTGAGCTTGATGATGTAGATGCAACAAATTTGATTAGGCTTCTCTTTGCATCAACAAGAAAGGCAGTAGGAGAAAGGATTGTTCCTGCAACTGATAATAGAAACCCACATTATACCAAAGCTCAAAAGGTTTGTGAGATTTTAGCTCCATCCTTTTCTTTTCTTCAAGTATTCTAGCATTCCAATCTATTATTTATTTTCTTCTGTTAGTTCTATTTTAGCCTGAACATCAACTATGATTCCATTTGTGGGTTGACAAGGTTACCATGGTTCTCTTTCTTATATTATTTTTATATTCAGAGTCAAGTTAAATTATTATTTTTTTTCTCTAACAATTACTAGGAAATATTCGAAAACAATAAACGTGATGTCACAGTTTCCATGATGAAGACCTATCCTCAGCTTCTACGCAAGTTTATGCCTTACAAGGACAAAGTATCACCTCTAGTTGAAATTATCGTTCACATGAATCTTGAGCTTTATTCTCTCAAGAGACAAGAACAGGTTGGTTTAATTAATGTGCTTGGCTATGTGGGTCAATGGACTTAGCTTACATTAATTGCAAATAAGATCGCGTTCGTTCTTTTTTCAGAACTTTAAAGCTATTCTTAAACTTATGAGAGAGGCATTCTTTAAGCATGGGGAAAAGGATGCTTTGAGATCATGTGTGAAAGCAATCAAGTTTTGTGCCACGGATAGCCAAGGAGAATTGCAGGACTTTGCTCAGAATCAGATCAAAGAGCTTGAGGAGGAGTTGATTGGAAAATTAAAATCTGCAATAAAAGATGTTGTGGTATGGGATGTATTCAATGTATATTCTCTGTATGTATTAGCATAAAGTTGCGAGTATTGACATGTTTTGTTGGCAGAATGGTGGTGATGAATACTTGCTGCTTGTAAATCTGAAAAGGTTATACGAATTTCAGTTGTCACACAGAGTTCCTCTTGAAAGCATGTATCAAGATCTTGTACATGTACTCAAGAGTTTCAGAACCATAGATGATGAGGTTTGTAAACTAAATGCTGTCATTTTGGAAGCAGATTGTTCCTTCTAGGCTTTCTGATAATCATCTGCTTCTCTAATTCAGGTTATTGCCTTTCTGCTTCTAAATATGTTCTTTCACGTTTCATGGTGCCTGCAATCTGTTTTATCCAGTGAAACAGTTTCAGAGGCACGGGTATCTGCTCTGGTAGAAAAGCGTGATGCCTTGTTGGAACAACTTGAGTACTTTCTTGATAAACCTTTAAAACTTCATGGTGATGTTAGGTGTAAAAATCAGCTGGCGTATAGGGTTAGCATTCTCTATGCTGTGACTTTTCTTTTTCTCCCCGCTGTGTTTCGACTCTTGCTCATATCTAAGTTGACTAAAGAAAATATAGAAATGTTTTTATTTGACACTTCCTACGCGTACTATTTTTGGCAGGTTTGTGGTATCCTTGCAGATACGTGGTGTTTATTCAAAAGGATTAGATTTGCCTCGACAAATCTGGAAATGTTAGGGTACTCTCCAGATGAGTCCATTGTTAAGAAGTACTGGAAAATGTGTGAGCAACTACTAAATGTCTCAGGTAACCAACTGCATCTCTTGTAACCAGTACTCTGTTGCTTATGTGTGTTTAGGCTGTAGCCTAAGATTACTAAGGGAATAACTATATATTTTTACATGATTTAAAAGAGTTGAATTCTTATAGTTAGCGTTAAGGACTGTTTATTCTAACTGACCTAAGCTTTTGGACTGCACAAGGGTACAAATTGAGGTGGCTAAGACTGTCATTTCTCCAGTTCTATGATCTGCCTTAGATTTTGCAAAATCTTTCTCCTGTAGTTCTATATTGCTTGACCAATAAGATTTTCCTCTAGACCTCTGCCTTTAAAGTTCCTGTTCACTGGTTTGTGTTTGCCTTTTTTGTATTTGTTTAATATATGCTCGTGTGAACCTGATGTTCTTTAAACCTTTGATTCACTTTAGATGATGCAGAAGAAGATGAAGGAAACAGAGAATATGTGGAGGAGACTAATGCAGATGCTGTCATGTTTGCTCTGGCCAAATTAGTGGCTACTGATTCAGTTCCTAAGGTAGTTTGGCTTTTTGTAATTATTTTATGACTTGTTTGTGTAATGCACAAGCTGATTTATATGCTTTGAGGTGTTTTTTACTTCCATTTTTTGTCGTTGTTTGTGGATGTTAATCCCGGTATATATGTCCATTCTTTGGGAAAAATAAGGCTACTTTAAAGTTTATACTGTTTTTCCCCGAGACACATGGCAAGTTCTCAAATAACCTGGAGATTCATGATTGTATTCTGACTGCAGGAGCATCTTGCCCCAGAGATCATTTCTCATCTGGAGAAGTATGGTACCAGTGTCAGTGAAACTGTGAAGCATTTAGTCACCTCCTTAAAGAAAAAGGGAGACATATCAAGTATTCTTATAGAAACGCTGAAAATGGTAACCCTATTTTGGAGATATTTACTATTCGATTTGTCAGTCTGAGTGGCATGAATCAATTCTTCTTCCTTAATGCTTTCTGATATTTACCTTTTTTTTTTTTGTTTTTTTGTTATCTGGCTAGGCCTACCAAAGGTACCTGGTAGCACTTTCTGGCAATGATAAATCACTGTCAAGCAAGTTATTTCAGGAATGTAAAAGTCTTGCTGCTCGGCTGTCTGGGTCATATGTTGGTGTCGCCCGAACCAAGTATAAAGCTGAAATTATGAATATTGTCAAAGAAGGTATCAGTTATGCGTTTTCACGTGCTCCGAAGCAATTGTCATTCCTTGATGGCGTAGTGCTTCATTTTGTATCCAAACTTCCTGCACCTGACATACTTGACATGTAAGAGATGCCCATAGCTGCGTATTGAATTTCACAATCTTTTTTTTTCCTGATCATTAACCTATTTCGTGCATTTGATTACATACTTTGGTCGTTATTTAAAAAAGATTCGTATCACAGTCATGTTAACCATTGAGTTTCTTTGTATATCACTAGCATGAGAGGAGTTGAGAGAAGAACTGAAAATGTGAAGACTGATGAAGATCCCAGTGGGTGGCGTCCCTATTACGCATTTCTAGACACTATTCGTGAGAAATACCTGAAAAATGAAGCTGTAAAAGGTACCACTTCCAGTTTTCTGGTTTTGTTGTCCGCTTATTCAGTCAACCTATTCTCAAATGTGTAATCATGTATACCTTCACGTTTAATTATGTAGTGCATTTAATATAATCTTCTGCTTCTATGAGTTTGATTCGTGGTTCTTTGCTCCTGTTGCTCGTAGCATTTAAATTACCTTCTCTTGTATTGACTTTTGAGGTTTGCAGGAATTTGGTTTTCTGCTTATTGCTGATAATTTGAGGGGAAACCTTTCCACCCACCTAACCCACACACACACACACACACACACACACACACACACACACACACTCTCTCTCTCTCTCTCTCTCTCTCTCTCTCTCACACACACGCACACACACACACACAAAAACAATATTATCAAACAGTTTTAAGTTAATTCAAATATGATTTTTTATAATTAATTTTTTGTTCATAGTGCCTCTTACTAGGATGTTGTGTGTTTACGTATCACAATTTTATCACATATAAGCGATCTTATGCTTATTACCAACCTTCTGTGCAATAAAGTTGCAGATGGTAAAGAAGGTACATCTGTGAGACGTCGGGGTCGTCCAAGAAAGAAACAGGATCTACAAGGAAAAAGGCTTTTTGACGAGCAAAGTTCGAGTGAAGAGGATGATTCAATTAGTGGGTCTGATCAAGATGCAACAGTTGAAGAAAAACAAGAAGACGATGAAGAGAATGTGCCTTTGATACATTCACTTAAGGCATCATCCAAGCTAAGATCTTTGAAGGTTTCTAAAGAGGACAAGAGAGACCAGACAAGGACAGTAGATGCTGGAAGAAGAGCAACTGAGGAGTTAACTCCAAAAACTTCAGGTACATGCAAGTTCATTTCATGCCATGCTTGAGGGTTATATTTAGGATTAACGTATGGAGACTGTCAAGAGTTTTGCTTTTACTTTCATGCTTCCTCGATTCACGTAATCTCAAGGGTTGGCTTCATAATATATCCTGTCTAGCAATACCTTACATTTGATTTATGTGCAAATATCAGCCACAAAAGTGTTTTCGTTCCTTTTCTTATTTCTGAACTTATAGGAAGTTAATTACTATCACTAATGACGTATTTCAGAGAATAAAATATTACTTTTTGGGTGCAGGGGCGTCGAGCTAGCAAGCATTGAACTAACAGGAGCTGGAAATGGTGTGCCAATGTAACTGGCAGTATGACATGTAAATTATGATGTTTATCACAGTTAGCCATAGCATCTGAATTAAATCCCCCACCCCACCCCACCCCACCCCACCCTAACCCCTAGGGTTCTGTAGATGAATGTAGAAATACAACTGCAAGTTAGGTTGGAGTTTCATTCCTTCGTACTGTATTTCTTCAGATAATTTCCACTGTTCTTTTTCTTTTTTGTAACATGCGATTGCGTTCATTGGAAGAAAAGGGAAAATTACGAATAGGATTTAACAAAAAAACATAGTCATAAATACTGATGAAGAAATGCTATAGGAGACGTATATATCTGACAGTGCAGTGCATGACAACAATTTTGGACCATTATTATCTTCACCCTTTTCTTCAGATTTAAAAGTCTTGAATTATTATTTTTTAATGTATTTATCTCAAGATGAAATTTTTGTAACCCTCATCATACATGGGTATTGGTTAGTGACTATCTACTCTTCACACATAGTAAACATGGTACTATTGACACTCGAAAACCTGGAGGGGCGGGGGGGTGATTCGATCACATATTGGAAGTTCTCGATTTTACCAAATGTCCGAACAAAAAATCAACTCGCTCAAAAATTGGTGGCTCAGGCCATGACCAACATACATAGTACAGTCTAAAATGTTATCGCTATAAATAATTCTTTTAATTGAAATACACGGTAATAATAAAAGAACATGTACATAAACACATCCCAGTAAAAAAAAATTACTCAACTTCTTTGAGAATTCTATCTTTACGTAATTGCTTCTTTGGAATACTTCCTGGGGTACTGTGAGCTCTCCTCCTTTCATCTTTCTTCCTTATAGCATCATTTTGGATACGCTTAAGAGAAGCTGCTTTGTATATTGGTTTCGGCAAGTGTCTATGCCTGTAAGGAACAACAAATACACGTGTAAGATGTTTGCTCACATTAAATTACAAGATATTCAATAGCTATTGTGAAGTTGAGGTCGATTATCTCAAGATATATATCTAATAAACGCTCGCTAGTCACCCGATTAGTATAGCAGGGGACACAAGGGTAATTAGAAAGACCCCAACATAGGAGCGGAGCAACACTTCCCTTTCTCATCTTTTACCCCTCAGTGTGCAAGTTTACATTTGAACACGTAAAAATTGAATCTAATATAATATAATATATCTTGAATAGATGCATGTACCTGACTATGCGCTTAACCTCAGGAAGATGCTTGTAACGATTCTTGACTGCCTCCAGATATTCGTGGTTTTTACGTTCTCTTGGCAAAAGCTGCAAAGGTAGCAAATATTCAATTATATCACAGTCGATGTGGTGAATATTTTGGCTTATTGCAAGAAATTAAACAGAATATAAGGAAGAAGAGATTCATACAACTCCAAGTTGCTCAGATGCTTTAGCCTTCCAAAGTCGAAGGTTTGTATCATCACTCCCAGAGACAACATAACTTGCATCGGAACTGAACTTGACACAGAATACCCTACATAGATAAAAAGGTTGTGTCATGACATATTTCTAATAATGTTCAGATGGATTGTGTGACGTAAGAAACAAACATTTTCGCTAACATACAGCCACAAAGTCAGCTGAGTTATAGTAATAGTTTCTCATGACCAATATTGCTAATTACAAGCAAAACATCATTACTGAGAAAGGTCTAAATGTAAACAGTTTCAATTTGCAATTCAAACCTTTGCATTCTCTTGGTGTGATAAATTTCTCGGCTGTGACCGGCATTATATTGGTATATTCTAACCTGCAAAATGCAATATATATTCGTATTACAACATATGTCTTCACAAGAGAAACCAATTTTTAATATGTAAATAAGTATAATAAAAGAGAAGAAAACCCACAGTTCTATCATAAGATCCAGTTACAAATTCACGACCAGTTGGTGAGTAGTCAATGTCCATACTGCATGAGGTACATGAAACATTAGCAAACATTTTTTTATATTGAATATTACATGTAAAACATACAAAAATATTATAAGCTAGACTTACACTGCAGAAAGATGGTCTTTATGCACACATTTAGCCTCATCCAATTTCCGAGCATCATAACTATAACAATTGGAATCTTCATTTGCCTGCATTGGCATAATATGTCAATTCATCATCACGGTATTTAAGGATATGAATTTGAACTGGGAATCCCAGCCTCTAGCTTGACCATGCTACTTTGAAAAGTTTTGAGATCAGAAAAATGAACTAATATGCCGAACAAACTTCACATGCTTATCAAAATCAATGGAATCAGTGATGTATCATGGAAAGAGGAATATGTTAAGCAACTGTCTTGAATTTAGTGTTTCCTAAGGAGTTCTGCAACTACCTCAAGATCGCATTAGAGGAAAAAGCATCGGAAATAAATATGACAACTTCAGAGACCAGGATTTTAATATCGGCACAAGAATCCTAGCTCCTTAAGCATAGTACAGATTAAACTGAAGATAGAAGCAGTAGGTAGGAAAAACTTGGCTATATTTCTATCACATAATTTTCTCACAATTTCCAGACGCGCAGATTTCAATTATTTGGTAAGCTATTTTTAATCTCTAATTTAGCATACAAATAAAAAATGTAAAAGAAAACTAGTAGTTCTGTGTTGACTTACAGCTGTAAAGTTCATTGGCTCCATTGGATTCCATGCTATAGAATTAGTTTTATTCTGTGAAAGAAGAAAGTGAGTTAGGACAAATAGTTAACAGAACAAAATGAGTTAAACAATAAAAGTATGACAAGTACCCTCTATGAGAAACAAGGCTAAACAAACACACAGTTGCAGTTGTATACGAGACACATCATGTTTATACGTCTCTTCAACATCCGATACAAGACTAAATTATTACTTATGAACAATAATAAAAAGATCACCACATTCCAGATCTTACTAAAGTAAAATGAGCTATCTAAACATCAGATGATTTATGCTACAGAAAGATATCGAGATTCTTCATGCAAGATCAGATAACTTTTCAAACCCTTCTTCCAAAAATCCAAAAGTGAGGTAAGAAACAGATTTGAGTTTGTCCTATTCCTTGAAATTCTACTGATACTATCAATATCTTAATAGACTAACTCTACAAAAATGAAGAGTGCATACACGTTTTTACTACCGTCCAGATTTTTGAGTTTTGATGAACCAAAGTTCAGTATGGAAATAAGATTACAATTCTCACAGACTACATGATTAAGAATGTGTAGTCTAGAATACGCCATTTACATACATATGTATGATGTTTCTTTACATGAAAAGATATAAAAATTGCTAAACTCACACTCATAATAATCTTTCTTGCCGGAGATGACAATCGTAGATCGTATATTGTAATGCTTCGATCACTGCAATTGCAGAAGTGGAAAAGATTAAGGATAGCAACCTCAACTGATATGATAACTTGTAAAAATCAGCTATAAAGATATAGTCAACTGTAAATTATACAGGCTGAAGATAAAGAATAGATTTAGATGTGAAGATTGTGAATCTGTAATAAATAGTTACAACATGCATCTGCTTGACCATATCAACAGGCATTATTAACTCAAGTTTCACATAAATCACACCTGGATGATGTTGCCAATATATTTGGTTCTCCTGGATTGAATCGTACAGATATGGACGTATCATTACCCCATGCAAAACTGTTAACAGGCTGAGACCTGATTGGATGGAGAAAGGCAAAATGTTGGGATATATACATTTTTAGATTATGATAAAAAAGAATTCGAAAGGTGTTCGCATGAAACCTGTTGTGGTTCCATATATCTACTTGAGCTCCAGCTGTAGCAAAAAGATCACCATCCCACTGGTGATCAACAGCCCTGAAAGAAAAAAACAAAGTGGTTAGAGAAAGCTGAATATACATTACTGAATACAGATGATGGTACTAATCTACGTAAGGTATAAGTTGAACAAAAACAAAAGAAATTACCGGAAGGCATTTTTGCAAACATAGACTGCTAGAGGCTGCAAGAAATCCCGAGCCAAAATATAGGTGTTCAGTCACATAGAAGATCTAATATGCAGTCAAACTGAAACAACTAAACAGATAAACAAAGAACCACTAACCTTGACTTCGTTGTCATCGGACTCCATAAGAGAAGGAATAGGGACATTCCAGAGCCTTACACTGAAACGTGGAGGTCAAGTTCAAATGATCAGAACAATATGGCATATTAAGCTGCTTGGATATAACCTGGATTTAAACTAAGTATAAAGTCATATAGAGGGATTAAGTAGGGCTCACGTTGAATCAGTTCCACATGACACAAGAACACGACCATCAGTTGATGCTGTCAGACCGCGTACTGCACCCTGGTGACCAGGAAACTGGCATACCGTCCGCCTAGTGCCATAACATATAAAATATTCAGAGCATGCATAAGAATTTAAAACTTTTTCCTAGTTGATCCTAGATTATTCGGAGTTACCACATATATTAGTTTGGAAAATGTATATCTACAAATTCGATGCATATACATGTATATAGATGCCAATATATAAGTAAATAGTAAGGAGTTGTGCACAGTGTGATATATTGGTCAACAACAGCACTTGAAAAACGAATCACATGCAAGTTATTGATATTACCTGGTGGCTAAATCCCAAAGACGAATATCTGCAAATGAAACAAAGTAGCACAAGTTTTAGAATTCAAATGCTCCAATAAAATGCGAGAAACTCATCTCAAGACCCTCACTTCACATTACAAAAATCCATAAATTCAGCGAACAAAAGCATCAGCGATAGCCGATAATTAACTTCCCAAACATCGGTATATTGTGTGTAATACCAAACTAACGAGTTAAAATAAAACGGAATTTTAATACAGATACAGATTAAAGGAGTATACCTCCATCCATGGAACCAGAAAATATTCCCTTTAAATGATTTGGGTTCTTAGCCATACAAGAGACTGCATCAATGTGCCCATCCATTGCTCCAACAAACGGCCGTGCAAATATCTTTCAACACCAAAAATAAAAAAGCAACAGCTACATTTATTTCCGAATTTCATCCACGAACAGCAAGTTAAGGAAAACAACATACAGAAAATTAACTCATAGCATCAAAATTAATAGACATAGTTGATGTACCTTATCCAACTTAGCTGCATTAAGAGCGCGAACGTACTCAACAGACTTCTCTTGGGATCGAAGATTAGGGTCGAAATTACGAAAAACTCTCTGCAAAACATTCAGAAATCTCATTTCTCTGTCCTAAACATAGAAGATAAGGAGGAGTTCGCGTTGAGAAGGAGAATACCTGAAGATCCTGGCTTCGTTCCCGGGTGAATTCATCCGTAGAGCGAGAAATCACTTTCACCTTCATTGCGTGAATGTGCGTCGAAATTCAAAAACCCTAGAGAGACCGAAGTAGAAGTGCAGAAAGTGGGATTTTAGGGTTTTAGGACGGAGATGCGAAGGAAAGATAAAATAAAACAACAAATAAAATAATTTGACCGTTTAGGGTCTAATATAACTTAAAAATAGGAAAATTACAAAAAGTGTCTTAAAACAAAATTTATATATCCAAATAATTCAAAGAAAAATTATGGGTAAATTCACTTTCCCCTCTTGTACTTTGGTTCGGTATCGCTTTATCCCTTCTACTCTCAATTGCGCCGATTTGCCCCCTTGTACTTTGGCTCTACCCCTTCTACTTTCAATAGCATTGATTTGCCCCCTTGTACTTTGACGCGATATCATTTTACCCCCTTCTACTCTCAATTGCATCGATTTGCCCGCATGTACTTGAAAATTTGTCTAACTGTGGCAATCGCCGTTAGTTTTCACACATTTACCTTAAACACCGTTTGATCTAAGTTTGAAAATTACAAAAAAAACTACCCCTCTCAGTTTAAATAATTATTAAAAAAATTAAAAAGATAAAAAGTAAATTGTGACTGGCGTCGTGGACTATGTTTTATCATTGTCTTCATTTTTTTTTATTATTTCTTTTATTTATTTATTTTTTAATAATTATTTAAATTGTGAGGGGTGACTTTTTAGTAATTTTCAAACTTAGATCAAATGGTGCTAATGTCAAATGTCTGAAAACTAACGGCGAATGCCACATCGAGAAAAAATTTCAAGTAAAGGGGGGCAAAGATGCAATTGAGAGTAGAAGGGGGTAAAGCGGTATCGTGCCAAAGTACAAGAGGGGCACATCGATGCAATTGAGAGTAGAAGGGTTATAAAGTGGTATCAAATCAAAGTACAAGAGGGCAAACCGATGCAATTGACAGTAGAAGGGGGGTAAAGTAATATCGAGCCAAAGTATAAGTGGGGAAAGCATAATTTACCCAAAAATTATTATTATATTCAAAAAATCATAGCCAAAATGTTCAAAAAAAAATGTTAAGAGAGTTTCTTTAATGGACTAAATTATCCATTGATATTATAAATTTGTAGTGTTATTTTGCCATAAGGACATCTAATTTGAATTTCCTTAGCGCCCGAGCGTAGTTGATATTATTAAATTTCAAACTTTACATATCTCGATGTTCACATTATTAACTTAAAAACCCATTGGAATGGAGAGCAAATATCATGTAGTTTCCTTGTAAATTATCACAACTGAGCTACACCATATATGATCGGTGGTGACAACCTTTGACGACGGTCAGAGACAATGGCGTCGTGCGACGAAAAACGGACATATACAGCTCAGTTTCCAGACGTACATATAAAGAGAAGAATCACAAAAAAAGAAAAAACGAGCTTAGGGCCTTTTATTTTTTAGTTTATATACAGGGGCAATTATGTCCGGAAAATAATAAACTATTAAGTAGTGGATTTTTTTGAAAAACAAAAAATCCTAATGGTCCTTTTTTTAATTAAATATAAAAAGTTTCTAAAAAGAAATAATAATAATATAAAAGGCGCGGCTACAAGATTCAGGGGCATAATAGTCATTTGGGTACAGTACCGACGCCACCGCGGCGTATGGTAGCATCGCGCCCCCACTGCACTATTTATTAGCGAAAAATAGAAAAAAAGGAAATAAAATTGAAAAGATTTGTGTCGTTGCTCTCTCAAATTGGCTCCACTTCTCTGCCCTTTTCTCCAATTTCAGCAACACTGCTTCGTTCATCAAAAGGGGTAACTCCAATTCTTCCTTTGTTAAACTTTTATTTAATTATTCTGCATACTTAGGGTTTTTTTCTTTTTAGGCTTAAATTGACCCTTTTAGGTATTCTTTCCCTCGATTTTGCTCGTTTAAGAAAAAACGCGCACAAATTTGAAACGTGAACTCACTCTGTATGTATGTGTGTGTGTGTGTGTGTGTGTATCTCAGTGCGTGTATATACTATATACTGAAGCAGAAACGCATGGTTGTAGTTTTGTATGTGTTTGTGTATGGGTGTTCGAACAGTTAGATATAGGTTTTTGGTACTCGAAATAGTTTTGTTTGTTTTAATTAGTTTATTTTGTGTTTGAAGATTTTCAGGAATGATGGCATCGAATGAAGCTTCCACCAGCACTGAGCTAATCAGCACTCTACTGAGATGCCGAGCCGAGGTGGTGAGTTTGGTGAAATAAAATTAATTGGGCCTGTTAGCTTTTACATTAGTTATTATGTCTATGAATATTTCCACTTGAATTGTGCATGAAGTGGGTGCCCTTGTTCATCTCCATACTCCTCCGTCTCGGTGTATTTGGGTGACAGATAAAGTTGATAATTGACAAGTTAAAATAATTTACTTTTGGGCCATCATTAAGAAAGTCGTGCAACTCTTGTTTTTATACTCCCATTGAGGATAGTTTTCAGTTTTACGTTTCCCCTTTTTTAACGAGGATTTCGTTGTTACACGTTATTCGATCCTTGCTCAATAACTTAGCAAGCAATTTTGATAGTAAATTGAGGTTATGGATGATTAAAAAATGGTGGTTAAGGTAACAATGAGAGAGTGTATCGTGACAAAAAACATTGTTAGTATACACTAACCATGTGAAAAGCAAATTACCATGGAACTGTCTATGCTGGCATGGTTTCCCTTTCACGTGTCTCCTTACACCGAATCTTGAAGTCGTCTCATGTAGGTAGATAAAATGCATTGAAAAACCAAGGTTGCTTGATGACCATATGTTATGTGTGATAAAGGTACTTGATATAATTGCCGCTGTAAAAGGATTGCATGAGCTCAGCCCACAACAGATCAGCAAATTAATCAAGGATTCTGGGAACAATGTTGTTCGGCACATTGCTGAAGATGGATCACATATACAGGTTGTTAGGAAGAACTAAATAGCTTCTTATTTATTATAGCTATTGTTTTTGCTGTTTAAACACTGATATAGTAATTGATATATTGCAGGTTGACTTGGAAAAGTTTGCGAGGTATCTTCCCCTTCACCTAATTGCAGTGATTATGGATTGGGAGAGGGACAGGTCAACATTCAAGTACTTGTTATGTGGAGTTCTTCTATTGCATTCCATGTGTGATCTTGCATCTCGGGTGCCCAAAATTGAGCAGGTTATAGATGTTAAACTGCATCTGTTTATCATATATATACTAGTGTAGCGGTCCAAGTTTTTCTGAGTTAGCTAATGTTTGAGGTCATATTATACTTATAATTGTACAAGCTAGCTACCTTATGAAAGTTAATAAACAAAGGGATGAAAAGAAAAAAATTCAATTGATTTGGTTGCTTTACTTGCGGCTTCACCTAGGAAATTTATAATTGATAATAGCACCACGAGGGTTGTTGCCTTGTTGGTTGGGGATCCGTTTTTCTTTCCATTGTTTCTTTCACTTTCTTTTCAATTTTTTATTCTTCTCAATTGTATTATATTTTATAAGAGTTCCCATGTATAAAGAAGATCCATGGAATTATATCAGGGATGCATATCCCGAAACTCTTAGCAAGTATATTTAGCTAATGAACCTTAACATGATCTGTTTCCTGCTTAAGTGGTTTCCTTTCCTAGAATGCCCACAAACCGAACGTTATTAGTTCATTGTCGATTTATAGTAGGGCTATCAAAGAAAGATACCTCTACTTTATGCTCTCTTTCTCATTGCAGTTTACAGCTGTCAATGACACGCTCATTATCATTTTCACCGTATGATTTCTTTTTTTAGAATTCGTTTGCTTTTATTGGGAATTTGTTTTCTTTCTTAATCTTTTTTACATCGTCTTTGAGCTTTTGGATATATTTGTTTTCATTGTACGTGTTGTCATGATGTGCTTTATATATCAGAACCGATTCATTCATCCATCTTCACATGTCTTCTGTTACAGATATTGCTCGATGACGTGAAAGTATCAGAACAGCTAATTGACTTGGTCTTTTATTTGCTAGTTCTCCTAGGTGCATACAGACAGGTTTTTTGCGCAGTCTCTCTCTCCCTCCCTCCCTCCCTCCCCCCTCCCCCACACACATGCACTGACTGCATTGTCTTCTAGGAATATCACAACACTCCAAATGAGATGGTTCTCTTGCACTCAGCCTTGGTTGCCTGCGGTCTAAAATTGCTAACGGTGATTGTTTCCCAACAGTACCAAGAGGTTGCTCAAGTTTTGGTTGCATATTACAAGGTGATTTTATTGAGTTCTTTCAATAATGGGGCATACTGTTGGTGAAATTAGATCAACCTTGTTAGAAATTCTCACTTAAAAAACATGTGAATCACTCGGTTCATATTTCTGCCTTTTGTGTTCAAAGCTGTCCGTTTCTTCAAACTACCGTTCAATGATGTCATAGCTGATTATGTGAATTTATAGCAGGTTGACATATTTATGGATGCAGTATTCTCTGCTGTTTGTATAGATGTTAAATTTCTGCAGACCAAGCTGTCTGCTGAACAGGCCGAGTCCTCTGCAAACACTTCCCCTACTGCTGAAGAGACCTTGAATCATCTTTGCCAGCAGTGTGATTCTTCTCTGCAGTTTCTTCAGTCTTTGTGCCAGCAGAAGTTGTTCCGTGAATGCATTGTTAAGAATAAGGTTTTTAATTATGATTCTTCTATTTTCTTTGATTCAGTGTTTTCATTGCCTGAAAGTGTGCTTTAAGATGTCAAGTGTGGTGGAAAAAAATATTCTGCTCGAGGTAAAAGCTGCCCTGGGAAGTTCTAATTTGGCAAATCTGAATTCACCCGACCTGTATGGGTGCTTAACCTTGACAACTTAATTTATTTTCACCCAGGTGCCGTAGATGGAGAGTACTATGATATGCTCCATCCACAAATTGTTTGTTCATTTTTCTGATGAATGTCTTGGTCCTCCTCGATGTAGCTTTTTCTTTTCTCCCCTTAAGTCCTTTGTTTAGGGTAGAGAAGTTGTTAATAGCTGCAAATGTATGCACCAAGTTATATTTTAGGGACATTGCACATTTTAGATTTCTATTACCAATAGCCCGACTTTATCTTCTTGAAAAGAATTGATGTTGGCAGCATTGTTTTAAAAGAATTGATTTCACAACTTCTGAAGATAATGACTTTATCTTCTTGCCTTACCTTGATTACGTTTATTTTTAGTAAGTTATAGTTATCTTAGATCTTCTCCTTTGGTTTTATCTCAGTGATCAAATTCAAATTTCAAATTCATCATTTACATTCGTTTTCAGGAGTTGTGTGGCAATGGAGGTGTTCTTGTACTCATTCAGGCTGTTATGAAATTAAACCTATCACCCTTGCGCAGTGCATCCTCGTATACAATTTCGGTCTCTCGGCTGAAGTCTAAAGCTTTATCTATTGTGAGTTACAGTCCAACTGAAATTTCAGTATTTTAATGGAAAAAACATTAGACTTCAGAATTGATCGTGTTTGTATTCGCCTATGTAAGACCTTTAGTGTTTATGTAAATGCAATATGTCCTACTGCAGCTCTTGTATCTCTGTGAAGCAGAGGGTGTCTCCTACTTGGACGAGGTTGCAAACAACCGTGGAAGTCAGAACTTGGCAAAGTCTATTGTGTTACAGGTATTGGTGTCAGGAATAAAAGTTTTTCTTAACATTTTTTGACTTAAAGATCTATGAGATGACATAATTTTTTTCGTTTATGCTCGAGAAAGGAAAGCCTTCTTGCTGATCTCTTAATTTTGAGAAGTTAGCAGTTGTTGCAATTGACTAATGAAATAATTCGGAAGTGCTTGTAATTTTTTTATCACTTTGAGGCCACCCAGATAACGTTATTCAGACCCATTTACAATTTTTACTGCATAATTCCTACTAGAAGAAACCCGTGATAGAATTGGGTCTAAATTGGATTATAATAGCTTCTAATGAATAATAAGCATTTCAGAATGTGCTGCTTTTAGAAACCTGGTTCAATTTATATATAATTGTCATTCTCTCCTTTTAATATTAACGGTGGTCATACTTGATTTTTTTCATTTTGTTGGGTTAGCTTTGTGATTTTGATGTCTTTTTCGTGTTAAGCCGGATTTAATGTCCCTAAGTGAGTGTTATTGTGGTATTTCTTTTGGTCAGGTTCTTGAATTACTGAAGAAAATGTTTGGTATAGATTCTAATCAGTTAACTGCTTCCTCTGAGATCATTTATCCAAAGGGGCAGCTGGAACTTAATGCAATGCTTCTGGCAGACGTCTTCTCTGATGATTCTAATTTTCGACCGTTCATCGTGATAAACTTTGTAAGCATTTGTCTACGGTACAGTTAATGTGACTTCCTACAGGATGTGCTTGTTTTAGTTTTTCTTTCCTTTTTGTATCTATTGGCTGATCTGGGCTTTCTTATTATAATTAGCCATGGGTTTTCATGAATAAAGACCTCAAAACAAGCAAGTACGATATCTAACTATAAAGGTTCAATGTTTTAAAAACACAATTTATTTTGAATACTTACATTTGTTGTTAGCAATCATAAACAACATCATGGCTGTCAGACATGGAGCTGCATTGGATACACCATGTATCAGGCAGGCTTGATTTTTTTTTTTTTTTTTTTTTTTTTTTTCTTATTTGAATCTCAAGGAAATTTTAACAATTATTGGTTCAATTAATAGATATTATTTATAACATACAGATTTTGAATGAAAAGTAGGATGAAACTAGAACATAATTACTAAATACTGTGGTGATCACCTTAGTTGTTTATCTTGTCTAAGATGGCAATAGCGCATTTTATGAACTTTGTGTATACAACAGTTAAACTCACGCTGCATGTTGGCATTCCCTAGAGTGTGGCAGAACATCCACTAGAAAAAATGTCAACTCAGCTTAACTAAAGAATCCTGATCTTGTAGTATCTGGAAAATATAGAAAGAAAAAGAACATCCAAACCAGTCACCATTTAAGGTTTGTAGTTTACTGAAGGCATGTTACTTGTTTGATTTTTGATGCGCCTGTTAAATATTTGGCTGGATATGATTATGTATCTACTTCAGTTATCTATTTGAAAAGCTACCATGAACCCGCAACCAACCTATCTTTTGGCTTCTAATGTTTTCTTCAAGGAAATTTCTGAATGATTGAGTTATAAGATTGAAACTAAACATAAAACAGTGTATGTTTATCTTGTTCCCTTACCTTATGTTTTCCTTCAGACTGAAGCTTTGGCGGCAATCTTTTTACTTCCGCCTGGAGAGTTTTTATCTGGTTGGTGTTCATCTTATCTTCCAGTTTGTGAAGACGATGCAATTTCGGAGTATGTATCTTTTACAGCTACTGGATGTCTTGAATTGCTCTTTTATCAAATTAGTTAAATGTATCATTTGCAGCTGCTGCATGGTTTAAAATTACTCTCCCACTTACTTTGTTAAACCAATGTTTTATATTCACCTTTGCTTCTTGCAGTGTATCTCAGGAATCCTATGCCCATCAAAGAACATCTTTATTGATTAAAGTGATAGCAAACCTTCATTGTTTTGTTCCGGATGTATGCCGAGGTACATGATCTCGTATTTTCTTGCTTCTAATTTGGCTGTTATATCTGATCTTCATCTAACTATTTGATTTGTTTCAATTCCAGATGAGAAGGATCTCTTTCTCAACAAGTTCTTTCGGTTCGTACAGCAGGAATCGCAGAAATCGTCAGATGGGTCCTTATCTACTTCTGAATCTGAAAAAACTGCAACCGTTAGCAAGAATTTATGTACAGCTACTTGTCATTTTTCCCCAGTAAGTTAATCACACACGCACACATGTTTCTTACGAGTACTTTGTATTCAGGTTCACTGTTAAGTCATGCAGAATCCTTAGTTCCCCGATCTTTAAACGAAGATGATGTGCAGCTTCTAAGGTAATTTCAGTTAATCTTCACACTCCCTATTGTGATCTGAATCCCTTTTCAGTTTCTTAAATTGTATGTTTGGGGATGGAATACTCCGAGCACTGCCAATGATCATTTTTGTACTTGATGTTGTTCTCTGTGGACCTACTTGACACTTCAGATTTGATTGTGTTCATTCTTGGGTTGATTATATTCTTCTACAGCTATTCTGAGACGTAATAATTTTATTTGTAGGTTATTTATCAGTCAGTTTGAATCTCTGATTGTTCCTGCTGCATCTGAAGACCGTCTAGTCCAAGTAATACCTTCACTTCGTTTGGTAGTAACTGTTTTGATTTTCTTTTCTAGTAGTTGATGCAAGAACTCATTCGCCTTTCAAATTGATAGTTCTGAAATTGTCATTTTGCGCCAATTAACTATGATCGAAATGCACCGCTAGATTCATTCCCCTTACCTTGGCTCTAGCAACCAAGTCTAGGTACCAACTCTCCTAATGAGGATTGGTTACATTATGAAATATTATGGTTATATCAATTGAAAATATGAATTTATTTTAAGGGACAATGACCTTAAGAGCCTATATGATGATATTCACGATATCCTTATTTGTTGAACAATCAGGTCAAGCTTCAATACATTAAGTTCGAATTTTATCCTTTTCTATGGTGATAACGATTTGATCTGTGCATGCTTTTTTACATACACATGTTTGGTCATATAAGATCATGCTAACTCAGTGTTTTTCTGGGTTTTTTACTACTGTCGAAACTTCTTGTTTCTGAATTTCTCTTCATTTTATTCAATTGGTTTACACCCAGTTTGTACCCTTTAGGATTCTCAACATAAAGGCGTGCCCAAAGAAGTAGATCGTGGCTATAGTGACAGCAACGCGGAAAAGCGCACTCTGGAAAATGTTGCCCTCCAAGAAAACCATTTGGATGCCAGCAGAAATCGGAATAGTCAATGTTTTGATGGGGAAAGGAAATATGGGATGGTGGAGCAGTGTACATCCAATGGGGACAACATAAATTTTAGAGAATTTGAGCGAGATTCTCGGACTGTTGAAACTAGTGGGACGGATTCCAGTCCCACACGAGGAAAGAACAGTAGTGATCTGATGGATGTCGATCACGTCAAAGGAAGTGGCTTTGAAGAAACTATGGAGGATGAAAAGGCGGATGCTATGTACTCTGATGAGAAGCAGCAAAGGAAACGTAAGAGAACAATAATGAATGATAGACAGATAGCACTCATCGAATCCGCACTTGTAGATGAACCTGATATGCACCGTAACTTAACATCACTACGAAATTGGGCTGACAGGTTAAGTCTTCAGGTGAGTATAATTATATTGTAGTTGTTATGTTTTGTTTAATTTTTTTTATATAGAGGATTGATTAATAACGCCTTTGTTCCCAATGATTTTTATCCTTCTAATGTTCTTTCTCAGGGTGCTGAGGTTACAACTTCCCGGCTTAAGAATTGGTAGGATTGCCCTCATATTTCCTTTCTCAGGATTCTTCATGTTCAGATCATGTGATTTGGTTTGATATTTGCCGAAGTGTTTGTTTTGCCCACTTGTCAATGGTTCCATAGATGTGAATATTGTCCAATCATTCATAATATGGTTGAATTATTTTCTTGAATTTCAGTATATAACCTAGTTATTTATAGTGGAATAGTCTGCTCCCTCAAGCATTCCATTTAGCTGCAAGATGTATAAAACCATTTTCAATAGTCTGAAGGCAGTCATTAAATCTCTCTCTGCGTCTTCCATCTAGCAGGACTGAAACATAACATTAGGTTGAATTTCAATTTGATGGAGGGTTTGTAGAAGGGATTTCAAATGACTCCAAACGAGATGCATTTGAAATCCACCATAATGACTCGAAAAAAATACTAATTCAAACTGATAGCTAAGGATTTGAATTCCATTACAAAATAAATACACCCAAACAAGTGAGATGGATCTGAAATCCTCCCTTCAAATCCTTCGATTCAATGAAGCCTTATATTCTTATTTCCTTGTGTTGTGTTTGTTTTGCGACAGGCTCAACAACCGAAAAGCTAGGCTGGCCCGTGTAGCCAAGGATGTCCGTGTACCATATGAAGGGGATAAAAATCTCAACAGACAAGGCGGATCTGGAAACCTGGAATCACCCCTCAGTCTTACCGATGATGTTCCTGCTCCTTCGGCTGAAAGAGAGAGTCTAACGAATGATGTTCTAGATGCTGCATTGACAGGTAATGTTGATGAGGATATGGGGACTTCAGTTGCTGCACCTAGAGATAATATTGTAAGAACAGATACGGATTTCGAGGCAGGACAATATGTAATACTTGTTGGTGAGAAAGCAGAGACAATTGGTAAGGCTAAGGTGTTTCAGATTGGTGGAAACTGGTGTAGCAGTGATTTGGATGTATCGGGTTTGTGCGTTGTGGATATTATGGAACTTTTGATTGATAGGTATGCACAGCTTCCCCATCCCGTCGATGCCACTGGCTACTCATTTGATCAGGCTAAGAGAAGACTTGGGAGAATGCTTGTATTGTGGGACTTGAATAAACTTTGTCGATTAATCTGGTAAGAGTTAATAATATCAATGTGTTCTTTAGATCATGAATCTTTTTCGTCTTATATGTTTTTTTTTTTTGTGTTGATTATAGAAGTCTTTTTCATGCTTTAAAGAGATTAAAAACGTGTCATAGGAACTAGGAGTGTATACGTGGTTAAAAATAGTTGATAGTTAGCATTCCTTAGCCTCTCGGCCTTCTTTGGAAGTGTCGATGTGATTGATAAAATTTATTGAACTGGTTAGGATTAAATCGTCAGTGATAATGTAGTATATGTTTCGACTAAACATGAAAAATTATTATTCATATGCTTGATTAAAATCCGTGTTCGTTTTATGATGGGGCTAGATCTCAAATCCCAAATATTTGAGAAACTTTTGATTATGTTGTCTATCTAACAAATTATTTCCTTATTCCCGAACAAGGCTTTCATGTTTTCCTCTCTATGTACAGATAGAAGTGTCGATCGAAGGTGAAGGCAGTGAGTTGGACAGGAATACAAGACGATGGTTATCGGGTATGGCTGTAAAGTAGTGAACTATTTGGCCTGTTATTGTTGCCAAGTGCAACGTGGTAATTAGCTGATGAAATGTTGAAAAAGGCCGATTTCATGTGTCAAGTGGATCTGCTGCAGTGAGGCCTTCTCTGTACAACCAGAGAATGGAAATTAAGGGACAGTTTGTTAATCCATGGCATCTAACTTGAATTGTAATATTAGAATAGTTTATTTCGAAGAGGTTATTAGTTAATCAATGAATGGTTCATTTAATATTTTATTGATTTTATAGGAGTTCTGTATTTTAGTTACCTTTGTGCATGCATTTTTTCTTTAAATAATACATAAGTAGAAAAAAATATTTCATACAAAAATTATGAAATAGATTAAATTAAATAGAAAAAATTTATTGGAGATGCGGGGGATCGAACCCCGTGCCTCTCGCATGCAAAGCGAGCGCTCTACCATTTGAGCTACATCCCCGTATGATGACTATGATTAATTTGTACTATTCTATAATACATAATAATACCTGAAGTACGGCAGTTATACAAACGTAGTGTTGTAGAAAAGGCCCAAATAATAAAGTTTTGGACTTTATTTCACATAAGCCCATCCACAAATTTTCAATATTAAAACTTTGTTTTGAGCGGTGCACGTCACCTGTTCGATCAAAGGTAAAATTATGTACATATTCGCTTCCTTGTTTTTTTCTGAATTATTTCTTTTTTTTCTTCGTGGTCCTCCGACAATTATTTTCTTTCCTGGACAAGGGCCCTTGATTTTTCTTCGCCTTTCTCCATATTTTATCAATTTATCTTCTGGGTTATGCTTCTTGTTCCAGAAAGACTTCATTTTTTTCACCAAAGATGTCTGATTTTACTGTTAAAGATTCAATCTTTTTATTTTTTGATGTAGGGTTTTGAACTATGCTTACTTTTTTTTTTTTTTTTGAGAAATACTATGCTTACTTCCTCTGTATTGTCTTTCACCCCTCTTTAAAATCTCAATTTTTTTTAAAATTTTAAATTTTAAATTTTTTAACTTGGTCATGTAAATAGGTTTTGTTTCTTTTGTATGGGGTTTGTTTTAGGTAGTTTCTCAACTTTCTACCAATTTACTCTATCTTTACAGATTTGCATGCTGTATTTCCCCTTTCAGAATTTCCCCTTTACTGCTGATTACCTTACCGTGTTAACACTACTGAGATATATTTTGTTAGATGCATGTGTGTACTGTGCTAAAAAAAATCAAATCTTTATTTCACATAAGCCCATCCACAATTTGTCATTCAATATTAAAACTTTGTTTTGAGCGTTGCGCGTCACGTGTTCGATCAAATGCCCACACAGTGAAAAAGTGAAGAAAGCACCACGCGAAAAAGGAAAAGAATGGAGGCCGAGGCAACGGTGCAACCACTTATAAGCATCGCACCGGCGGTTCAGAACAACATAAACGCCAAATTCATAATGCTCGACAAAGGGAGGACGACAGTGGAGTGGAATACAAAGACGTGCCTTTCGCTGGTGGCCGACGACACGGCGGCGGTCCACTTCCAGCTGTGGGGCGACGAGTGCGAAGCTTTCGAGCCCGGCGACATCCTTCTCTTGTCCAACGGAATATTCTCCTCCTCCTCCGGCCGCAGCAACAACAACCACCACCACGTGTTGAGAGCGGGTAAAAGAGGGAAGGCGGAGAAAGTTGGGGAGTTCGCCATGGTTTTTGTGGAGACACCAAATTTGAGCGAGATACTGTGGGGTTCTGATCCAAAAGATTCCAGAAAGTATGTGCAGCAGGCTGTGATTTCTCCCTATTCAACTATTTTCCGGCCGGTTATATGAACCACTTTGTATGTGTTGTTTGATGATTTTCTTAGCTTTTTTTTCTTTTTTAATTTATCGAAGTACTCATCTTATTTAATTAAGGATTTAATGGAAAAACTTGTTGGACGATATATATATGGTTAACTGTCACATCCCGGGGGAAAATTTAGGGTTTCCGATGGCAACGATTGAGGAAGAACATGAGTTCTGTATTTTAGTTACAAAATAATGAAATAAATTATATTAAATTTCAAAAAATAAGTGGAGATGCGGGGGATCGAACCCCACATCCCCTGTTATTTGTTTTTCACGGGTTTAATTAACTGTATTAACAGTGTTATAATTTCTTATTAGTAATATGAAATTTATATTTTAGGATAATTCTGGGAAGTTTTTATCAAGTAAGAGGTGAAATATTCTCAAGGAGAATTACATCTTCCTTCATCCAAATTAACATCAAACAGACCAATATATTTGGCAAGGCGTTCCAATTCCATTTAACCAAAAGGCAGACTCAACACACTCCACATAGCGAACAATCTTCAACTTGTGGATCGAAACATGAATAGGAGAAGGTGCCACATCATCTGAAAATATTTCATTGTTTATACCATTGAGTGCAAAAAATTGCACCATTCAATTTTTCAACAAAGTTTATTTCAAAGTTCGTGTAAATCTCGATATTACATGAGTCATATTCATCGACAACATCTACCATTTCAGCGTCACCAATATCACATATCGTAAAGTACTTCACTCCTACTCCACAAATATAATATTTTACATATAAGTATTTTAGCCAACTAAAGAAAAAATTCCATCCAATTAATCAGAATTAGCAGACGTTAGACTATATAGCATACAATGCAACATACTGTAATAGAAGAGATCAAACACATAAATATGGACTGTACAAGCAAACAATGCTGTTGTGTTTAAGTTTCCATCATCTTCAAACAGAATCGCAAAGACAACGAGTTGATTCATACAATCGCCGAAAAATTCCAGTAATGCAAGCACCCAAAAAATCAAAGACTATTATAAAAACGAAATTTCACCATACAGATAGAACAGAATAAATTCTGATTCATCAAAACTATTATCTGAATACGAAAGGAATTCAAAAATCATGGGGGTGAAACCGCTGATCAACACTTGATCAAGTATACCATCAATTAACCAAACAACCTAAATAATGAGAAAATTACTAAAATTCTTGTGAAGCCGAGCCAATTTCTTTATCTCTTCCCCCGGTTTTCTTGGGCAGCAAAGTTTGGTGAATGTTTGGTAAAACGCCGCCGTTTGCAATAGTCACAGCACCCAGCAGCTTGCTTAATTCCTCATCGTTCCTCACAGCCAACTGAATGTGACGTGGCACAATCCTGTTCTTCTTGTTGTCCCTCGCCGCATTCCCAGCAAGCTCCAAAACCTAATTAGGGTACAAAGGAACACAAACAATCAAATTGAATCCAATGAAAAAATAAATTAAAAAGCATATGAACAAAACCTAATTGAAAATTAATCAGAATCAAAAATGTGTAAACATATATATGTATATATATAAGAGATTACTTCAGCGGCGAGATACTCGAGAACGGCGGCGAGGTAAACAGGGGCGCCGGCACCGACACGCTCGGCATATTTACCGGCTTTCAGAAAACGAGCGATTCTGCCGACGGGAAATTGGAGGCCGGCCTTGGAGGAACGGGAAACGGATTTGGAGGATTTAGGCTTGCCTCTACCGCCTTTTTTGGTGGCTGCGGCGGTGGAACTCATTCTGAAATGTTATTCCGGCGATCGAAAAACCCTAAATTTCTGAAGGGGCTGTATCTAGATGAAAAGGACTGATGACTTATTTCACGGATGAGATGTAAACAGGTGTGACGGAGCCTTTATATAGAGCATCGGGGATTGACAGCGTGGCATATTAATTAATGGAGAGAAGAGGGAAAGGGGTTTCAAAAAAATTTAGTAAAATAATATTTTGGCGCCTAAATGAATTTGGGCCTATGTAAAGTTCATTTGATTAGATTTTAATTGTAGTAAGTGACAACTATTTATGATATTTTTTTATTCTAATATTGTTAAAGTTTATGAGCCCTAGTTAAACTATTCATTAATATTTTAATATTTTTTAATGAAAAACGAATTCGAAATCGATCAAAAATAACCGAGTAAACCATTACTAAACCAAATTGCTAACAAAAAAATTTGAAATTTAAAGCAACGGCATACATTTTTTTAGATTTATTGGTTCGGATTATATACCACAAAAGGAGTAAATATGGATTTTACGGTTCGAATAATTTAAATGAATCACCACCAAATATCGAGCCAATAATATATTCATTCCCTTCTTTTTACATATATAGGCGATTATATTATGTAAACAGATAATTTAGGCGGTTATGTCCAACAAATATTAATGTATACTATCTCTTTTACAAATATAAACATTCAATTTCTAAATTTTAAAATTTTCTAATTTAAGTTATATTTTATAATCAAATTACTTTTCATAGACTAAATTAGTTGTCCCATCATTCTTTCAACATAATAGCAAATAATTAAATGAATTACCGAAATTAAAAAAAAAAAAAAGGCTTATTTTTTTTGTTTAAATAGAAGACAGAAAATATGGAGAATAAAATTGCCAGATTTCATTTAAACATAACAGATGAACATATAAAATCACCATTGATTAATTCGAAACTAATCTACATCATATCGACAAAACATTTCTTTTAAAAAACAAAGCACGACTAAATCTACCGAGAAGCAAAAATAAAAAAACATAATAAATCCCCTAAAATTCCTGAGAAGCAGATCCGATTTCTGCCTTCCCTTTGCCAGACTTCTTGGGCAGCAGAATCTGGTTGATATTGGGCAAAACGCCGCCGTTTGCAATAGTCACAGATCCCAACAGCTTGCTCAGCTCCTCGTCGTTCCTCACAGCTAATTGAATATGCCTTGGTACTATTCTGTTCTTCTTATTATCCCTCGCCGCATTTCCAGCTAGCTCCAAAACCTAATTTTCCAAAATTCATCCAAAATCAACCCTAATTTCATCCCCAAAAAATTAATTAAAAAAAATTAAGAAAAATCAGAGATCTTGTCAACATACCTCGGCCGCGAGGTATTCAAGGACGGCGGAGAGGTAAACAGGCGAACCAGATCCGACGCGCTCGGCGTAACGGCCCTTCTTCAGGAAACGGGCGATCCGGCCAACGGGGAACTGGAGCCCCGCTTTTGAAGATCTGGAAACGGACTTCGATTTAGACTTGCCTCGGCCGGCGATTGACTTAGCAGCGGTGGTCTTTTCGCCCATGGTTTTTGGTGGATGGTTTATTTTGGAGGGGATTTGAAATTTGAATTTGCTGAGAAGATGTTGTTGGTGGTGGTGAGCGTAGTGGTGCTGAGGATTTATATAGAGTTTGTATCTGTGTTCTGATTGGTGCATGTGGTTTCACGCGGATTGCCAGCGTGGATGGAGTATTTTACGGATTTTGTTGATTCTAACTTCCTCGTTTCTTATTGGCTGCTTTGTGTTAACTTGGATTGCCACGGTGGCATTTAAAAATTTCGTATCCCGCTTCTTTTTTAATAACCCGGGAACAAACTTACGGGCCATGAACTCAGCAAAATGGGCCGAGCCTATTCAATTTTAATTAGACCAACAATTAAATTGGGCCGAGTATTTTTAATAATACCGGACTCTTTAAAAAAAAAAATTTATAAATAAATAAATAAAAAATCAAGTTAATTTTTCAATAATAATGTTTTTGGCTTAATGAATTAGCATCTAAGATGAGAAAGATCCGAACTTGAGTTTCAATTCCTTATGTTTAAATTTTGTAAGCAAAAAGTGTACTTTTGTTTTTTAGCAACGTTTAGAAAATGGTATCAGTGACTAAGAAACCGGGTCAACTATCTTTAAGATACTCACCACTTTGTATCGCTTGATTTTAATTATTGTAACAAAATTAGTTATTGATAGAGACTTTATTTTATTCAAATAAAATGATTAAACATTTGATAAGAAACTTATTAGTTATTAGTATTATTTAGTAGTTTAATTGTAAGGGAAATAGTCAAGATTGTACAAAGCCTTTATTTATTTATTTATTTATTATTATTTTATTATGATATAAGTACAACATGTGTGTGTACAAATATGAACTAGTAAATATTCTAGTTACATAGTCTCAATAGATTTTATTAAAGTTGAGAAATAAGAACACTTGTGGTTGATCAGAATTTTACATTCCAATACTTGGTCTATACTAATAGATTAAGCAAATGATTGTGTATGCACGAAAATGACATTGTACTCAATTCAAACACAACTTCCATGAATTTATGATTGTTCATGAAATAGACTTATTGCATTAAATAATCTTTATTTTATCAACATTTTAAATAAATTGAACAGTTGAAAAAATTAATTTAAATTATTTAAATAAAAGTATTGGTACATGGTTTTAAATATGGGACTAATAAATTACAAATTATACTTCAAAATGGCATAAATGTTTGTACTTTCTATTGTATGGTCTATAATATGCAATCATTTATTTATGTGATCTCCAATCAAAAGGCTATTTATTATACAATTAAAAACAAAATAAGATCCAATATGCAGTTGTTCTTAGTTGACTACTTCTAGTGTTTACTTGAAAGCAGCATATTCCAAAGTAAGAATATTCTCAAGCATTTATTTCTTCCTTAATATTTTACGTCTCTATTTGGATCTTTTCTTTGTCAATTGTCCAATGATCAATACATGATTTCTCAAGAAAAATCATTGCAAATCAAACCCAGAAGCAAGAAACAACAATCATACTGCAAAATCAGAAATCATGATTTTATTTACACAGAAACAAAGAACAAAAAAGGGCAAACTAACAAACCTAAAAACTAAAATAAAACTAAAAAATTGACATTTTTTTCGAAGTTTATTCAATTTGTATGAACAAGTGAAGGATGATTCTTGAAACTCTCCAAATCAACAGAATCCACCATTCCTTTCAAGCTCTTAAGACTAGCCTTAGCCCCATTAGACAAAAGATACATAGCCACCTCAACATTTCCCGACTCGACCGCACGAAGAAGAGGCGTAAATCCCGATCCATCAACAACATCAACTCGAGCGCCGTGGCTAACAAGAAGCTCGACACTCTCCAAATGCCCCTTAAAAGCTGCCCTATGCAACGCTGTCCATCCATTTTGATCCCTTCCATTAACCTTAGCCCCTTGAGCAAGACAACTCTTCATTGCGTGAACATCGTCTCTCCTCGCAGCTCTGTGCAGCAGATCACCCAAATACAACGGATCGTATAGATTCGAATACCCCTTATCCACAGCTAATGCGTACGCGGTTCTGCCTTCTTTTGTGACAGCGTATTTGGCGAAAATCGAGTGGTTTAGTAGGAACTGGACTGCGTCGAAGTGGCCTTCTTCTGCTGCGTAATGGAGCGGGGTCCAGTTTTCGTTGTCGGTTTTGTCGATTTCGCTTCCAATCGAGATGAGGAATTGGAGGGCTTCGACTTGGTTGTGGATTGCTGCTCGATGAAGGGCTGTTTGGCCATGATTATCTGTCGAATTCAAATCGATTTCGACGAAGTTTAAACAAAGGGTTTCCATTATATCCACTCTGTTGTTTGATGCTGCTGTGTGGAGTAATAATCGATCTCTTTTGTTGTCGATTGAACAGCCGAATTCGATCAGTGTTTGTACGGCGTCGATTTTGCCGGATTTAACGGCTAATGAAATCAACGATTCACCTTCTGAATCTCTACTGCTGACGTCAGCTCCGGCTTCAATTAGGGTTGGAATGAAGTGCGATTTCCCGTTTTCCGACGCAATTCTGAGCAGAGAAGTGAGCTGAGGCTCGTCGCACCGAGAAATCGCCTTCGAGAAGAGAGAATTGATTTCCAGGGGGGTAGACGACGGCGGAGGAAGACGGAGGAGGAGGAACTCCGCCGCGTGAGGGCCGACGAAGTTGATCGGGAGAGCGGCGTCTCTGAAGATATGGGGGCCTGGCTTGGAGAAGAGGCGGCGGAGGTCGTCGTGGTGCGCTTTTCCGGTGGGGAGAATCGACGATCGGACGAGGAGGGCGTCGTTAGGGGTGGAGAGAGGGAGGCGGTGATCGGAGGGGTTGGTGAAGACGAGGGTTTGGGATGACGTGGAGAGTGGTGGGAGGATGGAGAAAGGGTTGGGGAAGGAGAAGATTGCCGGATTTGTTGAGGTGAGAGAAACGGCGACGGACATGGTGTGCATCAGGTTTGTGAGCTTCAACGCGTGGGTGCAGTTTCCGCCATTGACGAAGGAGATGTCGATTGAATCCACATCCGCCTTGATTAATCTGTCCATGTTGTCCTTGATTCAAATGTGGGATTGATTACACAAGATTTTGTGGGAGTGTTATTAGGTGTGTGGAGAGAGAAGGTGGTGATTGATGATTAGTGATTAATGAACTATTATTATTTATTAATATTAATACACGATAATGACAGAAAATTAATAAAAAGAAATAAGGGAATTGTTTGGCCTAGTCTATAGGATGGGGATGGAGGAAATGAACAAGCAGCTTAACTTTTTGACCAGGCCAAACAATTACTTGTCCTTATTTGTTTTCTTTTAATTATTATTATTTTACTTTTTTTAATTATGATTATCATGCATATACTTCTAAAAATCTTGTTTTGTCTTCTCTTCGGGCATAACTAGGGACACAATAACTAACGTTCTTAGTTGTGTTGTGTCCAACAACAATGATAATCATTTACATAATATATACACTCTTGGTTTCAATCTAGAAGTCGAAGTAGCTAGCGAGTCTGACCGAAAACTAGCACCACATTGAGTTAACTTACATATATATGTAAAGTTAACCAGTATGTTAATTACTTAGATCACTTAGGATAGGATAGAAAACGAATTAGGAGAACAAAGCAGATCAGTAGCTTAGTAATTTGATAATCCTGAGATCCCTGCGAAATAAGTACATGTGAACTAAGTCGGGGTTGATCCGGCTGAAACTCCTCCGACGCTCAAGTGAGTCAGATATACGGATTGTGGAGATGGTAGAGAGAATAAAACTGTAGATCGCTTGTGAATAATATAACCTACCTTAACAAATTAGTAAAAACCTCTATTTATATGTATTGATTGGGTTGAGTTTACTTTGTTGGACCCAAACCTTATTTTGAAGGTGCTTGGGCTTTCGTGTAGTGGACCCAATTATTAGACAAATTTGGGGCCCCATTGGATCGGTCCAATTAGGTATATCATTAAGCCCCCAACTCTCGAATCGAGATGGGAGACTTGTCGAGGGGCTTCCGGATCGTGTCGAGAGTTAAATATGATGTGGTTTACCGGATCGTAATTTGTAATTAATTGGCCTCGGAGGCTCGACTCTCTTTTTTTTTTTTTTTTTTTTTGTATTTATTTGACAACAAGATATATATTTAAGGATGTTAAATAATATATCACAGTCAAAATGAACACACTCATACTCAGTAAACCCTAATTTTCTCATACTGAAATAGTCAATCACTTATAGAAGAATGATATTGAAAGAACAAAATTCATAAATGCATATAGATAAGTGTTACTTTTGTTTCTCTCTCTAATGGCAGAACAAATAAGATTTGGTGTCCGCATGGGTATAACTCAACTGGTTCTGAAGGTGGTAAGTTTGTACGAGATCCTAGGATGTAATCCTCCCAGCCGCAGTGTGAGAATTTTAACTCCAACGTGGGTTGGTTTCTTGTGGGCGCCAGGTCCGGGTCTGCTACCTTAACGAGCCGTTGAGTCACCATAATTTAAATTATTCCATCAAATACTTGTCAGACCAAGGGATGGGGGCGATAAATTTTGCCTTTTGGTACAAGGACTTGGGCCGCCGAAATTAATTATGTTTGGGCCCAAAATCATGATTATAGATTCAATAATAAACTAAGTTTAGTGAATTTCAGAGATTCGGGGTGTAAACGAGTTTGGCCCAAATTAAAGAGAAACGAATTAGGGGACAAAAAATAATTTAGTTTACAGGTGGGCCAATTGGCTTCGTTGTTGAAGAATTATTTGGGTTTCATTTTGTGGCCCTAACCTAACAACCCATTTAATCATTTCATACATTTACAAGCGCACTGGGCCAACACCTGCTGACGTCACTGAAATCGTCATCCAATCACCATCACTCGGATATTGCAACGCTTTCATATCTGCCAAACAAGACTTTATTCCTCTTCTTTATTTATTTTACATAATAAGCAAAAAAGCAAAATTCTTTAGAATGATAAATAATTTTGAAAAATAATGTAGTAATAGAGTACATCATCAGCAGTAATTACTGTGTAATTGTGGAAAAGGTTAAAAAAAAGTGGGAATCTCGAGATTATTTTAACATATACTAGTGTGTGTTGTCAAAAGAGAGTAAGGGACAAAAAAGTCAAAAGATAAATTAAAGGGATTCTCATGCTTCGTTTTCCCACTGCCCCCCCCAACCAACAACTTATACACCGGTTTGTTGTGTGCTTCGCCCTATTTTTACCATCTTTTTTTAATTCATTTTCTTTAATTTATTATTCACTTTTTAATACTAATCATGATCAAGGTTATTTTAGTCTTTTAAACTTTTTTTTTTTTAATTCAAGAAATATTTATTGAAATTCTTAATGCTTGTGCAAGGTTGAAAACAATTATTATTTAGGTTTAAATTTTAACTTAATTTATATAATGTAATAAATAAAAAATAAAGAATGGTTGAAATGCAGGAACAACGTGGGCATGTTTAATAAACCTAAATGGCGGTCAGAAGAAGACCAAAAACAGAAGAAAGAAAACACCAAATGAAGACAGGAGTGTACAGTCACGCGCATTTTATGTTAATTGCCGACTGTGTCTTTAATGCACTTTTAATTAATTAATTAATGCGCTTTTAATTAATATTAATATTATAACACATCGGGTTATATAATTTTTTTAAAGATTAGAAAAATGCAATGTTTCTTTACACGCGCGTACACACACACACAATGAACCAAGAACAACGCTTTGAGGCTTGATTCATGCATTTGTGTACAGAGTTTCTTTTGTCTTCACACATATGGTAATGGGGTTTATGCTGTAATTATTTATTGTTAATATGAAGGTTAATTAAATACTTGGGACCATGTGCGCTTGTGAAGAAAGTTGAATGGGATACTTTAAAGTGGAATATATTTTATTTTCTCAATTTACATATATACCCTTCACCTTTAATTAATTTTACATAGAGTTTGTTTGGCCGGGTTTTAATTTTTAATTCTTGTCCCCCTTTTTCTTCTTCAAAATAATCCGTCTGTTCTTAAATATGTGTCGTTTTTTTACCTTGGCACGAGTCTTAAGAATCTCAATAAATATGTTTTGATTTTAGGAAAATTAATATAGACAGACAAAAACACTATTGTTTACTAATTAATGCATAAAGAGTGCCGGAGAGTTAATAAGGATATAATTGGAAAATATGTAATTAATGCATATTGTAATTGTAAAGTGACAGATATCGTGGAACAGATGGAGTATTTTATCTTTTATATTAAAATGAAATAATATTATTTTCATTGTTAAAAACTTTAAAAAAAATAGCTAATAGGGTTAAGAAATAGGAAGAGACATGAAATAGAACAAGTGGATATTCCACATTTCCCATTAAATAAACCAACAAAAAGGACACAAAAGTCATCATATGTATTTCCAAAAAAATAAAAAAGTTGATTTATCGAGGTAAGAAACCCCATTTTACCCATATATATACCTACACCGTAAATTCTTCCCCTCACCCCTCTTTAATTGCCAAATAAATAAATAATTTTCAAAAAAAAAAAAGGAAAGGGCAAATGGAGGTGATAGTAAAGGACAAATGAGAAACAGTGAGTCAGTGAGAAAAAAATAAGTGCAGAAATTGATTTGGTCTAAAAATGAATATATGAGTAATGAGTGTAGCTTTTTTTCCACTTGTTGGAATTGACCCCATTTTGCACAACAAGCCAAACCCTCTTCCCAGTTGTTGACCTAACACACTAAACTCCAAATTCTTTATTTAACATTATTCATTCTTTTTTTTTTTTTATTCAAATGCATAAATGTTTAATAATATATACGGAGACAAAACTAACTCATATATGTGTCTATTTTGTGACCACGCCATCCACTTAAATCAATTATTTAAGGTTTGAATCTAGGAATTTTCAAATTAAGGATTTTAAATTCTTATCAATAATTTTGTTGGCCTTGTTTGAATGGTTTTATTCTAATCTATATTTTTATATTCTAACTTTTATAATAAATTGTATTTAGAGTTATATCTTAAATTATTTTCTCAAAAATTTCCATCGTGGAAATCATTCCATTCAAATGCAATCATAAATGTAACTAGTTTAAGTTATACGGCATTTGAGATCCTACACCTGGTGAAATACACCATGTGGTTTTAAACCGTAGATCTATATAAATAATTATTCACTAAGCACACATACATACAGGTGTGTGTTATTATGTATAGATCTATATAAAAACACATGGTGTATTTCACGAGATATAGGTTATACAAAGCCTAGGGTGGTGTTTGCAAATGATTATTTTAAAGCAGAAATTAGTGATTGTGATTTAAGTTAGTTTTAAGTGCTTATTTCTAAAAGTTGGGGATGTTTGCAAATATTTCGGAAAATGAACTAAAATTGAAAAAGCAGGGGTTATGGGTGCTTTTAAATAAATAGCTTAAAGCAGATTATTTTAAGAGAAGCAAAACCAAAAGTTGATTTTGCAAACACCTAAAAACAGATTATGAGCAAAAAAAACCGCATAATCACTTTCAAAAAGCATTTGCAAACACCACCTAAGTTATACTCTTTTAGTTAATCTATTTTCATTACCTAGTCCCTTATTAAATAAAAATAAAATAAAATCATGCAATATTTGAAATCCCAAAACCATGATAAATTTATATTATTAGGCCCCGTTTGGTTGACAAGATAAGATTAGCCAAGATAAGATTAAATAATCTAATGAGACCCAATTATTTTATTGGAGCTTGAAAGGTCCAACAAAAAAAACCCATTAAAGGCAAGATAAGCCAAGATAAGACAAGATAAACCATGATTATATAATTTTGGCGGATTGACCCGGCAAGTTATTGAGGATACCAAACATCAAATTAAGTCCAACTATTTAGTTAATCATGGCTTATCTTGGCAACCAAACGGGGCCTTAATAAATTAGTTAGTTGGTTTAGGAAAATAGGAGCACGAAATAAGTTTGCACCAATAGGATAACGACACGTGGAGGATAGGAGAGAGAAAGTGAGATGAATAGAGTAGGGGGTTTTAGCCTTTAGGGAAGGTGGAGCTATCACGGCAATATGTTGGGTGTGTGTGTGTGTGTGTGGCACATGCTTAGCCACCTCCATATACGACAAAATCCCCAACACATTGTCGCTCCACTTCTTCTTATTTAACTAATTAATTAATTAAATAAAATTTACATTTTTCCTTTTATCCGAAAACTTTAAATTTATTATTGTCCTACCTATTGTTATTATTGTTATATATATATATATATATATATATATATTATATAATGTTACATTAATTAAACAAAAATTAAAGTATTATAATTAATTGAGTTTATTTAGGTAAAATTGGTATAAATAAACTGGGTTGATTTTACAACTTTGGAGTAATAATAAATAATAGTCGGGTTATTTTAAAGGCTTTTAGTATAGTTAAAATTACCATCATCTATGAATTGAAAGCCCATAAAATACAAATTTTATTTTAGGTCATTGCCCACTCCGTCCGTTGGGCCTTAGTCTTGGGTCGCCCTTTATTGTGTTTTCATGTTTGTAAACAACACAAATCAGAGTTTAATTTTAATTAAGTATGTTACGCGCGACGAGCATAGTCATCAAACTCTTACGAATTACATTATTATGAATTGATGTGTAAAGAACATTTATTTTGTTCCTATAAGAATGATTTTGGTTCAACATTGAATTATAAATAGAATTTATGCAATAATTTGGTGATTTTGAAAAATTGAAGGAAGATTCATACTAGAGTTGCCAAAGGTGGAAAAAATAATTTATTATTTATTTTTAATTTTAATTTATTTTTAAAACGCCTGTGGAAATATAGTTGGGTGGCTTGTGTGAGGCCATTATCCGAAATAATGCACGTCTAAGGTTACAGAATCTTAGTATTACTATATTCCGGCATGGCCATTTTTATTTTTTTATTTGTTTTTTTAATTTTGTATAAAACATTTCAGAAATAAATAAATAAATAAATAAAATGCCCACTAAAACTTGACCTTGTGAGTTGTGACAGACTGACATGCATCTGTATTCGTTATGAGTTTGATTAAAATAGAAAATTTATAAACTATTTATTTATTTAAATTTATGAGCTTGATTAAAGTAGAAAATTGTAAATGTGAAATCGAAAAAGAGAGCTACAGAAAAAGTGAATCCCATCAAATTCCACAATGGGTAATAATGCATATCAAAAGATTTTAATTTTTTTTTTCTTTTTATAAAAAGAAAAAATTGGTAAAAAAATCTTTTCCTTGTGTAAGTGAAGAAAAGGTCTAATCAATCATCTGGATTTCTTGCTTGTTATGTTTCCTTTTAACCCCCACCAAACGAATCACATGCTCTTATTCCATATTTAAATGGGAATGAAAATAAAATAAATTAACTTAATTATTCAATTTTATTTTTTTCAAAGTTTTTTTTTTCCAACAAATAAAAATGCTATTGAAATCTGATCGAATCGAAATTGACCGAATTTAGAATTTGTACATAAAAAGATTGTAATAGAACTAGTAATAAAAAAATTCAGATGTATTTTTGGTAATAAAATTCCAAAGAAAAAGGAAATCATGTCAATGGCTGCAAAATGTCAATATAATTAAAAGTAAGCCACGTTTCGATCTCTGAGGGTATCGAACCTCGCTTGTGGGCCCCGCACCACATTTCTCACACATCGCCAGGACCAAGTTGGGGCCCGCACATGACCAGCACGTGCCCATCAAAATTAATTTAAATTTCCTACTAATTTACTTTTATACTCAGACAACGACAAAATTCAAAGACCCCCTCATAAACCTAAAAACGATAATTAACATAATTATATTAAAATAATAATAATTAAATAATCGCAATAATAATAATAAATTGAAAGGAAAGCAAAGGTTGGCGGGCCCCACACCTCCGAGAGTTCTGACAAAAAACATGCCGTCACGCGCTTGACACTACGCGACAAAACACGTGTCACACCCCTGGTGGGAATGTGGTTTCTTGGAACGTGGGGGCTAATTTGGTCAATTCAAGTGAAGCGGGATGGTGCAGGTAGCGATTGAGGCCACGTGTCTCCGGTTGGCGTCTGCCGCACGCAGGAAATATTACTGTGGCCCGCCGAGAACTAATTTCTATGGACAGAACTACTATGACTACTGCCAGGACATTATTTTCGGTCCAATACTTCACCGATTGAAACACATTTTTTTTCCTTCTTAATAGAAGTAGTATTTACTATTTATAGTGATAAATATTTCTTTTTATAGCACATCGAAATGATAATTCAATAATTTAAATGAATAATAAACTACGCAGTTCTTTAAATATTGATTGACGAATTCATTTAATGGTTCAATTATTTTAATTTCATAATTAAGACAATAGAATAAATAAATAAATATGCCATAGGTTGTAACTCACACAACCCTATAATATGGTTAAATATGTTGTCTGCATTCATTAACTCGAGCATTTTGGAATTTATATAGTCTTTGACATTCATATACCCTTTATTATTATTAATATTTTTATTAAATTAATAATAATAATAATAATTTAGCATGAGTAAAATATTATTTAAATAAGATTATTAACACGAGATTAATACCATAATCAAATTAGCTATAAAAAGATAAAATCTTTAAATAAATAAAAATGTCCAATAAAATGAATAATCATAGACATTCATAGATAAAAGTGATAAACTAAGGGTGTTATTGGAAATTAACATTTAATAGTAATTTTAATTAATTAAATACACATAGGTAATGAAAAATAATAATAATGAGCACAATTGAAGGTAAATTAATAAATGGTGGGACCCAAGTGAAACAGTTTATTTCGGCCGCCCAACTTTGTCGTCTCTCTCGTCCTCGCCTTCTTCCCCCCTCCTCCTTCTCTTTCTCTCTCTAAAAATGCTCTCTCTCTCTCTCTCTTATCTAATACAGTAAATTCACGCGCTGCCTCCATTTTCCTCCCTCCTTTATCCAACTATTTTTAATTTCTTTTTAAAGCTAAATTACTACTAAATATAATTATATCATCACCCCCACCCCCTCCCCACCTCACCCCCCCACCCCCCCTCTTCTCTTGATCTTTTTTAGTTCTTCTGGGTGAGAAATCCTGAAGCCATCTGTCTCTGTGTATTTTTCAGAAGTGTCTTCTTCCTTTGTTTGTTCCTCAGAAAAAAAAGCACAATCATTATTAAGTAAGCAAAAGAGAAAAAAAAAAAAAAAATTAAACTCCCATAAACACACACAGCTAAGTGTGTTCTGTAGGTGAAAAAAAAAACTCATCTTTTTTCCAGTGCGCCCTTTGTGGGAGATCAGCGAGCGAGATTTGGAAGGATTGAAACCCTATAATCAATCTCATGGCGGGTAGTAACGAAGTAAATGCTAACGAATCAAAGGTAAAATTATATACATATTCGCTTCCCTTTCTTGTTTTTTTTCTGAATTATTTCTTTTTTTCTTCGTGGTCCTCCGACAATTATTTTCTTTCCGGGACAAGGGCCCTTGATTTCTTCGTCTTTCTCCGTATTTTATCAATTTATCTTCTGGGTTATGCTTCTTTTTCCAGAAAGACTTCATTTTTTTCACCAAAGATGTCTGATTTTACTGTTAAAGATTCAATCTTTTTATTTTTTGATTGAGGGTTTTGAACTATGCTATATTTTCTTTCACCCCTCTTTAAAATCTCAATTTTTTTGTAAATTTTTAATTTTTTAACTTGGTCATGTAAATAGGTTTGTTTCTTTTGTGTTGGGTTTGTTTTAGGTAGTTTCTTAACTTTTTACCAATTTACTCTATCTTTACAGATTTGCATGTTGTATTTCCCCTTTCAGAATTTCCCCCTTTACTGCTGATTACCCTACCGTGTTCACACACTACTGATATATTTTGTTAGATGCTTGTGTGTACTGTGCTTAAAGAAAAATCAAATCTTTTGAACTCTGTTGTAAAAACTAAAGAAAAAAATCCCATCTTTTTTTTTTAATGCAGAGAGTGGTTCCCCTCAATACATGGATTCTAATATCAAATTTCAAGCTAGCATACAACTTGCTCCGCCGCCCGGACGGCACATTTAACCGTGACCTAAATGAATACCTCGACAGAAAAGTCACCGCGAACGCGAACCCTGTCGATGGTGTCTACTCGTTCGATGTTGTTGACCGGTCAACCAGCCTCCTCAACCGTGTTTATCTTTCAGCCCGTGAAAACGGGGCTCACTGGGGTATAAACGAGCTCGAGAAGCCCTTGAGCACAACTGAAGTAATCCCTGTTATAGTCTTCTTCCACGGCGGGAGCTTCGTCCACTCCTCAGCCAATAGCGCAATCTACGACACCTTCTGCCGCCGCCTCGTCAGCACCTGCAAGGCGGCGGTTGTGTCGGTCAACTACCGCCGCTCGCCGGAGAATCGGTACCCTTGCGCGTACGACGACGGATGGACGGCGCTCAAGTGGGTCCAATCGAGGCTGTGGCTTAGGAGTGGCGCCCAATCTTCGAGGGTGCACGTTTACTTGGCCGGAGATAGCTCCGGCGGAAACATAGCCCACCACGTGGCGGTGAGGGCGGCGGAGGAAGGGGTTGAAGTAAAAGGGAATATTCTCTTGCACCCTCTGTTCGGTGGGCAAGAGAGGACCGAGTCGGAGAAGCTATTGGATGGGAAGTACTTTGTCAAGATTCAAGACAGGGATTGGTACTGGAGGGCGTACCTTCCGGAAGGTGAGGATAGAGACCACCCCGCGTGTAATGTGTTTGGCCCGAGGGGTAAAAGTGTCCAGGGCTTCGTTAATTTTCCGAAGAGCCTCGTTGTTGTGGCGGGATTGGATCTCCTTCAAGATTGGCAATTGAGGTACGTGGATGGGCTCGAGAAATCGGGGCAAGAAGTGAAATTGCTTTATCTCGAAAAGGCGACAATTGGATTCTACTTCTTGCCGAATAACGATCATTTCCATTCCTTAATGGACGAGATGAGAAGCTTCATCCACTCGTAATATTGTTAATACGTTTTCCTTTTTATTTTTATTTAACTTCGATATATAGGCGGCCGGTTTTATACGTATTAACAACGGAAGGGTTGACATTTTATGGTAGGATTGTATGGTTGTGTAGTTATTATATATGGTTTGTGTAGATTTTTATTCGGGTTTCTATTTCGGGTAACTTCGAATCGTTGTTTAACGACGTAGGGGTAGCGGGATTAGGGTTTCGAGATTTGGAAATCTTGATCCCTTTTTTTTTTTTTGTTGATGTGTTTATTTGGGGGGGTTATTCTACCTAGTACATTGTGACCCCCCTTTTAGGATGTTATTATTATTGATGAAAAAGCTAATTCAGTAACATGGATTTTGGAAAATCCAATGCTGCTGTAATATATTGTACTTGATATTGATGCTACTATTACTCTAGTCATGTATAAATATTATTTTTGTTTTTTTATGTAAAAAATAATTTTTATTTTTCCAAAAATAAATAAATAAAGGAAAATAAACAATAAGTATTTTATTTTATGTTAATCCAATCCAATGATGGATTAATATTGATGACCATAAAGAGAAGGAAAAGGAAAGAAAAGAATTTGTTGGTTTGTTTAAATTGGGAAACTGCTACAAAATAGGCAACAGCGTTTATTCGGGAAGTGGTGGACCAAAACGGCGTCCCGTTATGAAAAAGAAAAACAGAAACTCCGTCCCACCAACAACATCGCAATCTTTGCCAAAAGGACAAATGATTACACCTTACTCCAAAACAATGCTCATTTCACAATCATACATATGGAGTACATACATACTATACTACCCTTGTTTTTATTATATTTATATATATATACACTTTTATTTCTTCTAAATTGGTTTGAATGGTTATTAAATCACAATCAAGACTATTTATTTAAATAAATAATATTTAATGCTAATTAATGTAATTTATTATATTTTTTTATGGTATTCAAAGGGGGACCACTTTGAGAATATCCCCCCCCCCCAAAAAAACCCTTTTAAATTCTAGTTGTTGGGTTGGGATTTGCTTTTTTTTTTTTTTTTTTTTTTTGTGGTTGCCACTAAGTAAATGGGTTGAAATGTAAAATAAAATAAAACAGCTAAGATTGGAAAAGGACACAAATTTGATAAAAATTAACACGTTTGACTTTTCTGCTTAGTGGTATGCCCTATGTTCTCAACAATGTCAAAAATTTATAATAATAAAATTAAATAGTAAATAATAAATAATAATAAGTTTATTAAATAGTCATTGTTGTATGTATGTCTTATTATGGTTTGTCTTTTTTTGTTGGATTAGCTGGTTTCAATGTTTGAAAATTGTGGCAGGACAGGACAATAAGATGAGGTCATTGTCTGAAGTTTTGGAACTTATGTTTAAGACATAAAATATATATATATATATATATATATATATATATATATGTATATATTTTTTTTTAGTTTGGTTGTCTATTTTGGCATTAATATAAATATTGTCATTGTTTGTGATTGAAATATTTGCGTGTTCATAAGTGACATAGAAGAAGCTTCCCTTGTACGCATATTATATTGTAACAATTTTTTTTGTATGCTTACATATTTAAACAATTTTCAGAAAACAAAATACCCGAAATAATAGGGATCGTTCAAACTTTCTAATTAAATATTTATCAATTACATAATTTTTTTTTTTAAATTATGATGCAACTTAAATAAAGGAAGTCAAATAAATATTAATTTTAATTTATTATTTAATTGAACATTGAAAGTGGGGAGTGGGAGTCTGAGAAGCATGCAGCTAAGTGGTCCATTAGGAGGGGCTAAATGCTAATGCAAATGGTCCAACAAAACCAAACGTGCAAGAAATTGCTTCAATTCAGAAAATAAATAAACAATATATTAAAAAAAAAAAGGTATTTTCATTTGACACTCAATTATAAGTATAATCAATAATTGTGTCTTTTCTCCTTTTATTTTCCCCCCTTTGATATTTGTCTTTTAGTGCCTTGAAAGACTATGTACTAAAAATAAATAATAAATATGCTCGCGAAATATTAATTATTAGTATTTGAATATGGGCTTTTTCGTTTACAATGGGCTGAAATAGTTACGGTTTCACTAATATTGCAATCCAAATGTTTATGAAATTGGACCATAATGTAATATTATTAGTATTAAGATTTTATGGATGAGTTCAAATGGGCTGGCTCAAGGTGGGCCTTGGTTGACTTTGTTGGAATATAACAATATATATTATGGTATAACAATTTAGAAAATTCGAAATTGCAATTTTAGAATTTGGAATGAAAAAAATTGTTTCAAAATTGGAATTCGAAAAATCCTATATTTTCTACTCATTTTGAAATACATAGTAATATAGATTGTAAGTGCCGATAAAATAGAATTTTTAGAACTAATTTCAGAAATTAAAATCAAAGTCATACATATCCAATTTCATCCAAAAAAATCCTAAAAGGCGAAATTTCTCGTCCCCGGTCTGATAGGTTTTGACAAATGAATGTAAATCATTGTAACTCAACGATCTTTTGTTATGGCAAACCTACACCTTGATGTCGAGAACCTTGCACCAACTTACGACTTCTGGAACCAGCTGAACTATACAGATAGGGGCGAAAAAGTAAATACACTAACATAAAATTTGATGTGGAGGTACTAATATATGAAGTGTGGTGTTTAGAAAATCACAAACAACTGTGAGGATGACACGTGGAAGTTTGCATAAGAAGATAGAAATCCACACATCTCGAATGAAGCACAAGCTCCCACGCTCATCAGTCACTCCCCGTGGGTCCCACATTCTTCGCAAAAACTCCCAAAATTTACAATCAATTTCTGCTGTTCAGCTCAGACCGAAACGAAGAAGATCAATTCAAAACACTTTATCCAAACCCTAATCGATGTCAATCAATGATAATCTGAATTGTTCTATCTTCGTTGTCCTCTTTTTGAGAAGTCAGCGACAAGGTTTTTAACGGTGAGTCAAATTATGATTACAATTTACAGTCATGGCTTAATCTCTTGTGTTATGATCCTTGTTTGTTGAATTAATTCTCAAGGTTTTAATTGAAATCGATTTTTTGTTTTTTCTCGAAGGATTTGATTGATTGTAGCCAAACTCTACTGTACAATAATTGTGAGTTTTCGTGTTTATGGAGATACATTCATAAACCATTAAACCTAAACCAGTGGTGAAAGTTGATGTATATGATCAGTGAGTTACTGTACATGATCAGTGAGTCACTGTTTGGTGTTCATCTCCCGAGTTATTGGGGCTATGGATGATGGAATTCGCCCATGATGATAAAACCTATTATGAAATTAGTTTATGCTCTTTTTCAAATGTAATACTTTAATGAGTGCTGTAATTTACAGGTTTACGCTTGTAATTCGGTCGAGATACATGAAGAGCAAACTGCGACCGATGCCCAACACAGCTTAATAATATGCTATTTTCAGATCACGAAACCGACATTCAGAAAATGGGATATGCTTTTAGCAAATTGGAGGTGAATTCTGGAGTACTCGATGGCTCCAGTTCTACTAACGAGCCCGATAGACTTTCGAATTCCTCCGGCCATGATATTGCTCACCTGACGAAGCTTCGAACCGGGCCCCACGTAAATTTGAGCCGGGCTTTGCCAGGTCAGCGTGAGTTCCCCGTTTCGACGGTGAAGATGTTGGCTGGTCGTGAAGCAAATCTTTCCGGAAGAGGGAGATTCTCATCAGGAGACTGTCGTCATGTTTTGAGTAAATATTTGCCAGTTAATGGTCCGTGTGTTGTGGACCAAATGTCAAGTAGGGCTTACGTGTCACAATTCTCTGCCGATGGTTCGCTTTTTCTTGCTGCATTTCAGGTATTTATTATTACTTTATATTATGCTATAAAGAGCTTCTTCGAGATTTCCAACATAGTCGGTGCTTTATCAAGGTTTTAGGAACTTATGATGTTTAAGAGCTTAATTAAGGCCTTGTTTAATAGGTTTAACTAAGTTTTCATTTGATACTATAATTGATTCCCATGGTTTATTGTTGGCTCGCAACATAACCACGTAACTTTCTTGGTAATGGATCAAGCACAACAGCCTCGATATGATATATAATAGTGTTTGTTACGTTACAAATGGAGTGAAATAAATAATTCTCTATTTGGTAGCATTAGTTATTATGCATAGACAAATTTGGAAATCTCTTCAAACTAGCCCAAAATTTTTATAGATTACCTTGATTCCTAGTATTGAAATCTTCGATTTTGTGAAACAGGGAAGTCAAATTAGAATATATGATGTCGAAAGAGGATGGAAAGTTCAGAAGAATATTCTTGCAAGAAGTTTGAGGTGGACGATCACCGATACATGCCTGTCGCCTGATCAAAGACATCTTGTAAGCTCTCTCCTCATTTGTTGATTTCAAAAGCATGCAGATATTGCTTTTTAGATTTATATTGAAGTTATATGCAGCAATGTGCATAATTGTCTTTGCTTGTGCTGAGAATTGCAGATTTACGCTAGCATGTCGCCGATCGCCCATATTGTCAACGTTGGATCTTCCACTAAAGATTCTCACGCAAATGTTACTGTATGAAGTTCAAGTACCTTCAATTTTAATTCAAAGAGTTTTGGCCAAAAAATCCTGTAATGTTGATGAAGACTGGCATTTTTTACTCTGCAGGAAGTACATGAGGGTTTTGATTTCTCCTCTCCTAATGAAAGTGGATATTCTTTCGGAATATTCTCTCTGAAATTTTCGACCGATGGGCGAGAAGTTGTTGCTGGAGGCAGCGATGGAAATATATATGTTTACGACCTCGAAGCGAAAAAACTCTCTCTTCAAATCTCGGCACATGTGGTACAGTTTGTCATTGCTGTAAAATTTGAAAATCTCGTTTATTTTCCAACCAACTTAGCCTCTCGGAAAAAAATATCCACTCAGATAATTATTTGAGGATCTGTGCATAAGTAGATTGTTGTATTATACGACAGAAATTATGCATAATCAGTATTTTTTCCTTTTCACGCAGTCTGATGTAAACTCTGTATGCTTTGCTGATGAAAGCAGCCATCTCATTTATTCTGGAAGTGATGACAATTTCTGTAAGGTACGAGTCCTATATACTTCTCTCTACCTTTTTTCTTTTAAGATTAAAACATAAATAAATAAATAAAATTTCGTCTCTATCAAAATTTGGTTATTGGTTCTAGGTTTGGGATAGACGATGCTTTAGAGCTAGAGGTAAACCTGCAGGGGTGCTTATGGGCCACCTTGAAGGGATCACATTTATCGATAGCCGTGGAGATGGTCGATATCTAATATCCAACGGCAAAGATCAATCCATCAAATTGTGGGATATCCGTAAAATGTCCTCCGATGCTACTTGGTATGATTACTTTCGAGACTTTTGCTACTTTACTGTCTTGATATCTTGATTATTCATTAACTTGTATAATAATATAAATATTACAAATGTATTTGGTCGAACTGACGGTTTATCCATTTTCATGATTCAGTTATCAAAGATACAGGAATTATGAATGGGATTACAGATGGATGGACTACCCTCCTCAAGCAAGAGACTTGAAGCATCCGTACGATCAATCAGTAGCTACATATAAAGGCCATTCCGTCTTACGCACTCTAATTCGTTGTTACTTCTCGCCAGAATCTAGGTAACGACACCCCCCCCCCCCCCCCCTCCCACCCCTACCCCCACCCCACCCACCCCTCTTACATCAATATTATCGGAGCATTATCAGAATTAACATTTTTATTTTCTTACACCAATTTACAGCACCGGCCAGAAGTACATCTACACCGGTTCTCATGATTCTTGCATCTATATTTATGATTTGGTATGTGCTAAATATATTCTGATTGTTTTAAAAAAAAACCCATTTATGTAATCCTTTTTATGATCGAAAATCAAATTATCAGAAATAAGCTATAATGAAAATTGATCAGGTGAGTGGAGCTCAAGTTGCGAAGCTGCAACACCATAAATCGACGGTGAGAGATTGTAGTTGGCACCCGAATTATCCGACACTGGTTAGCTCTTCTTGGGATGGAGATATCGTCAAGTGGGATTCCCTGGAAACGGAGAGGCCCCGTCACCTGCTAACAAGAAGATACTTCGAAGGAGACATTTTTACTAAGATATACACACAACCCCTTTTGTAAGTTCATATGTATGATATGACAGTACCGTAATTAATGTTGTAATATTTCTCAGATTATTATATCAATAACGTCGAATAAGGGAATTTTTTTTTTTAAAAGAAATAATGCAAAGGGAAATGTACATATAGACGAAGACGAATACTAAGAACTATTTCTTTACGTTATGATTTACACATAATCATACACAAAATTGAGATTAAAAGTAATTAACTATATAACTAATGAGAGTCCCACCCACTAATCGGAGATGGGCACATGTTAATGTACAATTATGATTGTACCTTGAATTCTAATTTATTTACACAAAAGCCCAAGAAGAATGATTGTCCTTTATTTCAGCCCCACGTTCCCTTTCCCGGGAACAACCTTCCACCCAATCTTAGTTCAGTTAATCAAATCTTAATCTTGCTTTTCCGTGATTTATAGATATTTTTCACTTTAATATATTATTATAATTAATCACCATTGAATTTTAATTAGTATTTAATTAGAACTTTGATATTCCCGATGAACACTTCCAACTCAAAGTAATAGTTTACATCTGTAAAGAGCACATAGCTTTGAGTAACATAGGCATTTTATTTGTTGCTTACTTTGCTAAACCATCATTAATTTAATACTTAATATGACATTAAAGAAAATCTTAGGTGCTTTGCTTAATCTCTTTCTTTTTTGACCGTCAAGATCTTGTTTAACAAACGAAACGATTCCTCAGTCAAATGAAGAGGACAAAAAGGTTATTATCTCACCCTCAACACTAACACTACTTTATTTTAATTAATTAAAACATTTCATAAAGTGAAAAAACCAAAACCCAAAACGACAAGCTTCAAGCTTAATCATCCTCAACCACTACTCTACATCACATGATCAAATTTCCGAAACCACCCCGAAAAATCGATTCGTATCCCACAAAACCGATTCCTATTGAATCGACTTATAGTCAACGGGATGGGTCGGATCGGGTCGGGATATTAACGGGCCGGGAACCGGGCCCTATTGTCTAACCACTAAACCACTAAAGACAAATGGAACAACTGATTCAACTTTTGTCAGATTATCTTAATTAATTCTCCGACAATCCCCAACGTCTTCTGATACTAAACAGTCTTTAGTCTTTACCCAAATGGAAAAAGCAACAAAAAGAAGAAGCAAAACTCAATGATTTGGACGTACAATCCCTAATGCACCAAGTACAATCGATCCCCACACATTTAGTTCCAAAATAGTTAACTAATAAACAACAAATATAATAATTTATATATTATATTAATATCAAAAAGTATTCTAATTACAAAAAAGATTAGTAACCAAAACATAATCGCAGAAGCTCCATAAGAGTGTATTTTTTCTGATTCAATTTATCCACAGTTGAGATTTGATATTTTTGAAGTACCCCCAATATTATATAATAAAAATTAATAAATAACCCCCAAAAAATAAAGAGTGAATTCCCCATCTTACCCTTTCCACTGAATGCATTGTGAAGTAGGCCTTGTTTTCTGCCGCCCAGCTCTCAAAGGGCAGGGCGTCTGTACGGGCAGGACCATGCAGTTATACTGTAGACACAGCGACGTGCTTAGTGGAATCTCCACCGTTGGATTAATCTCGATCCCCGTTAAGTAATTATGCTGCAGATACAGTAACTCTATTCCAGCGGATAAAACCCGGTCCACGAAACTGGCCGGCACCTGACCCGTGAACCGGTTGTTGTTCAGGTATAGCTTCTGCACCGTCGAGAACATTGGGGATATTTCGCCTGACAGCTGGTTGTAGCTGAGATCCACGGCGGGGATCGCCACTAGATTTTCCGGCTGGACCGGACCGGAGAACTGGTTCCGCTGCAGCTGGAGGCTGGTGATTGGGAAAGTGAATATAATGCCCGGAATGCAGCCGGTGAACCGGTTCAGACTCAGGTCTATGTAGTTTAACCGGTTTAGATGGGACAATGGCTTGTCCACCGGACCGGTGAGCCGGTTCCACGACAAAGAGAGGTACTCCAGAGAAGACGGAAGTCCGTGCGGGGAAAGCCAACCGGAGAGATCGTTGTGCTTTAAATCGAGCCGAGTTAGGGTTTGAGAAACAAATGGCGGAACCGAACCGCTGAGGCGGTTGTGGCAGAGGATGACATTGGACAACGCCGGTAGGTTTCCGACGGCGGACGGGATGCTTCCGGTGAGCTGATTGAAGCTGAGATCGAGAGTCCGTAGCCCTCGGAGCTGGCCGAAACTCGCCGGAATGTCGCCGGAGATAAAGTTCCGGCTGATAGCTAAAAACCGCAGGTACTTGAGCTGAGAGAAAGTGTGGGGCAAAGACCCCATTATCCGACCCGGAACGATGGTTAACTCCGCCAGAGCAGAGAGTTTGCCGAATGCCGGGTCGAGCCTACCCGAAAGACCGGGCGACCCGGCCCGAGGATCGCCGAGATTGAGGGCAACAACCCTATCACCGTCGCAGTAAACGCCGGCGAAATTACAGGGGTCGGAAGTGAAATCCCAGGAAGCAAAGTAATTAGAGCCGGGCATATCGGTCAACCTCTTCCGAATCGATTGCAATGCGAGGAAATCAACCGGGTCCAGCATTGCTTGGGCGGCGAAAACAAATTGGGATAAAATCAGAAAAACAGAGGCGCCGGAAATTCTCATCAACAAACACTTCATATTTTTCTTCTTCTAATTTTGCCTGTTGATGAGCTGCACAAATTGAAGAAGAAGGGGGGGTTTATATACTGGATTTCTTAAAGAGCTTTCCGTGAAGCTTTAATGGAGGACAGCATCAAAAGTTGGAGACAGATGTAAATAAATACAGAGGGGGAGTGGCTTCACATGAAAGTAAACGATGAATGGTACGGATTCAAGCATCGATTTCGTGTGTAGCTTATTAGCTTGTTGGGCAAGATGGAGAAAAAAAATATGGAGAAAGTGCAGAAGGTTTTAGGTTTTCTACTGTGTGTGTGTGTGTGTGTGTGTGTTGAAATTGGTGCAAAAAAAATGACAGGCTATTCTATTCATATTCTCGGTGAAGTTTCTTAATTTTGGGTTTAGGGGTTTAATTTTTGGGTTTATTTAGAATTAATTGCTTGATTAGTAAAGAGCGGCTTGGAGCGGCGAACGGTTGTCCGAGCCTGGGAGGGGGGTGAGGCTCGGAGTGACAGATAAGCAGGTTCGGTTTGCGCGGGTGGGGGTTTTACGGGAAGCACGTGACGGTTTGGTCGATCGGGGGTGTCTTTTTTTTTTTTTTCTTTTTGACTGAAAAAATAAAAATAAAAATAAGGGATGGTGGATGGTGACATGTGGAGGCACGTAATTAATGTGACCACGTAATAAGATGATGCCACGTAAGAGGGCGGAAGCACAGCTGGAGGTGGTGGTCCTATTTTATCTCGTGTTTCGCGGTCCACAGTACTGTATGTGTTCCCGTCTCGTGTTATGGTACAGTGGTTACAGAGAGGAGAATGGGATACTTGGGAATCAAGTCTATCTAATTTCTATTATGGTTGACTAAAGTACAAAATAAGGGAATATTAATTTGTTTGGGCCATTGTTTTAAATTGCAATTCTAATCCAAAACTACAGTTCCTTTTTATTTATTATTATTATTATTATTATTATTATTATTGAAAATTACTAGACATAGAAATGCATTATATTTCACATGTTGATGAATAAATTCATAGCATATGAATAATGAAAAACTAATATATATAATATTTTATTGAAGTATATATCTAATATATATACCCTCCATTTTTTTTTTATGAAAATGTTATAATTTGAGTATAACGAAAAAGTAAGGCCACATAAATCAATAAATATAAAACTCCATTTTATCCGAAATTCGATCACTTTTCCTGAGGCTAAGTGAGTTTCATAAATAAATACAAATAGTAAATAAATATATATATGTGTCAGTATCAAGACATTCAATTCATTTGGCAAATTTCAATTTTTGTAATTTACGATTTGAACAAGAAATTAAATGCAGTCCAATTTATTTGTTCCTTTCAATTAGATTGATCAATTTCTGTCACTTTTTTTAGGTGAAAAGACAAAATTAATTTGGATTTATTTATTTATTTATGTTATTTTCGTATAAGTTAAGTAATATTTTATAGACGATGACAAATATTGTGAGTGCTATACTAATTTTTGCTTCAAATTTTCACCCTCTAAAAGACTAAAACTAGTACATTGTTATTTTAGTAACTAAATTAGAAATAATTATGGTCCATCCATAGCACGTGTTCACACCAATATGCTATATTTAGGCCTCAGGGCCCACTTAGCTATAATGCTAATACCAACCATCTAAGATTATTTTTTATTGATTATTTAAAAATATATATTATGAAATACACGTTGGAAACCGTCAATATTTTTTAGGTCGAACAAATCGTATACGACTTATTGAGTGCGGTTACACCTATCGAGCTATTGCATGAGAGCAAGATGTACCCTATATTCGGATTCATTTGTCAATAAACTGATAGTAACACAAACTCGTGTGTATGTATTTTTATATACGCTGAAAGTGAATATATATACTCGAAGTATATTATTATATTAAAAAATGTAACATGCACCAAATTAAATAATAACATTGTAGACAAGTTGCATCTACAACAAATTAAATGCCATGATTTTTTTTTATATAATCATTAAAATTTTACAATAAGGAAGAAGAAGAAGAAGAAGAAATGGATATAAGTAATGAATAATGAATGGGGGGCACCCCTTTCTCAAATGGCACTATCAAAGAGTAAATTGCACGGGGATGCGTGTTCATTGCACCAACCCCAACCACCCTTTGTTAACCCCATCATCACTTGAATCTATAATTAATTAAGGCTAATGATTTAATTTAGAGTTAATTATAAGATATGATGCAAATTAAATGTTAAACTTTAATTAAGAATAATAAAACATATATAATGGTTGTCTACATCATTGCTTCTATAAGTTTTATTACAATTAACACCATCGAAGATGTGATCAAGGCTTTCTCTTTACATCATGCATGTATAATGAGTTTATTGCATTTAGCACCTTTATGTTTATCTTATTTGTTAAAAACCCTCCATGTTATTAGTATTAGTAACCGATACCTATGATTCAATTTTTTTTAGCAAATAAATACATGATTATCAAATTTAATAAATTTTGTTTTATTTAAAATAGTATAAGAATGTCATGTGTGTATATTAATATAGTTTAGGTATGATGTCTCTTTCGTCCAGCTACGTTTCACTACTTAGATAAAATCATAACTCCATAGTAGTATAGTGCGTCCACCTCCTTATCCTTTTTTACTTTTGTTTCCTTTTTTTGTGTCTTTTTTATGTGTGTGTGTGTGTGTGTGAGAGAGAGAGAGAGAGAGAGAGAGAGAGAGAGAGAGAGAGAGAGAGAGAGAGAGAGAGAGAACATGGCTTGCTTGTACAGAAAATGGTGAATCATTTATACCATCTATTACTCAACTATCTATGTCTCACTGTAGAAAAATGATGAATAAAATTGCAAATTGACAATAGCTGCAAATTATTATTACATGTAGCAATTGTTGGCAAAAGAAAGATTCATAAACTTTGCATATTCTTCTGAAAAGCATGCAAAAAATACAAAGAAAGAAAGAAGAAAGCAAAAAGAGAAATGGATGAAAAGTAAATCAAAGTGGTTACTGTAAAAGCCCCTAAAACGGTAACAACTTACAGGGACTTCTCAAACAGCATGCTCATAAAAAAATTATTCAAAGTAAAAGTATAAACAGACAAATCTTTCCTTCTATAAATAAATCTATAAATAAATAAAAAATCTGTACCAAATTGAGATTCAGTAGAAATTTGGGGTTATTATTGCAATAAACAGAAATATTAACTGTCGAAAATGGAATCCGTATTAAAGTTTATGAAAAGGACCAATCAAGAATTAGTGAACAATCGGGGGGCCTATTAGAAAATATTTTCGAGGCGTAAACGAATACAAGGAAAATTAAGTAAATACATAAATGATTCCCCCAAAAGGAAATGTTTTACTGTTCTATTTGCTTTTCCAAATTTTCATTTCATCATATTTTTTTCTTTCCTGGAAAAAAAAAAAAACAAATTAATGTTACACAACTGGAAGCAAGGCAACTAGTGATTAGTAATATCTGTACAACATTTGACCGAAACATCCAAACACAAAGCCAAACCGGAAATCATTTCCCCCACAGTCAAACTCATCCTTTTTTATGGTGACTCCATTTTTTTTTCTCAATAAACTTCATGAATGTTCTTATATACACTAGTGTACACACACCACGGAGGGAGCGATTCCACATGTTTTTCCCGTACGCGGTATAATTCACGTTGGAGCACATACCATATTCGATTGTGCACAAGAAGCAATTAACCTGTTACAAATAAACGAATGCACGTTCGTTTTCAAAGGCTTAAAAAGATGATGAAATTAAAATTAATCACAGCAAAGTCGAAACTACCGACCTTCTTCGGAGAAATCAAACATCCCACCAGTATCGATATCGTCGTCCACATCTTCAGTTGACCTGTCACGATCATGAAACTCTGGCTTATTATAGTACTCTTCCTTAAATAACTGTGCAAAATCTACTGTTTTTTCCTCGGATTTTGAATGCATAAGATTTTCTGAAGCCGAGTCGGCATTGTCGACATTCGACGACGGAATTTCATTCCCCTCCGTTAAGGAAGCCTTGAGATTAGCACTCTCCTCTTTTTCTGTGTTTAAATCACTTGCAGCATGTCTAACAAGTATAGGAGATCTATCAGGGCTCATGTAGTCCAAGTTAAGCAGATTCTCCATTCGTCTAGATAATCCTGATTAAAAAAAAGTGAAGAAAACGAGTTAGGCATCAAAAGGTCGTCTCGTATCTATGGCATTGCATCTCAATAAACACATTATTTACATTTGAATTGAAGGATAGAATAGGAATAAAACTATATGTTACCTCCTTCTGAGCTTTCAGTAGAACTAAACGATGGTGGTTCTGAACGAGAAACAACACTTGCTTCACTGGTCTTTTCTTTAACTTGACCATTATTGGAGTCGGAAGGTATTGATCTGCGGAAAAACAAGTAATATGCCAATGGGAAGACATAACAAGGCACAGCTGGCATTATTTTTTCGGAAAATGAAAGACGTATAAATCTGGGACACGTTAATAGAAAACTTGAAGTATATACCAGCTAAAACAATATAACACCACGGGAAAAAATGTGCTTTCATACTAAATGTTGCATCAGGAAGAGGAGCAACTACCATTCCACTAAAAGGATGCCCCCGAAGAAGATTATTGCAGGAAAGATCTCTTAGTAACGAGCGGAATAAACAACCAGAAACAGTAAGCATCTACGGTTTACGATAGTGGAGTATAATAAGTATAATTACAGCAATACCACAACCAATGTAGAAAGATAAAATTCCCAGTCAACCATATCGAACATTTCCATGCTTAATTCGAATAACGGTATGCTGTGCAGAAAATAGATCACTATATGCGACTTGAGAACAAAAAAGTCAGATGGCACGTTGAAGTTTTGAAGATTTTTATCAACAATGTGGTGACCATGTTAAGAGTTAAGCCACCTCTCTCTTGCCTATACCAAATCCTATCATCTTAACAGCTTTTAGTGGTTGCTTTCTAAACGATGTGCCGATCAAGTTCAGATTCACTACCAAAAATACAAAGGCAGGGGTAAAAAAGAAACAAGATGTAACCTAGAACAAGAGAGACGTATAAGATGGGGGGGTGGAGTTTGGGGGAAAGATTTTGATCAACGATTGGGTAGAAAGCATTGAATTTTTCTTATCCATTTTGAGTATCTTTCTAATTGATCGTACAATGAAAGAATAAAAGAAATAATTATGATGCAGCCTAGAAAAGAAATAGGGTATAAGGTATTCACCGGTCAATCCAGCCAGATCTTGCTCTAGGAAAATTGTCAAATATCGGCAACAAATCCTTCTGTCTTATTTCGACTTCATGTGAAGGAGCCATTTCAATTTCAGACTCTCCATCCGAAAAACCTTCTTCTCTTGGATGTTCCAGTACATGGAAATGCATCTGCATCAACAACTAATATTAGTTTTTTTTTTCTAAGAAAACGACCATTATAAAAAAACGCAGACATCCGTAATCTAGCAGAGATACTACCTTCGATTTATGCCATATGGGTAATCTACACGAGTTTATTTGCACTTCAGCATTCGAAAGATACCAATGCACTCTCTCTGGAGACTTGAATGAGTCAGTCTTAACTAGTTTCTTCTTTCCAACACTCCCATTCTCCTGGAAAACCATTTCGGGGTCTTCATCAATCTCAGGGTCATTTTGTACATCAAAGATACTGCCAAAAATGCATTCCTCCCTCTCCATATTATCCAGTCTTCTGCCCACATCCCACCATTGCAACGGTTCAACTTTCACCCTGAACTCATCATTTTGTGAGTTGGCTTGTGGAGCTGACAAAGATTCAGCTCTACTCTCACTGAGTTCAAGCCCCATTGAGGACAGAATTTCATGTTGAACCACAAACCCTGAGGGGGTATAAACTAAGATATGTTCCAGAGAACTACCACCCGACTTGACATCTGAAGAACCAGTAGAGTTGGAATTATGAAAAATTGCGGCAAAAGCTCCAGACGGCACCCACAACTTACCCGCCATCGAAGCAGCGGCATTGCTTACTGAATTAAGCAAGCCAGAGTCGCTGCTTTTTATCCTTGTGACTACGGAGAGGTTGCAAGCAGGTGGAGGCAAAGATTGTGGCTCGTTTATGGTGAAAGATGAAGTAGACCACCATGGCGGAGTAGTAGCTAAAACCAAAGAAGTACCTTGCCCATGAGCATTTATAGTGCGAAAACCATCATCTCCCCCGAATGGGGATAGAACAAAGATATGGCAAGTTCCTTTTGATGATACAATCGCAATCCACTGACTGTAATGACTAAAGCAGATATCTTGGATGACCTGATGAAAAGAGGCGGGGGGCAAGAAACTCACAGAATATGAAACTTTCTGGAAATAGAAGATGGTATACCGAATAAATAACAAAGAGCATCAAATAGATACTTACGGCACTGGTTATTCCACGATAAAGCTTGTAAAGATGAGCATATGAAGTGCTCCAGTCACCAGAGCCTGATCCACTGCATTTATGACAAGGCATGATGCGGAAGATATTTATGTTATTTCCGTGCACAGAGGCAGTAACCAGAAGGGTCCCACTTGGATCAAAGCACAGAGCGGATATCGGACTCGTATGAGCCCTAAATTGTGAAATAACCTCTGAGCAAGCGAGGTCCTTCACAGCAATCTGCAGTTCACAAGTGTGATAAGAGGTGATACCTTGACAAAGTTTAGAACTCTATAATTTTGCATGATATGTACTTTCTGAAATTGTAAAACTACCACTATTTTAGACTTACCACTCCTGCATTTTCTGGTTCAGATGCTGCTAATTTTCCAGCTTTCCAGCCAGGAGAACTAGGACTACCAGGAAGCAGCTCCGGATAGTATTTTGATAATTTCTTGTATCCCATGTCCCCTAGGGAGATTAATCCAGCAGCTAAGTGTTTGCTGGATTCCATTGCATAACGAGCCATCATTGTGCTACTGCCTGGAGATGTTGATGGACTAACACTAGAAGCAAGGCTCTTTGGACTCACCCGACCAGTATTTAACAAAAACGGGCGATTAGGAGGATATGCCAACCATCTTGGCCCCACAGCCATTGGACCATAACCTGTGTTGATTCCAAATGCTCCTTGCTCTCCGACTCGAGGAACGGGATATGTGACAACTATGAATTTCTTCTCAAGCGTAAGGGAGTCAAAGCAGTAAATCTGCCCAACAAATAATAAGCCAATTATCCATCACCGTGCCAGTTTCTTATGAATCTAATCTCCAAGTATACATATCAATGCATTAAATCAGCTCAACAAGTATATAAAGCAACCATCGTTTGCATCTTATTTGTAAAGTATCTCATCTGACATATCAACTATATATATCCTTATATACTTGAAAAAAGTCTGTAGTTGTGCGTCTATTCAATTAATAAATCTCATATCAAGGAATCTCATGTCATTGAATACTTACTTGTTCTTCGAGACCAATAGCTACTACACGTGAGCTGCATCTCACCATAAATATTGCTGACTTGAAGTCAATAACCTTTACATATTCATTTGATTTCATAGAGTAAAATCGAACAGCAGTAGGGGGGTCAAAAGAGCTCCCAAATGAAGAATCTGATGAACCATATCTGGAAGTAGGAGGTCCTTGGCCAGAATAGTGAAACGAAGAGATTCTTTCATCCTCATTCCCTCCAACAACCACCACTATGGGATGTGATGCAATGTACTTTCCAGTACAATCACCACCTGCAGGAGCTGGAAGCATCTGTAAGAATGTAACTGGTCCATCACGCCTGGATAGCAATTCGCTTAAACCAGAGGCATCTTCAACATCGAAGATTTGAAAACCCTTTAGATAACCAATTAAAAGGACACGCCTGAAGGCAGTTGGACTAAGCTCTAATTTGTCAAAGCCAGCCCATAATACCTGATTAACACGAAAGGAGCTGTATATCAACATGAGAAGCATCATGACTAGTGAATAACAACACATTTTCATCAGAATTAAGAGTTCATGTCGCTAATTGCTTAAATGGAAGCTAACCAGAATAAGCATGGAATCAGAGGAGAAAGTAAAACTGCACTGTATTGATACACTTAGAAAATACATGCTTATAATACTAAAGCGAGATCTCACACAATATTTCCAAATTATACAGATAAAGAAAACAATTGAAGATTTTCCAACGGTAATTATAACAAGTCAATCAATAATATGAAATCACTAAAGATATAAAAGATTGTGAAATATCTATGCTTCCGGATGAAATATAAAAATGATAATGTTGTGTAAATAATAGCTCCAATTGAATAATTAACATCAGGCGACTTAAATGATCAACACAAATCATTTATGTCGAACAAATAAAACAGCACTGAATTCAAACAACAAGATATTGAAACTTCAATGAACAACGGAACCTTATACCAAGGGCTTCTGAATTGGCTAAAATCATATGAATAGGTGCTCCAAAGAATAATACATTTCAAGTTACAGTTAGTGATGACAATCAATTTATTTGCATTACTTGGGGGTGGAAATAAAATTCGAACAATTATCCAGTGCACAGAAATAAGAACCTAACAATTGGATAAATTTCTATAACAGACAACTCTATTATGCTCTATTCAATCAAGTACAAAACGAACAAAATAACAGAAAACCATTTCAGCACAGTAAATCACCAAGGCAAAAAAAACTCCACTAGAGATAATACACTTAATAACAGATTTACAAATATCGACCTGCTCTTTGCGATCGTCCGACGGCGAAATGGAGGCGGCGACGGACGCACCAGCTGAGCGCACGGCAGTGCTAGCATTAGTCGACACCGTTTTGATGCACGAAGAAATAATTCTCAACGAATTAAGAAGGAACTTGCTGTTTTTCCCCTTACCTTTCCTCATTTTTCTATTTAAAATAAATAATTATCCTTATTTATCTTCTTCCCTATCTCAACCTTTCCCAACCACCGCCGACTCAGCGGTAAGTTCCGAATCTACTCCACCGCCGTCGTGCACCGCCGCACAGGCCGACGCGTCAGCCGTACTTCCGTCGATCATCAAATCCTACGATCGCCTGGAAAATGACAACACCGCGGCTAGATACACACACAAAACTTTCCGATTTCAGAACTTGGGAAATCCTAATTTTTCCGGTGAGTTTTTGGAGTTTGACTTGGGGGAATGCTTTTTCTTTCTTTACTGTCTCTGGACTCGGTTCAATATATATATATATATATATACCCACCACACGCGATCCCCTTCCGCTTCCTGTGTTGTTTGCGCTGTAAGCCAAATCTATCCACAGACCAATATTTTCAAAAACAATAACCATGAAAATACAGTTTCTAATTTTCAATTAAAATTAAATAATGTAATTGTTTTTTTTTTTTCTTTTTTTGTTGTTTTTTTTTTTTGGATAATATTTTATGTATATATATCCTTGTTTGACAAGTAAAAATTGCCGAATATAACCTTGGTCAAACCCATAAACAAGGCATGATTGAGGTAATACAAAGATTGAATTTGAGTTTCATTAAACATAACTAATTATACATGTCATTTCAGATCAGGATAGCCGAACTTTGACAGTTTGCTAAAAAAACCTCTATTCTTCAGATTCGCTTTCCTCCCGTCTAATCTAACTGCATTCCATCAGATTCCGTCAAATTCAAATGAAAATGTGACAGATCCTCCTAATTAATTAGAATTGGTTTTTTTTTTCTTTATTGTAGTGAATTTGATATATATGCTCGAAATTTAGTCAATTTATATTTATTTTGAATGAGTGGAAGACATGTAAATTTTGAATACTATATTAGTGTATTAAATGGTTACGTAATCGATGTAAAAGGATAAAGTTATCGACTTTTTTTATGCTTAGTCATTACCTTGTTAAATGAGTTTAACTTGAATAATAATAATGAATCATTAGATATAAATGGATTGTATTTGAATTGATGAAATATATATTCTAATATAGGCCCGAATCAATATTTGTTTCATCAATATATATCTACATGGACTATAGTGGTAATAATGTTTAAGCCCATTCAAGGCCCAGTTTCTTTACGGGCCTTACCCGACCCGATCATGACCCGAATTTGCGTTACACAACATACCATTGTACTACTAGCTGTAATCATAATTTAATACCATGATAAATAATTTGGTACAAGCTGTAATCATAATTTCTTTTTTACATAAAACAATATTTAATACTATGATAAATAATTTTAAAATGTCCGGAAAAAATGGGGTTGTACCTCTACCAAAATTAAGCTTCCATGGCTTTAGAGGTGTTGTACTTTTCTCCTGCACTAAAGAGATCCTTATAATACTTTTTCCAAATTGATAGCTTCTTACATTTTCTGATCAATTCTAAACTACCACAGCTCCCTCTTAGAAGTAGCAGCACCTGCCTTTCAACACAAATTTACCCAAATTCAATTATAATTATTATGTAATAATATTATACGATTAAAAAAAAATATCGAAAGTGCACCTGACTCATTCGAGGGCGTTTGGTGGAAGATTGTTGCACGCAAAGAGAAGCGGCCAAAATCACGAGATTCATTTGCATCGGGTTGTAGTCGTCTTCGGCAAGTGAGGGGTCTATAAGCTCTCTTATTTTGTTCTTCTTCAGCAGAGGCTTAGCCTAGAATAAATAAATAATATATAAAACATTTTTTTTATAATTCAAATGCTATATTTGAAGCCATCATTTGTGTAGTGTATATAGCAATTATTGAAAGAGGGAATCGTACCCACATAACGAGGCTTTGCTGTGAATAATCAAGAGCTCGTCGACCGGTTATAAGTTCCAAAAGCAGCACTCCAAAGGCGAAAACGTCGGTTTTCTCGTCTACTATTCCGTGCATTAAGAACTCCGGTGCTAGATAACTGCAACAAAGATTACATACAATCGGAGTTTAAATTAGTAATATGATGATACCCTACTTAAATTTATCGGAAAAAACGAGAGATTTTCAGTGATGATAAACACACCCGAAAGTGCCTTCAAATTTTGAAACCGTAAGGTGAGTCCACCGATCCGGCAACCATTTTGCAAGCCCAAAATCACATATCTGAAAATAAACTTTTAACTTTTATCGTCCAAACAAAGGGGGCCATGGCCCCCACAACTACATATTCCATATAGAAATTTGTTATTTTTCAAGTACTATAGTATTGTCGGAACCCCCTAGAATTTTTTTGTTATTTATTCGAAAGATTCAAGTGGATATATACCTGAGGTTCAAAGTCTTGGGTAAGTAATATATTAGCAGCTTTAATATCTCGATGAATGATCCTCCTTTGACAACCCTCGTGAAGGTACAACAACCCCTTAGCCGTTCCGATTGCAACCTTGTACCTAGTATCCCATGCCACCTTCTCCCTCGAACCTATTTAATAATAAAAAAATATATTATAATTCGACATCATCAAAACGTCGTAATAACGAGAAAAAAAAAATCCCGAAACAATGGTGGTGGCACTAACTGTGAAGCATAGAGGCCAAGCTTCCAATGGGAGACAACTCGAGCACAAGGTACATTCCACCTTCAACCCCATAGCCAATCATTTTAGCCGTGTTAGGGTGATTTACATGCGCCATTATACCGAGTTCCGTTAGGAAATCCCCTATTCTTTCTTCCGTTGACCCCTTAGTCAAACGTTTAATCGCAACAAGTGCGCCTCCGCGCAGACGGCCCCTATACACCTCCGCGTATCCGCCTTTTCCGATCAAATAACCTAATTAAGTCAAATCAAAACATATATAGGACATTATTTTTATTTGTAATTAAGAAAAAAATTTGACATTATTAATTATATAGAGCTAGGTAGCTAAATTACCTTGGCAAAAATTGCTGGTAGCGGATTGGAGTTGGGAGAAGGTGAAGTTGGTCCATTGAGGCTTGAAGTAATTGAAATCGGCGGCGTCGAGTAAGGGTATGGAGGTAATTTCCTCCGTCATGCTAGTGCTGAATTTTTGGGATAGTTTAAGGGGATGCAATGTGGCTAATTGTGCCTTGGATTTGAACCTTAATTGGTGGAAAAAATCGGAGATTCGAGAATTTGGTTTGGGGTGGTGGTGGATTTGTTGATCATGTGATTCATGAGAAGTGCTTGTTTTGGAGGAATATTCTGATTGAGATTCTGTTGTTCTCAAGAAATCCTCAAGAACTGTGTCTGGTGAATATACATTATTTGATTTCTCTTTCTCTTTCTCTTTCTCCATACTTACTTGTCAAACCATCAAACAGTACACAATTTCAGCAAAATTAGAAGATAGCAGTACAACAATATAGTGTGACGGATATTTAAATAAATAAATAAAAACAGAGGAATTCCAATTTTTCCTCATACCATAAAAACATCATATATAATAATTAATAAGAGAGATGAGAATGAACATACCATAAAAAATGGAAGCTGAAAAATTGTCGGAATTCCAGAGAAGAAAAAAGAAAAAACCAGAGGTGGAAGGGCGGGCCCAGAATCCAGATGATTCAAACAAGACAATACAGCAAACAGAGGATATTTTAGTATTGTTTTTACAGGTTATATTAATTTTGTGGGGTTACTTTCTAAATTGTAAAGTGTGCATGAAGATTCATCCAACGGAAGGAAGTGGCTGTATATAATTATGTGTGAGTGTAAGTTATTCTTTGAAGACAAGCTGTGTTGGGTTCGCTTTACCCCACCAACCCACAGTGTGTGTGTGTGTGTGTGTGTGTGTTTTCTTTATTTCATTAGAAAAAAAACAAAAAAAAAATGATTTTTTCTTAATGTGTGTGTATACTGTATACGATGTTTATCTATGTTTTGGTTTCGTCGGTCGGAATTTGTCTGCCACGGCTGAGGTATTCGAGGTGTTCAGCTGCAGCAGGCGCCCACGTGCTCTTTCACCTCTATTACTATTTATTATTTGGGGGAATACGATGCTACACCTGGTGATTTGAATCGGGTGGCTCTTTTCTTGACACGTGGCTTTTTTTATTTATTTTATAATTATATTTCTAAAAATCCATTGGGCCATAACTGAACCCGTAGTGGGAATCTTATTAATTAGGGGTAATGTTATACGCATGCCAAATTAAACATTCAGGCACTTTTTTACCATGATTTTTTACCTTTTTACCATAACTAGTCACTCACCCGTGCGATGCACGGGGATTAATTCAAAAACATAGAATGAGTTAATGTAGAAAACTAACGAATAAAAAATATGTCGAGAATGTAAAGAATACAATTGAACAATAAATAACAAATTCGTATCTTAATTTATCAATCAAAAGTCTCTATAAAAAATAAACGGACAATGTTCTAAGCACCATACACGTTGAAATGTAGCAAGTAACTCCAAGACCGAAATTAAAGTAATGCATCAGTCTTGCACATTAATGTGAATGTTGTTAAAGAAGACCACAAAACTACAATTAGATCTACGACCTGATGACGAATAACCTGTTATTTTTCATCATTTTCAATAAAAGACATTACGTAGATAAAGAATATATATACAAACTTAAATTGATCCAACAATAAATAAAACAATTGCATTTCATTTTATCACAAAAAATCTACATAAATACAAACTGACAATGTTAGAACAGTCAAACTAAATGCCACAAGCAACTCCATGAGTGGAGATTGATTCAGAACACCACTCTTACACATTAATCTGAATCTTGATATAGTAACACAGGAAACTTTTGTCAAATCAACCATTATCAGATGAATAAGATGTAATTATTTATTCATTATTTAAGTTCAACGCGTTATCTAAAGAAAACAAATATATATATATATATATATATATATATATATATATATATATATATATATATATATATATATATATATGTATATGTATATATATATATATATATATGTGTATATATATGATCCGTTCCAGAACAACGTAGTTGATGAGCTGTCCTTCCTGCTATGGCGGAAAATCTGCAGAGAAAGGAAAGCCGGACTGATGCCGGAGTTAGCACTCCGACGATCAAGTCAGTACCACGGCTCTGATATAAAGTGTTATGAATATATGAGTTTTTGTGTTAAAGCTTGAGAAAGATAAAGATAACCCCCTTTCTGCTTGGATCCTTGGGGTTTTTATAACATTCGGCGGGAAGACCTTCTGCTCCCTCGGATCCTGGTAAAAAGCATGCTTCTGACGGGCTTTTCACCTTTCCGCCAGTCGGCCCGGGCCATCATACTACCCTATTTTCTAGAGATTATGATGCTCGTAGGTCTATCCCATGTACTCCCGGCCGCACGTAGTCATTCGCTCATTAAATGCTCTTGTCAGAGCATTTAATGGGTGCCTGGCCAGGTCTGTCAGGGCATTTAATTTTCCCCACTTTTCCCGACCTTCCTCTTCCTGGTCGGGAACTGCGGATAACTCTCGCCCGCCGAATCCCCATGCGGGCCCCACCTCTTCCTCTCTTTTGGGCTTTACTTTCCTCCTTGGGCTTCTCCTTCGCATATGGGCTGGTTAAGCGATTCCTGGACCGTTTTAGTGGGCTAACGTATTTGGGCTTCGTAATCCTGGCCTCGATCCGGATCAACTAGTCCCCCACTCCGAGTCCTATATTTTTAGGGCTCGGAGTTCTTTACCTCCTCGCGTCCGCGGCACGTCCTTTCATCTACCCCATCCGATCGTTTCGTTTTCCTGCTTAGCGCACTTCCCTATGCAGCCGTCAATCCCTGTGGGGGCTCTTCGTTTCTTGTGCCTTTTAATGACGGGTGTCTTTTCGTCTGTCGTTGGGGCCCGCCTTCTGGACTTAAAGCCCCCCTTTCCTGCTATTTCTCTCCTTCCCCATACCCTCTTTATTCTCCTTCCATTCCCTTATTGCTAGTGTGCTCCCTATTCCCCAGGTACTTTCTGCTCTCCCTTTCTCCTTTGTTATTGATTTTCTTGCTTTCTTCACCATCGCCCATCCCATGGTTTCCCAAGGCACTTCTTCTTCTTCTTCTTCGGGGCGGACTGACCCCCTTCCTGCGCCCGTGCGGTCTAATCGCCGGGGCGGGCGTCGTCCGAACCCGAAGAAGAAGACAGCTCCTTCTTCTTCCTCCCCTCAACCCAATAAAAAGAAATCCCTAGAGAAACCAACCCATTCTCTGGTGGACAAATTTGACCTCGAAGCTCTCTACGCCACCCAGGGCGTGGACGCTTCCTTTCATCTTTTAGTCCCCTCCCGTTCCCAGTCTCCTTCTAGTCCCCCTCCGGGCTATCTCACTTGGTACTTGGATCAATTCAAGGCCGGCCTTACTCTTCCTTTGCACCCTTTCTTTGTTGACGTAGGCAGCCTATACAAGATCCCCCTCCAACTTTTCCATCCTAACGCCATAAAGTTCATGTCGTGTTTCTATATAGTCTGCGTCAGTACCGGCGTAGACCCCCGACCAGAATTATTTTTCACTATCTTTACCCACAACCGGTCCTCCTCCGGCTATTATCATTTATCTTCGCGAATAGGTCGCCTCTTCGCCGGGCTGGTTACGAAGATTGATTCTTGGCAACGCCGCTTCTTCTTCGTCCGCCCGCCCTCGGCCTGGCCTTTTGACTCCACTCCCCCTCCTAAATCTCCTAAACGTGCTGCCCTCGGCATGAGCTTCGAGGATGAGATCGCAGGCCTATTGGCTCGCGTTCGCCCCCGTGCCTGGAATGTTGAGAAAATTATTAACAGTCTCCCCCTTTTTTCTCGTGCCGGCTTGTGGCAGATCCCTTCCTTTGATCGTCGCCCTTGGGGTATACCTACTCTTTTCACTTTCTCCCGTCCAGACTTCCGATGCCGCTTGGCAGTTGTGTGTATTTGCTTGTATTATTTTTCATTATTATTATTATGTTTGCGATCTGACTCTCTCTCTTTTTTTTTTTTTTTTTTTTTTTTTTTTTTTTTTTTTTTTTTTTAAGGTGAGATGATGATCGATATGCTTTTGGAACTGGCTGAGGCCGAGAAGAAAGATGCCGGGGCCTCGAGCCCGATGGCGGCAGCTGAGGTCGCGCCCGAGGTTTCCTCCCGCGGGCCCGAACTCCCTTCCCATAGCTCCAATTCCCCTCTGCACCCTCTATCTCCTTCCTCCGGTCTACCTCTTCCCGGTTCCGAAGCTGTCATCGAACTTCTAGACAGCGAGACCGAGGTGCGGGACCTGGCTATATTTCCGAGCGGCGATCCCGGACTCGAGGAAGCTCAAGGAGAGTCTGCCGAGACAAGCTCCAAGCGTCTCGCTCTGAGCGGTTCTACTCCTCCCCCGAAAAGGGCCCGCCTAGAGTTGCCTAGCCTATTCTCTTCCTCGGACCCCGAGGGCTCGGCCGACCTCGTGCTCCACCAACTGTCCAAGGCTCAGGCCCCCGGTGATGCAGCTTTCCTCCAATCCCTCCCTCACTCTTCTCAGCGAGCCAAGTTGGCTCTGTGCTTGGCGCAGGTATGCGATCCTTCGATCGTTCATCAACTTATTCAATTGACGTAAGTTCGTACTAACACTCATTCTTTCTTTGCAGGCGAGTTCCATTGTAGCCTCAGGCTTTGGCAAGGAAGATCCCTCCACTCGGGACCTTGCTCTCCGTGAGTTGAACGAGCAGGCCGCCAACGCTCGTGCGGCCCTCGAGCGGGCTTCCTCGCGTATCTACTCCCTTATGACCGAGAACGGCACTTTGCTCCGCCAGTGTGAGGTCGCCGAGGAGAAACTCGAGGAAACGCAGTCCAAACTATGCGAGACTCGGAGTGTTCTGGAGGGTCGAGCCGTGCGAGCAGAGGAAGAGCTAGCCCGCACCATGCAGCGTATGGAGTCCCGGGAGCGGGAGTTTCAGAGCGAGCTGGATTGCCGTTTGGCCTCCGAGCGAGCGAAGAAGTTGGGGGAACTCCTTGCTACCACTGAAGGTCTGACCATTCTCGACCAGTACCGGGTCAAGTTGTTCGAGCGGTACCCTCATACTAAGCTGTTCCTGAAGGATGCTTGCCCGATCGGCATGTATTATGTCAAGCAAACCATAGGCGCTTGTGAGGCCATAGCCGAGGAGGCGAACACTCCCATTCGCTATGAACCCACCGCTGTCTTAGGCAAGATAAACAGGACGCTGCCTCTTTGGAAGGGAGACCCTCGCGAGCCCATCAACCATCCGTGGTGGCAGCCTATTACGGAGGACCTGATTTCTTCTTTAGGAAGTGGTGCTCCGGGTCCTTCGGCAGCAGTTAGCCACTCTTCAGCTCCAGTGCCCCCTCGAGTTCCCGAGGCAAGTGTTGGTCCGGCTTCCTCCGCCCCCCTTGCCCCGTCTGATCCTGCAAGGCTTTCTCCCCATCGCTCTACTTCTTCTTAGGGGCTTATATATATATATATTTTTTTTTTTTTTTTTTTTTTTTTTTTTTTTAAGGGTGTGTTCTTCCCTTGTTTTTCTTTTTGTATGGGACTTTAACTATCTCTTTTTTTTTTTTTTTTTTTATATATCTCATGGTTGCTTTGTTTTACTTATCTTCTTCTTCTTTATATATTTTTCTTTTATGTCTTGTTTAGTTGGTGAGCTTCGTCGGGCATTCTAGGGGCCCTCGGTTACGGTTCTGACGGGACTTAGGCCCGTCAGGGTCGTAAACATTTTAACTTGCATTCCTCTGTTTGGTTTTTCTTGGAACTTGAGCTCGTCGAGAGTCTTTCAAAAGTTCTCAGCTAAGATTTTTGGCAGGAAAATCGTAAGTACTTGTGTTTACAAGCTCGGTGTCTTCATTTCGCTCTACTCGGAGCTCGAGCTCGTCGAGTGTTTCCAAGTTCTAATTCTTCCTTTCGTTCTACTCGGAGCTCGAGCTCGTCGAGTGTTTTCAAAAGATTCTCGGTTACGATTTTGGCAGAAAAATCGTAAGTACTTGTGTTTACAAGTTCTAATTCTTCCTTTCGTTCTACTCGGAGCTCGAGCTCGTCGAGTGTTTTCAAAAGATTCTCGGTTACGATTTTGGCAGAAAAATCGTAAGTACTTGTGTTTACAAGTTCTAATTCTTCCTTTCGTTCTACTCGGAGCTCGAGCTCGTCGAGTGTTTTCAAAAGATTCTCGGTTACGATTTTGGCAGAAAAATCGTAAGTACTTGGGCTCCCCCCTGGGGGGAGAACTTAATGAACATTCTTTCTAAGAGACAAAAACGGACAGGGGTTTTTCTTATACCCGCGGTTTACAAAAGTCTAGGTTACTTAGTCCTTGCACATCTTTCAGGAGCAAAAATACGTCGATGCTTTACGTGAAATATTTTTTAAGATGTCCTATGTTCCATGGTCGTGGAAGCCTCCTCCCTTCTTCGTTTGCCAGTTCGTATGCCCCTCCTTTCAACACCTTTTTTATTACATATGGCCCCTCCCAGTTGGGTTCCATCTTCCCTACAGCTTTCAAAGCGTCTGCCTGTTTGAGCACTAGATCTCCTACCTGGAATATTCTTTTCCTCACTTTTTTGTCATACGCGTTCTTGATTCTCGCCTTGTTAGCCTCCATCCGGATCACGGCTTGTTCCCTTCTTTCCATGATCAGATCCAACTCCATTCTCAATCCTTCGTCGTTTACGATGTCACTGTGTCCTCGCATCCGACTGGATGGGATGCCGATCTCAAGTGGTATCACCGCCTCGGAGCCATGAACAAGAGAGAACGGGGTTTCTCCTGTTGCTTCTTTTGGCGACGTCCGGTGTGCCCACAAGACCGAGTGTAGCTCCTCTACCCAATTGCCTTTCGACTTCTCTAATCGCTTTTTGATGCCCTCCATCAGGATCCTGTTTGTTACCTCCACCTGCCCGTTCGCTTGCGGGTGGGCCACTGCTGCAAACCTCTGACCTATCCCCAAGCCCTTGCACCATTTCGTTATCTTTGCTGAATTGAATTGGGTGCCGTTATCCGAGACGAGGTCCCTCGGTATCCCATACCGACAACATATATTTTGCCAGATAAATTTCATGATTTCCGTGTCCGTGATCCTGGCTACAGCCTCCGCTTCGACCCACTTGGAGAAGTAGTCGATGGCGACTACCAAAAACTTCCTTTGTCCGGTTGCTACGGGCAATGGCCCTACGATGTCTATTCCCCATCGTAGGAAGGGGCGAGGGGTGTCTACTATAGTCATCTCTTCTCCCGGCACGCGTATCCGAGGTCCATATCTCTGACACTTATCACAGGCCTTAACGAACTGAATCGAATCTTTCCGCATGGTGGGCCAAAAATATCCTGCCCTCAACAGCCGCATGGCCAGCATTCTCCCCCCTGCATGGTCTCCACAGCAGCCTTCGTGCACCTCTCTGATCGCGCGCAATCCCTCGGCCCCGCCTAGGCATTTTAAATGGGGTCGCGTGAACCCCCTCTTGTATAGTGAACCCCGCTCTAAACAGAACCCTCTACTTCTTGCTACTAACTTATCCTGCTCGCGTCGGCAGGGCAGCTCGTGCCCCTCGAGACATCGAATGATATCAGTGCGCCAATCGAAGGCCGCGCTTGCTACAATCACCTCCTCATACTCCCGGGAATGACCCTGGAGAATAGTTATTTTCCTGCTCTCACACTCGGTAGATAGGCTCCCGACCTTGGCTAAGAAGTCGGCTCTCTCATTCTCGCTTCTTGGGATTTGTTCGAGGATTAACCTACGGAAACCGGCAGACAGTTTCCTTGCTTTGCTGCAATAGTCTCCCATCCTTTCATCCTTTGTCTCGAATATCCCCTTCATCTGCTGGACCACCAGCTGGGAGTCCGAATATACCTCTAGACAGTTCGCCCCTGCCTCTGCGGCTAGCTGGAGGGCATATATGAGGGCTTCATACTCCGCCTCATTATTTGAGGCCCGAAAGGCCAACCGGACTGCGTACTCGTATTCTTCACCCGTGGGGCTTATCAGCATGATCCCTGCTCCACTTCCGGACTGATTTGACGACCCATCTATGAAGGCCTTCCACTCGGCCTCTTGTTCTTCTCGTATTGTTTCTTGCAAGAACTCGGCTAACGCCTGGCCTTTAATGGCCGTGCGGGGCTCATATTCAATATCGAATTGGCCCAACTCCACTGCCCATTTAACCATCCGGCCTGACACCTCCATCCGGCCCAACGTACTTTTTAGGGGGAAATTAGTTCTTACTACTACCGAATGTGATAAGAAGTACGGTCTTAACTTCCGGGCAGTAAGAACAAGGGCCAGTCCCATCTTTTCAATCTCCGCGTACCTTCTCTCGGCTCCCTTGAGCACTCGGCTCACGTAGTAGACAGGACATTGTATCCCCCCGCGTTCGCTCAAGAGTACGGCGCTCACAGCTTGCTCCCCGGCGGCTAAGTACACGTAGAGTTTCTCCCCTACTCTCGGTTTCACAAGTAGGGGCAAACGGGCCAGTGTCTCCTTCAACTGCTCGAAGGCGCGATCGGCCTCGGGGCCCCATTCAAACAGATGCCCCTTCCGCAAGATCTTGAAGAATGGGTAGCTCGTGTCGGCAGCCCGAGAGATAAAGCGACTTAGCGCAGTAATTCTTCCTGCTAACATCTGTACCTCCTTTATGCTCCGGGGCGGACGCATATCCATCACCGCGCGTATTTTCTCCGGGTTCGCCTCGACCCCCTTCTTAGTTACCATGTAACCTAAGAACTTTCCTGACTCTACGCCGAAGGCGCATTTGAGTGGGTTGAGCTTCATGCCGTACCGCCGGAGTGTGCCGAATGTTTCTCTCAGGTCTTGGATATGATTCCCGGCCTCCTCACTTTTGACCAGCATGTCATCCACATACACCTCCATGTTCCTTCCTAACTGCCCGCGGAACATTCTATCCACCAGCCTCTGATAAGTTGCTCCGGCATTCTTGAGACCAAACGGCATCACGACATAACAATATGTTCCTGTGGATGTAACAAAACTTACATTCGGCTGATCTCCCTCCTTCAGTCGTATTTGGTGGTAGCCTTGGGAGGCATCCATCATACTCAACATTGCGCACCCCGCCGTGGAGTCTACCAACTGGTCAATCCTCGGGAGCGGGTAATGATCCTTGGGGCAAGCCTGGTTCAGATCCCTGAAATCTATGCACATTCTCCATTTTCCTTCCGCTTTTTTGACAAGCACCGCGTTGGACAGCCAGGTCGGGAACTTTATTTCTCTGATGTGCCCGGCCTCCAGCAGCTTCCGTACTTCTTCCTCGATTATTTTATCCTTCTCTGGCCCGAAATGCCTTCTCTTCTGCTTAACCGGGTTCACCCCCGGCCTCAAGTTTAGCTCATGGACCATCACCGCAGGGTCGATTCCCTTCAGGTCCCTGGGGGACCATGCGAATACGTCCTGATTGTTGCGCAAAAAGGTCGTTAATTCCTCCCTCATTTCCTCGTTAAGCGTGGTTCCTATTCTGGTGGTGCGGGTGGGGTCGTTTACGTCCAGCTGAATTACTTTTAGTTCTTCCATCGGTTGGACATGGACCTCTTCCTTTTCTTCCGGGTCTAGCCGAGGCCTTTTTTCCTCTGTTCTCCCGATGTCATCGCTCCCTGGCCTCAGGTTCCCTTTATCCCATCCCACAGGGTTAATGCGTCGTTGTCCTCTGAGGGCCTGATTGTAGCACCTCCTAGACGTCTCCTGGTCTCCCCGAACTTCCCCTACTCGATCAAGGACCGGGAATTTCATCTTCATGTGAAACGTGGACACGACCGCTTCAAATGCGTTCATCGAGGGCCGTCCCATTATCATGTTGTAAGTGGACGGGGCGTCGATGATTAGAAACCTTACCGCTCGCGTCGCCTTTAAGGGGTCGGTTCCCAGCGATACCGGCAGGGTTACCTCTCCCATTGGCTGCACCACCTCCCCGGCGAATCCTATAAGGGCCGTATCCACCTTCCTTACTTCAAAGTTCAACCGCATTTGCCTGAAACATTCGTAATATATTATATCAGCCGAACTGCCCGTGTCCACCAGTATCCTTGCCACGTCGTAGTTTGCTACCATGGCCGTGATTACTAGGGCATCATTATGCGGCTGTTGTATTCCTGTCTCGTCCTCTACCCCAAAGGTGATAGGCGGGGCAACGGACACCCTGTACATCATCGCGAGCTCCCCTCTTAATTCCTGTAGCTCTCGCAGGTGGGCCCGGCGGGACCTATTCGAATCTCCCCCGGCGGGGCCCCCGAAGATGGTGTGAATGTAGTTGTTTGGCGGCTGAAGGTCGGCGTCTTTTCCCTGCCTGTTGGGAGCTTGTGCACCACCGTTCCCCCCTTTCCGCGGGTATTTGGCAGTGGTCCCTGGACCGCTTTCAACGAACTCCGAGAGGTTCTTTGTCCTGATAAGCCTTTCGATTTCATCCCTCAAATGCTGACATTCGTCGGTGGAATGCCCATGCTCATTGTGGAAGCGGCAATAAGGTCCAGCACTGACAGGCTTCTTTGGTGTTTCCGAATAGGTGCGCGGCCACTTCAGCTTTGGATGGTTTACGATGGCTGTCAGGATCTCTGAGGGAGCGGTACTTAAGGGTGCGTAATTTTCAAATCGGGGTCCCGTTCGTCGCTCTGTGCCCACTTCTCTGCGCGAGAAGGGTTCTTGCTTCTTCACTTCCACTCGACTTTTGTCCCTACGTTTGTCAGTTGTCGGGGCTGGTTCCGAGGCCCTGCTGCGGCGGGCCTCCTCTGCGTTGATATACTTTTCGGCTCTCCGGAGCAAGTCATTGAAAGAGGCCGGTGCCTTCTTGGAAAGGGAGTCGAAGAACTCTCCCATTTGTAGACCCTGGGCCAGCGCGTTGATGAGCACCTCTTCACTAGTGACAGGGACTTCGAGGGTGGCAGCATTAAATCTCTGCACGTAGTTCCTTAATGGTTCGCCTTCCTTTTGCCGTACTGCGAACAGGGTAAGCGTGCTTCTTTTCTGCTTCTTGGAGCTCGCGAAGTGGTTTAGGAACAATTCGCTAAACTGGGTAAAGCCATCGACCGAGCATCGGGGTAACTGGCTGAACCATCTCTGCGCGGGGCCTGCCAGGGTAGTTGCGAAGACCCTGCACTTTACCCCGTCCGTTAGCCTGTGAAGAGAAGCGGACGTGACGAACCGAGAGACGTGCTCCCAGGGGTCGGTGGCCCCGGTATATTCATACGTGACGGGTCGATAGGTGGCCGGCAGCTCCCCGTGCTGTAATCTCGCCGTGAAGGGGGTGCCCGCCATTCCCTCAATCTCGGCTGACGGCAGTATTAGGAGCTCGTCGTCTATCGTCGACACCCCCGGCTGCGACTCCGGCTTTCGCTTTTCCATGCTACCCCCTCCTCCGACCTCGGGAGGTTTACCCTGGGCTGCGGCCGAGATCAACGCCTGGAGGTGTTCCATTGTGAGGGTTATCGTAGTACCTGCTTTTTCCAGTGTAGTACTAGCGACACCCGGGGTGGGCTCCTCCGACGGCCCGGCTGCCGTGGTCTCTTGATTACTTATGAGGCCCGGGGGGGTTAGCTCCCCCTCCAGCAAGCTTGATAAGTTACGGGCCACCTCCGGTGTCGACGTCATGAAAGGAGTTGATATGATAGCTGAGTGTACTTTTTTGTCTCGAGTTTCCCACAGACGGCGCCAATTGATCCGTTCCAGAACAACGTAGTTGATGAGCTGTCCTTCCTGCTATGGCGGAAAATCTGCAGAGAAAGGAAAGCCGGACTGATGCCGGAGTTAGCACTCCGACGATCAAGTCAGTACCACGGCTCTGATATAAAGTGTTATGAATATATGAGTTTTTGTGTTAAAGCTTGAGAAAGATAAAGATAACCCCCTTTCTGCTTGGATCCTTGGGGTTTTTATAACATTCGGCGGGAAGACCTTCTGCTCCCTCGGATCCTGGTAAAAAGCATGCTTCTGACGGGCTTTTCACCTTTCCGCCAGTCGGCCCGGGCCATCATACTACCCTATTTTCTAGAGATTATGATGCTCGTAGGTCTATCCCATGTACTCCCGGCCGCACGTAGTCATTCGCTCATTAAATGCTCTTGTCAGAGCATTTAATGGGTGCCTGGCCAGGTCTGTCAGGGCATTCAATTTTCCCCACTTTTCCCGACCTTCCTCTTCCTGGTCGGGAACTGCGGATAACTCTCGCCCGCCGAATCCCCATGCGGGCCCCACCTCTTCCTCTCTTTTGGGCTTTACTTTCCTCCTTGGGCTTCTCCTTCGCATATGGGCTGGTTAAGCGATTCCTGGACCGTTTTAGTGGGCTAACGTATTTGGGCTTCGTAATCCTGGGGATTGGAGGAAAGCTGCATCACCGGGGGCCTGAGCCTTGGACCCTATACTTTTTTTTTAAATGTTTATTTTCTTGATATATAATACATAACGAACTTTCCCGTTGAACAGATTCCGGTTTTCGTAATGGACTTGTCGACTTTCATTGGAGGATATGTAATGGCATTCTTTCTTCTATGGAAGCTAACAATTGTGGGATTCCCGTTCGTCGTGTTCCTCGTTATACCAGGTTTGGTTTACGGAAGAACGCTTATGACTGTCGGAAGAAAACTTAGGGACGAGTATACGAAAGCCGGTGCGATAGTGGAACAGGCGGTTTCTTCCGTCCGAACGGTATATTCTTTTGTCGGCGAGGATAAGACTATATCCGACTATTCATTAGCGCTTGAAGCTACTGTAAAACTAGGATTAAGACAAGGATTAGCCAAAGGATTAGCAATTGGTAGCACAGGTGTGATTTTTTCGATATGGGCTTTTGTTTCTTATTACGGCAGCAGATTGGTTATGTATCACGGTGCTCACGGTGGCACCGTTTTTGCTGTTGGTGCTGCTATCATCGTCGGTGGACTGTAAGATTAATCGCTCTCTCTCTTTTGCTTTCTCTCTCATGATTGTAAGAATTTTCTTGATTTCGAACTCAAATTTGATTGCAGGGCGTTTGGTTCGAGTTTGTCGAATATAAAGAATTTTTCGGAAGCGAGTGCAGCGGGAGAAAGAATAATGGAGGTCATAAAACGGGTTCCGAAAATCGATTCAGACAGCGTAGAAGGCCAAATATTACAACATGTGTCAGGAGAGGTTGAATTAAGACAAGTCGAATTTGCCTATCCGTCAAGGCCTAAAAGCATGATTTTCGAAGAGTTGAACCTAAGAATCCCGGCTGGAAAAACGGTGGCATTGGTTGGGGGAAGTGGATCGGGAAAATCAACGGTGATTGCTCTATTGCAGAGATTTTACGATCCGGTCGGTGGCAAAATTCTTCTCGACGGAGTGGCTATTGATAAATTGCAGCTCAAGTGGCTGAGGTCTCAAATGGGATTGGTTAGTCAAGAACCGGCGCTATTTGCAACCTCGATTAAAGAGAATATTCTTTTCGGCAAAGAAGATGCTTCGACGGACGAGGTTATAGAAGCTTCTAGAGCTGCTAATGCTCATAATTTCATTACACAGCTGCCTCGAGGCTACGACACTCAAGTGGGTGAAAGAGGGGTGCAATTATCGGGGGGCCAAAAGCAGAGAATAGCAATAGCAAGGGCCGTAATAAAAAACCCGAAAATACTCCTTCTCGACGAAGCCACAAGTGCGCTCGACTCGGGCTCGGAGCGAATAGTACAAGAAGCTCTGGACAAAGCGGCGGTGGGCCGCACCACGATAATCATAGCTCACCGTCTCTCGACAGTCCGAAACGCCGACATCATCACCGTGCTTCAAAACGGCCAAGTTCAAGAAACTGGCTCGCACGACCAGCTCGCGGCTAACGAAAACGGCTCGTACGCTTCGCTTATCCGCCTCCAACAGCAGAACTACATAGCCGAAGAAGAATCCGTTTCGTCTGATCTTGATAGAATAGAAAACGATGTTCGCAGCACGAGTAGTCGAAGGGTGTCTGTAATTATGAGCCGATCCAGCTCGGCTAGATCAGCCGAGCCGAGCCGGATCACGGAGCCGATTAAAGTATTTCCAGCTCCTTCTTTTCGAAGATTGCTAGCCATGAATTCGCCAGAGTGGAGGCAAGCGACACTCGGATGCGCAAGCGCACTACTCTTCGGTGCGGTTCAGCCCGTTTATTCTTTCGCATTGGGGTCAATAATCTTCACCTATTTCTTGACCGACCACGACGAAATCAAACGGGAGATACGAAACTATTCGCTGTGTTTTCTTGCTCTAGCTGCATTCTCACTGCTGGTCAATATCTGCCAGCACTACAATTTCGCCGCCATGGGAGAATCCTTGACGAAGAGAATCCGAGAGAAGATGCTGTCCAAAATTCTCACTTTTGAAATCGGATGGTTCGATCAAGACGAGAATTCCACCGGCGCAATTTGCTCTCGGCTAGCCAAAGACGCCACCGTGGTACACTACACATTACATTACCACTAAAAATCGAAATTAAATCGCAAATTTAAGGATCAATTTTATATATAACACACCCTCAAGATTCGATTTTTATTTTAAAGGTGAGATCTTTGGTAGGAGATAGAATGGCACTGCTGATTCAGACATTCTCTGCGGTGACAATAGCTTGTACGATGGGCCTCGTTATCGCATGGAAGCTTGCGTTGGTGATGATATCGGTACAGCCTCTGATTATAGTATGCTTCTACTGCAAGAAAGCCGTGCTCAAAAGTATGTCGCATAAGGCCATTAAAGCGCAGGAAGAAAGCAGCAAGCTTGCCGCAGAAGCCGTCTCGAATCTCAGAACGATTACGGCTTTCTCTTCGCAGGCTCGTATTCTTCGAATGCTCGAAAGCGCACAAGAAGGCCCCGTACGAGAAAGTCTGCGGCAATCGTGGTTTGCCGGTCTTGTTCTCGGTACTTCTCAGAGTATGACGACGTGCACTTGGGCTTTCGATTTTTGGTACGGCGGGAAACTGATGGCGGAGGGGTATATCGGGGCGAAGGCTTTGTTCCAGACGTTTATGATCTTGGTTAGTACGGGTCGGGTCATAGCCGAAGCCGGGAACATGACGGGTGATCTCGTTAAGGGTGCGAACGCCGTCGGATCGGTGTTTTCGGTTTTGGATCGACAATCGTTGATCGATCCCGACGAAACAAACGGGTGCAAACCCGAGAGGCTAACGGGTCGGATCGAGATATCGGACGTTGATTTCGCATACCCGACGAGGCCGGAAGTGATGGTGTTTCTCGGGTTTTCGATTAAAATCGAGGCGGGAAAATCGACGGCGTTGGTTGGACAGAGTGGTTCGGGGAAATCGACGATTATCGGACTGATCCAACGGTTCTACGACCCGGTTCGAGGTTCCGTTAGAATAGACGGCCGGGATATAAAGACGTATAACCTGAGATCACTGAGAAAGCACATCGCGCTGGTTAGCCAGGAGCCGGCGTTATTCGCCGGGACAGTACGGCAGAACATATCGTACGGATGCGGCGGCGGCGTCGGCGAATCGGAGGTGATCGAGGCGGCGAAGGCGGCGAACGCGCACGAGTTCATCGCCGGTTTGGCGGAGGGTTACGACACGTTCTGCGGGGACAGGGGAGTGCAGCTGTCGGGCGGGCAGAAGCAGAGGATCGCCATCGCGCGTGCGGTGCTGAAACGGCCGGCGGTTTTGTTGCTGGACGAGGCGACCAGCGCGTTGGACGGCCGGTCGGAGAAGGTGGTGCAGGACGCGCTTGAGAGGGTGGTGGTCGGAAGGACGAGCGTGGTGGTGGCGCACAGGCTGAGCACGGTGAAGAAGTGCGATACGATTGCTGTGTTGGATGAGAAGAAGGTGGTGGAGATGGGGAATCACTCTTCGTTGTTGGCTATAGGGCCGACGGGGGCGTATTATTCTCTGGTCAGCCTTCAGACATCGGAGAATCTCCGACCACGTCTGGATTAGGCAGTTTTTTTTTTTTTTTAATGTATTGGATATTGATATGGACTTCTAAAAAGGCCCAAAATGTAAAGCCCAGTAAAAATCTGGACCTGAAAATAATTTATTTTGTTTGGAATTAATATAATCACTTTCAATTCCAATTTTAAAAATGTTGAAATTAATCTAGAAATCCATTCCAATTTCAAGAGACTTTTTTTTTTTGATGATTGCAATTTCAAGAGACTATTGTTTCATTTGTGCGGTGCATAGGGATATTTATCATGAAAATAAATATTTGATTAAAAAAAAGTTGTTTACCGATATGCAATACCAATGTACATAGTTGAAACTAGTACGGGAATCTATTCTAAGATCATAATGTATTAATGACTAAAACACGTCGATGATGTACATCGAATACCTCTATGAATAAAAATACAGTGTGCTAATACCATTCATGGGGACAATTTACAGAACTGACCCTTTTCTATAATCCAAAAACTTAAAAAATAATATATGTTTCATTTGATTTAGTACCGAGTTAAACAAAATAAATGATAAAATAAAATATAAAAATTATAACATTGTGATTAAAAAACAAACATTATTTGACCCAAATGGTACAACTATCTCGTCCAAGACACTCGAATTCTTAACATGTAACTTAATTATCAAAGTAGTGTTTTACAACACATGCATTGACATCGGCTATAACTCGTCTAATTCTTTGCAAATAACATGCACATTTTTTATTCTTCAAATACAATCAGTGATACACATTACTGAAACATGAATCACCTAAAAGTGTAAGAAATAAATACAATTTTTACTAAATGACCTTAATTAAAAAAATAAAATTTCATTGGAGTTGACAGTAAGATAAACATAAAGAATAGTAAATATTAACTGTATTTTAATGTACATTTAAGTACATTTCAACTATATTAAATCTAATATATGAATGTTCACAAACTTATATTTAAAATTAAGATTATAATACTCATGGATACTCTTAAAATTAAAATTCAAATTCAAAATGTTTGATAAAATATAATATGTGTGATATAAAAACTAAATTATAACTCCCAAGAAAAAAAAACATTGTTTTGATCAATATATAAAAAAAACTTCGTCAAAACAAAACCTATAAAAATAAGTATGGTCAAAGTACAAAGTTTGGCATATATGGTATATTTTGAATTAATTACTTATATGCTTATTTTGTAATATATAATGAAAATTAATATTAATATAAATTTAATATTTTTATTTCTTTAATGAGATTTTAGATCTTCCTCAAATTTCAATTTGCAATCTCAACAAATCCGTAATCGAGACCTACTTCATAAGAATCAATCTCGTAATATTGCACGTCGATTTCTTTTCATTGGAATGTCAAACCATTTTGTTTTAGGGAAAGAGATAATTTCTCTAAAATGTTTTTTAATGATCCAAAGAATACACACACATAATGTCCTCGTTGGATTGACAACATCCATTTTCACATATGTATATTTTCCTATATATTTCGCACGTTATTTTTAATGTGTTTTTTCCTTCCCTGATCAATGTAGAATTTTTGCTATATAATTTATATATTTCTCTAGTTAGTATAGGTTTTTCTGCAAAAGCAGTACTTCTAAATTATAATATGCCTGCACAAATAATTATTCCTATTTCAAAACATACAAAATCAAACATTGACACAAATACATCTAGGCACAATGTTGCTAATATATCATAATATTGGAATTATAGTGAATGAAGAAGCTAAGGGTGAATCTAATGTCATGTACATAAAGATTCAAAAGATTAATAGCAAAAAATTATTATGAACGTACAAACTAATAATATTTTACGTAAATATTAAAAAATAATAAAAAGAAAAGAATTATTACGATACGTACAAATTAATGTTGTAATACGAAAATATAAAAAATAAAGAAGATTTATTTAAATATATTCAACAAATCATATAAGAATCTCTATTGCAAATAACGAAATACATACATGAGTTACTTTAGTATTATTTTATTACATTATCACCTTCATTAAACTCAACTTCTTGTTCATCAAAACTAAACTTAAAATTATTAATGTATAATCAAAGATGGAAAACCAGAAGTAAAGGTTTTTAAAATTCATCCATATAATATATCTAAATCATATTTTTGCATTCTACACAACGCCAATGCTTCTCTCTTACCGACGTCGCCGCATATAACACACACGATATATGTTATCCATGGATATGAAAATTAAAAGGAAAGCAAAACAATGATTCGTTAGATTATTATACATACCCATACATAATAAACGGATAACGTAATAAACATTTGACGATAAATAAAATGCTTCAAAGCGAGCATGCACATCGCACAATACTGATTGCATATTACAAAACATAAAAATGGAAAGAAAAAGTTTTAAGGTGAGCCCTTGGTTTAGCATGATCATAACAAAATGTGTTGATAAAGAATAAGATAAATGAGTTTGTGTTGATGGTATTTATACTTAATTTTCACATACTAAATAAGTTAATAAAATGACTTTTAGGAAACAATATATTTTACTATTTTTTGTGTTACTCGGTTAGAACAAATCAAACAAATTTTCAAACAACTAAAATTAATAAGAATCCGAAATTATTGAAATGCATAATAAACAAAGGCGATTGTTAGGGGTACTAGAAATATATTCACATCACATGTATTGAGTTTGATAATAACATTAAATAGTATTGTATTAAACAGAATCATAAATAACATAACCAAAGAAACATAACAAAATAACCAAACAATCATATTAATTAATCTACCTCGTAAAAATTGGCTAATGGATATAACAAAGTCAAATTAAAGATATGAAAGCATGGCTTTTAAAATATTACCACTTTTACGTGTTTATTATGTACAAAATATTATGTTCATAATTTATTTAGCATAGTACACATATTGATTTGATAGAGTAATAAATAGAAACCTAAATAATATCAATTTGTATATAACAAAGGCAAACATAACAAAAAATAAATAAACAAATAAAATCAAGTGATCAATCATATCCTTAAAATTAATATTTTTAATAAGAATATCAAATCAAATCAAATAAAGTCATTAATCAAATTAAATCAAGTCATTAATCATATCCTTAAAATCAATATTTTTCATAAGAATATCAAATAAATCAAATCAAATTATTATTTTATGTTAATATAAGACATTATTATTATTTTCTCTAAAGTATAAGTTGATATGCAAAATAATTATTACAAATACTTATGTTATAACATTATCGAAAATATAAAAAAAACACCATAATGAAAGATGCGAAGAAAATTAAATAAATAAAGTAATTTATATAATTAAAAATTATTAAAATAATTAATTCGTAAATAAATGTAATAAAAAATAAAAATCTAGTTAACAATGCATTTTATTAACTAAATAATTCATTAAATACTTATAGAATAATATTGAAATATATTACTTATATATATACCAAATATTAAATTATTTATGACAATTTAAATATATTTCATTTCATTAATTGACATATTACTACTCCATTAATATATGTATACTTTCGTGTTTCAAGAAAAAAAATATCTGTATACTTTCCTAAGATTGAGTATCTAAAAAATAACAACTCGATACTACATTTTATTCCATTAATTGACATATTACCATTCCATTAATATGATAATTAATTAATAAAATAAATTAATGTAAAATTATAAAACAACATAATTACTATAATGAATTAGTGATGATACATTAGTACTTAACATTTCAATGTAGTTAAGTACTAAAACAAATCAAGAAAAAAGATGAAAAATAATAAGTTTCCAAAAAAAAAAACGAACAGGTGATCCAACTTTACACAAATTAAAAAATGAAATGTATAAAATTTTAAATAGCGAAATTGCATATATAACCATATACTAAATGAGCTTGATGAAACAATATTAAAAATAATTACAGATATATATAAAGAATAGAAAATTGTTAATTGCATATTATTTTTTACATTTATCATTTCGATGACGGTCTTTTAAGGATTGACAAAAATGAGATTTTTTCTCGCACAATTCATATGAGATTGACGAAATTCTTTCTACTATTTTGACGCAACCGTTGTCGTCACACATAGCACATAGGTCGATGTTATCCATAATATCTACAAAAATAACATAAACAAACAACAAATAACATGTTAGACTAAATACATGTATATGTATAAATAACCACTAGACACATTCATTATATAAAAATAATGAAATAAAGAACATGTAAAACTATGAATATATGAATAACAAAAATTACAAAAAAATACAACATTTCCTCTTTGCAGCCACTTCGGGCATGACCTATTTTTTTATTTGTATGTGAGTGTAAAATTCGGGTGGAGAGTATGAGTGAGTGAAACGGATTGGAATGAGTGATATTTATACTTGGGTTTTATATAATAAAAAAGTAAATAGTAAGTTATGATGAAAATACACATTTAATGTTATAATCTTAACCAATTATTGTTGATTATATATTTTCCATGAATTAACCATATGAATCAAAACCAATCAACTTAAATAGGTAAGAAATCAAATTATATGACATAAAATTGGGGAATTGATTGACAATTTATAGTAAAAAAAAAATTCAAAATTCAAAATTTGGAATCCGAAAATTTAAATTTCAAAATTTAAATGTTGTTTAGTTATTAATATTAATAAAATTAAATTAATACATATACATTAAGTTGGAAAAATATTTAAACAAAAAATAAAATCTATGTATGGTGATTAATTAATTTATTAGTATATTCATTTGAATTATTAATGAAATTAAATTAATACATATACATTAAGTTGGAAAAATATTTTAACAAAAAATAAAATCTATGTATGGTGATTAATTAATTTATTAGTATATTCATTTTTAAAAATTATTATTATTATTATTATTATTATTATTATTATTATTATTATTATTATTATTATTATTATTATTATTATTATTATTATT